TTTAATGTCTTTCCTGATGTAGATAACTTTATATTTTTGTTACTGATTTATTTTTTATTAGGGTTTTACTTAATGTGGTTATAAGATATCTTATTGGTTTTTTGTTGCCTAACATTCTATTTTGAAAATGTTTCCTTGGCATTTGGAAAGAATATGTATTCTTTGGTGACTAAAAATACACACATACATACATAAATGTGGGTGGAAATTTTTTTTTAAAAGATTTATTTATTTATTTTAAAGAGGGAGGAGGAGAGAGAAAGAGCTCTTCTACCCACCAGTTCCCTCCTTGGGTGATGACACTGCTGGGGGCTGGGCCAGGCTGAAGCCAGGAGCCAGGAACTCCATCAGGGTCTCCCACGTGAGTGAGGGGCCCAAGCACTTGGGCCATCCTCCTCTGCGTTCACAGACACATAGCAGGGAGCTGGGTCATAGTGGAGCAGCCAGCTCTGATGGGATGCCAGCATGGCAGCAGGCAGTGTAACCTGCTGTGCCACAGTGCTGGCCCTGCCTTTAGAGTTTTCAAATTTTCCTTTTTTCCAACAATTTTTACTTTGTTGTTCAATGCATAAAACATTGTCATTATAAAGGATTATTCACGAAGCAACATTTTGATCAATACAAATCATGTTGCTCTAATCCTTTTGTTTTGTATTGCAGTTAGTCAGAAATTGTTCTCAAATTGTTCTGATTTTATTTTTATCCAACTCTCTGTTGTTAACTTTTTTGTGGGGGTTTTTATTTGTGTTTGTTTATCTACTTGGGTCTTCTAATATAAAAAAAAAGTATTTGTAAAAGTCCATTTTTTCAAAAAGGATCAAGAAGTCTATTTTCAGCCGGCGCCACAGCTCAGTAGGCTAATCCTCCGCCTTGCGGCGCCGGCACACGGGGTTCTAGTCCTGGTCGGGGCACCAGATTCTGTCCTGGTTGCTCCTCTTCCGGTCCAGCTCTCTGCTGTGGCCTGGGGAAGGCAGTGGGGGATGGCCCAAGTGTTTTTTTTTAAATATTTGTTTGAGATGCAGTGTTACAGACAGGGAGAGACAGAGAGGTCTTCCATCCACTGGTTCATTTCTCAAATGGCCACAACAGCTGGAGCTGAGCGATCCAAAGACAGCCATAAGCAGAGAACTGGATTGGAAGAGGAGCAGCTGGAGCACAAACCAGTGCCCATATAGGATGCCGGCACTGCAGGCGGAGGTTTAACCTACCACGCCACAGTGCCAGCCCTCAAGAAGTGTATTAAACAAGAAAATGAACTCACTCAACATTTACGCTCTTGATTTATGCATTTGATTTTATTTCTGCCATCTTACTCACTTCTAATCATTTTGTTTGTTTGCTTTCTTCTTTCCCCTTTCCTGTTTTTTTGGTAGACCAATGGATTGATTAAGTAATTGATTGTGTTTGGACCAGGAATCGCTAGTGCCCAGAATGAGTTATGTTGAGCAAATATTTAAAATGTATTTTTTGTAATTTTTATTTTAATTTTTAATTAGTTTTTAACAGAGTCAGTGTGCTTTGTAGATAAAATTCTAAGAATGCAGTGATATTCCTTTTCCTTTCTCTCTCCTTCCCACCCTCCTTCCTTCTCCCTGTCATTTTTTAGTTTTTGAGATAACATTTTAAATTTACATTATAGTAAAAAGGTGTCATACTTCACCAAATAAGAAGTTTAACAAGTAAAAAAGGAAAAAGAACCTAGTTTAGTTTAGAATATAGACAACGGCTTTAAACAATAATTGAATGGAAAAAATGACCATTTTACCCATATAGAGTAAATTTTAAAGTAATCACAGATCATTAAAACTACAGAGGTATAACATTCTTAACCATTGGTGCAACAAAAGTAGAAACAAAGTTTTACAAAACTGTATTTGCAGCAACACTGATACAAATATGTTTGTTTTTTAAATTTTAGCTCCCACATATCAGAGAGAATATGCAGTATTTGTCTCTCTGGGCCTGGCTTATTTGACAAATGCAGTGTCCTCCAGTTACATCCATTTTGCTGCAAATGGTAGAATTTCATTCTTCTTTCTGCGTGAATAATGTTCCATTGTATAAGTGTACAACGTTTCCGTATCCATTCATTGATGATGGGCACCTTGGCTGAGTCTGGCAGACCCTGGTGATTCTGAACAGCGCTGCTATGAGCGTGGTGGTGCAGATATGTTGTGATTCATCGTGTTCGGGTCTTTCGGGTGTATACCCAGCGGTGGGACTGCCGAGTCATAGGGCAAGTCTGTTTCTAGTTTTTCTGAGGAATCTCCACAGTGGCTGCACTAATTGAGATTCTCACCAGCGGTGTGTAAGTGCTCCTCTTTCTCCACATCCTCACCAGCGTTTGTTACTCTCTGTGTGTTGGGTGTATGACCGTTCTGAAAGGGGTGAAGGCACATCTCACTGTGGTTTTGATTTGCATTTCCCTAACGGCTAGTGATGATGAGCAGCTTTTCCTATTTTTGCTGGCCGTTTGTATTTCTTCTTTCGAGAACTGTCTATTGAGGTACTTTGCCCATTTTCTCAACTGGCTTGGTTGTTTTTCTGTTGTGGAGTTTTTAAAGTTGCTGATGTATTTGGGATTTTAATCCTTTGTCAGATAGGTGGTTTACAAAAGTATTTCCCGATTATGTTGGATGTCTCTTGACTGTTGATCATTTCCTTTGTTGTGCACAAGTTTCTGAGTTTGATATAGCCCATTTTAGCTTTGCTTCTGTTGTCTGTGCTTTCGGGTCTTGTCTAAGAAGCTGTTCCCTGTACCAGTATCTTGGACTGTTTCTGCTACATTTTCTTCCAGCAACTTCATATCTCGGGTCTTAAATCTAGGTCTTTGATCCATCTTGAATTGATTTTTGTATATTGTTAGAGGTATGAATCTAATTTCATTCTTCTACAAAAAAAAATCCAGTTTTTCCATCACCATTTGTTGAAGAGAGTATCCCTACTCTACTGTGCAGTTGGAGCACTTTTGTCAAAAATCAGTTGGCTGTATGTACGTGGATTAATTTCTGGACTTTCTATTCTGTTCCACTGATATATGTATCAGTTTTTATGCCAGTACCATGCTGTTTTAATTACTGTAGGTTTGGGGGCCGGCGCTGTGGTGCAGTAGGTTAATCCTCTACTGCGGCGCTGGCATCCCATATGGGCACCAGTTCTAGTCCTGGCTGCTCCTCTTCTAATCCAGCTCTCTGCTGTGGCCTGGGAAAGCAGTAGAAGATGGCCCAAGTCCTTGGGCCCCTGCACCCGTGTGAGAGACTGGAGGAAGCTCCTGGCTCCTAGCTTCGGATTGGCACAGCTCTGGCCATTGCAGCCATCTGGGGAGTGAACCAGTGGACAGAAGACTTTTTTCTCTCTCTCTCCTTCTCACTGTCTGTAACTCTAACTTTCAAATAAATAAATAAAATCTTTTTAAAAAATAACTGTAGGTTTGTAGTATGCTTTGAAGTCAGGTATTGTGTGATGCCTGCAGCTGGATTTTCCTTGTTCAGGATTGTTTTGGTTATTCTGGGTCTTTGGTGATTCCATGTAAATTTTAGGATTGAATTTTTTAATTCTGTAAAAAATGTCATTGGTATTTTGATAGGGATTGCACTGAATCTGTAGGTTGCTTTAGGTAGTACAGACATTTTAATGATATCAATTCTTCCGATCCATGAGCAAAGCATATCTTTATGATTTTTTCTGTCCTTGATGATTTCTTTCATCAGTGTTTGATAATTTGCATTGTGGAGGTCTTTGACTTCTTTGATTAAATTCATTTATAAATATTTGATTTTTTTGTGGCTACTGTGAATGGGATTTCTTTCATGATTTCTGTCTGCATTCATTACCAAAAAAAAAAAAACTACCATTTAAAGTGTATTTTTTGGTAAATTTCAAGTACTAATTTCTTTTTTTTTTTTTTTAAGATTTATTTATTTGAAAGGCAGGGTTACAGAGAGGCAGAGAGAGAGAGAGAGAGAGAGAGAGAGAGAGAGGAAGGTCGGTCTTCCATCCAGTGGTTCACTCCCCAGATGGCCACAACAGCCAAAGCTGGGCCCATCCGAAGCCAGGAGCCAGGAGCTTCCTCTGGGTCTCCCACGTGGATTCAGAGGCCCAAGCACCTGGGCCATCTTCTGCTGCTTTCCCAGGCCACAGCAGAGAGCTAGATCAAAAATGGGACAGCCAGGGCAGGAACGGGTACCCATATGGGATGCCGGCACTGCGGGTGGCAGCTTTAATGACCATGCCACAGTGCCGGCCCCAGTACTCATTTATTTATTTCTAGAACATCTTCTCCAAATGTGGCAAGACCTTTAGTTCACTTGTAATTTTCCATCCTGTTCCCCTTCCGCTTTTCTTGTGATATTGTTGTAAACAAATGGCATTGGTGTTCTGAGTTGTTTCTCCCTTTTATATTATACCTTTTAGATTTTGTGAATCCTACATTCCAAGTATATTAAATAATAGAGTAAGCATTATCAGTGATTATTTGAAATAGGAAGTATAGTTTTGTTGTGCTTTATAAACAATTATAAATTTTATATCAAAAGGAATAAGACCTGATGCAAACCAAAAATGTGTTCTGCTTTTCCTGAAATGATTTAAGATAGCACCGTCCAAAGATAAAGTCAGATATTTTGGGCCATACTGACTTCTTCACTGGGAGAACTCAAAGAAGTATAGATTACTTCTTGAGAGGGTGAGTCATCATCAGACGAATCAGAATGATTGGAATAAGTAATACTGGGAAACTGTGTTTTCCTGTGCTGCTGTTCTGAAGTCCTGAGGAGTTTCCTGTAAGGGCAGAGAGATGGATGATCCAGAAAGCAAGTTACGGTCTTTTTCCACCCTGCTCTCTAATTCTGCTTAGTAGTGTGTGTCACTTTTCTTTCAAACCCATCAGACTGCGTTTGTGCGTGAACGAGAGGAAGAAAGACCGAGTCTGATGTCCACGGAGCAGACTGGTTTGAACAGCCTACCCACGTGCAGTAACTCCTTGCCTGTGCCTCTTGCAGAGCCGCCCAGCCTGGAGGAGGCAGGGAAGCTGCTGAATGAGACTGTGGTGGTGAACGGTGCTGTCCAGCTGGAGTGCATGGCGGCCGGACATCCCCTGCCTGGTGGGCTCACTTTTGGATTCTGTAGCTTGCAAGGCCTTTGTGCATTACTGGGACAGCTGGGGCCGCTCAGGAGCAGAAGATGCGAGTCACTGACTGTGGAGAGGTTGTAGAAAGCACTTCAAGGTGCCTCTGATAAGCATAGCATCCGATAGCTGACGGTTCTGAATCTGCATGGCTTTAAACTGCGTGAAATAACTTAGCCACGTAATGTAGAAATGCTCTTGTGAATCTCTTAAACGTCTCATTGCCCATATTGTGGCTACAAAACTCAAAATGGTATTCCACATGCATTTATGTAGGAAAAATATATTTAAATTTATTGTTAATGGAGATAGACCAAGTTAATTATAAGTTATGGTCATCTGATGTTATTTGTATGACTCAGTAATATAAATTGTTAGGTTCCTAGTGTGTATGGTATTTGATTTAGAAGTATGTGCAAAATGTCTGTGGATTTGAGGAAATACACAACAGAAAGAAACAGCACAAAGTGTGTTTCAAACAATATTGATATACGAGACAACATAAAAATGTGTCTTTTCTGAGTTCATTTTCAGGACTCAATTCACTTTACTCTTGGTGTTTTTCTTGGGTTACCTCCTCTTAAAAATCAGCCCTGCATTGTTTATTTCAGCAGGTTAAACTCAGTTAGCATAAGCATGAAGGAGTTATGATTATTATAGTAACGATGCCCCTTACTGGAGTGAATTTTAAGACATCTTATGTAGATCTTCTCCCCTTCCCGTTTCAGTAATCACATGGTACAAAGATAACCGTCCACTCTCAGCCACCAGCGCCACTTTCTTGAAGAGAGGGCAGATCATTGTCATTGAAAGTGCACAGATTTCAGATGCTGGTGTGTACAAGTGCGTGGCCGTCAACTCAGCGGGCGCTACAGAGTTGTTTTATAGTCTGCAAGTTCACGGTTAGTGCTGCCAACGCATCCTGGGGTAAAGAAGTGTTCAGAATGACGAGATGCTTCTGTGAGATGCCGGTGTAAATACTTGACAGTGCGGTACTGTCAGCTTTTTTCAAGGCCATGGTGTCCTAAAACCTACACTTTCTTGTTCCTGATTCCTTCTCAAATGCCCAGGTGTGACATGCAGCTGAATTTGCTTGCTTCGGGTGAGTTGTTGAAAATATCATTAGTGCTCTTATCAGCAATTGTTACGGAACTGTTTCACATCTTTACGCCTAATGCTGCTTTTAAGAGGATTTGGTAGTTAACATTCTATAGTGGAGTGGCACACACACACACACACACGCACGCAGGCAGACATGACAGCCTGGAAGTCAAGAAGTGAAACGCGCACCCTGCTGCCAACAACTGGACTTCTAGACAAACTAGCACCGCCTCCCTGTCGTCGTCTGTAAAGTGGGCTGCAGATACTTGCCCTGCTTATCCCACAGGATGGCTGTGCATAGAGCCGGAACGAGATATGAGAGAACTTCCCACAGCCAAACCGTAGGGAGCTCGGTGCGTTGAGATGCCACATCCCGCGGAGTTAACGCAGCTTTTATTTATTTATTTATTTCCAGTGCCCCCATCGATTTCCAGCAGCAATGACGTGGTAGCAGTGCTGGTGAATAATCTGGTGAGGTTAGAATGCGAAGCCAGAGGCATCCCTGCCCCGAGCCTGACCTGGCTGAAGGATGGCAGCCCTGTCTCGAGTTTCACTAATGGAATACAGGTACCCTGTGTCATTTTTTGGTGAAATTTGCCTCCCGATTATTCAATACAAGAAGTATAAGCAGGTCAAGCTGATGAAGAGATCTGAAAAACAAGGACTAACAAGTGGTATTTTTTAAATACGCATATGCACTCATAAATACGATGGGCACACACAGTTGGGATTTCTCAATAGCTGAGTAAAAGCTCGGTGTTTCTGAGAGTTCCTTTGTTTTGCATGTATTTTGACGGTTTATTTCAGGATTATTTTCTACCTGCCTCTTTCCTACTTTCACCACAAGTGACACCTATAGACAGAAGTGTTCAGGAACAACAACAACATAGGCTTCTCCTGGTACAATCGATTCTTAAATACAATCGGAGAACCACACAGAGCGTGCGTGCTTCATAAAGCATCAAATAGGAAAGTAAGAGAATTATAACGGAAGCACGATGATAAATGAAATTCAAGTCTTAGAAAAACAAAGTTAAGTACATTTACACTGACTCAAACTTGAAAATTCAAAAGCACATGTACCAAACTTTGAGTTTTCTCTACTGGTGAAAATACTCCTAATATTTTAATTCTTCAGCTATTCTTGAAAATCTATTGCTTCCAGAATTTGGGATCATAGAAAATGCAGAATTAAAGTCAATATTTAGACGCACCAGTGGATCTGTGGGAGAAAAGAACAATAAATGGACTTAATTAGCTTATTTGGCTATTACTTTGTTGTTTGTTTTTTTTTTTAAAGGTTTTATTTATTTGAGAGTCAGAGTTACAAACAGAGAGAGGGAGAGATAGGGAGAGAAATCAGTCCCCAAATGGACGCAACGGCTTGGAGCTAAACTGATCCAAAGTCAAGAGCCAGGAGCTTCTTCCAGGTCTCCCAGGCAGGTGCAGGGACCCATGCACTTGGGCCATCTTCCAGTGCTTTCCCAGGCCAGAAGCAGAGAGCTGGATCAGAAGTAGAGCAGCTGGGACACGAACCAGTGCCTGTATGGGATGCTGGCACTGCAGGCAGAGGCTTAGCCCACTGTACCACAGCGCCAGCCCTGTACTTTGTTGGTTTTTAACTTCATGTCTGATTGCCCAGAAAAAATTAGAAGGATAATTAATTCCTCTCATCCTCACTTTCTGTCTTTGTCGCAGTGACATTGTGGAAAGTAGGGGTTAAATTTGACCTTTATTTGATGCCAAAGAGACATATTTTCAAAGATAATTTCTAAGTTTGAGTCTAGCATCTCCCATTCTCCTACTGAGAAAATCAAAAAGGGATTATGCATTGACTGACCACTTTAAAATACCCAAGTGAAGTCCTCCTAGTTGTACTTGTGAATTCCGGAGCCTCAGAAAACGAGAGGAACGGCCTGTGGTGCACACCGTGCTCGGGGGCCTGTCCACTGCTCAGCTTTCTTTCCGTTCACAGGTTCTTTCTGGGGGCCGCATCTTAGCTTTGGCCAGCGCACAAGTCAGTGACTCGGGGAGGTACACCTGTGTGGCAGTGAATGCTGCTGGCGAGAATCAAAGGGACATTGACCTCCGAGTCCACGGTAAGACCTTTAGAAAACCGTTTCAGCTCTGATAGACACCTGTAGGGGCTACAAAGATCATTGAGGAAGTTAATAACGAGCGAATGAACAAAGGAGTACTAGCACCAGGTCACTCCAAACCAAATCCTCCGGCCGCCTGGTGCAAGGGTACTTCAGAAATTCTTGGAGGAATGGCATGAAGAGAGTAATTTACTTTGGAATACAAGATTTTTAAATTTCTTAATAAGCATTTTTCATGGACATTTGACGGTGGCTGGTATTTGATGGTGAGTGATGTTTCTTTTTAAACGTTCTGAGGAATTGAAATGCATAGAGCCAACATGTAGGTTGCTGGTCTTGTAGAGCCCTTTCGAGAACTGGGCTGTGGATAGACTTGTTAGGAAGACAGTCTTCTCACTAAACAGGTAGGTTCCAGGGACTCTGCGCCCCTATTCTCAAAGCCATGCTCATATGGCTTTTGTTATTTAGTCAGTATTTTGTGACTGATAATATATGTCTGTGAGTTAGAGGGTATTTGAGGAGCGGAAGTTAAGCTAGACAAAAGTTGAGGAGACGTTCCGGGTTTTTTCCTACCCAGGAGGAGGCAGCTGGGAGTGTCTGGCTGCACCATGGTGAGAGTCCCGGAACAAACCAGTCACAATCACAGCTGTGCGTCCCCAGCGCTCTCGGACTTTATGCTGTGTCTTGCTTGCGTTACATTCCTTAGTTCATAGATTAATGAAAGTATTTCTTGAAGCATGTCTGTTGAATGAGTTTCTCTCCTTTAAGTCCGACTTCACTTCCAAACAATGCAGTCTTAAGAGAAATGGTTTTTTTGTTTTTGTTTTCTCTGACTTCCAGCCATGTGGGCCATGTTGATTTCACTTTATAAGTTGCCAGAAGAAAGTGGGTGACCACAGTCACTGACACAGTGCATCCTGTGATCTTTGTTAGTAACTCATTTCCGTGTTATGGTGGACACGACACGAGAGTCAGGAGGTCACGGTCGGCCTCGGAGGCCTCAGCCCACTGCCAAAGGACACTGTGCCTTCTTGTCTGTGCTGTTGCAGTTGACCTGCAGGTGTGCTGGTGGTTCCGAGACAGCAAGCAGGTCCACAGAGGCCCAGCCCTCCGCACTCTGACCCCCCCGAACCGAGTGGCCCCTCTGCTTTGTGAATACCTGGGAGGCACCTGCCTCGCGTACCTCTGGGAATGATCCGTGGGTCCATCTGCGTGTGTGCTGCTGTAGCTCCTTCAGCTGCTAGCAAGCAAGTGGTGACACTGCTGTTCACTGGGTTTTCGTCTGTGAGAAAAGCAGATGGGCCCCTGCCACTTCCGCGCTGGTTCCTGTCACGAGTGGGCCTGGGAGATGGTAAAAGCTGGTATTTTCTGGGAGTCATGGAAACGTGCATTCTTGTTCATCTGCTGCTGAGGCTCTTCCATACCAGCTATTTAGACCGAAAACCAGAATCTTTCCCTCTGGTGTAAAAGTCAAGTGACTGACTGAAAGTGTGTATGATTGAGAATGTGTGTATGTGTTAGCATTTCATACATCTGTGCAACAAGCTACCAAAGAAGTGTGAGATTAAAAAAAGGTTTGTAATCTGATCAGTTTCCAGTCTGTGTTCCAATATTAGTATTAACTTCCTTCAAGTATTTGTAGTGGCAACCTGGGCGGTCCTGTGTCGAGTTGGAGACAACGGATAAAGTAACTTTCCCTACAAGTACAGTAGCGATGGACATTGGCCGCAGTGGTTAGGGTGCTGCTTTGGATGCCTGCCTCCCCTATTGGAGGGCCTGGGCTCGAGTCCCAGCTTTGCTTCCAATTCCAGCGTTCTACTCTTGTGTATCCTCAGAGGCAGGACGAGATGGTCCAAGGTCTTGGATCCCTGACACCCAGTGGGGAGACCTGGATAGAGTTCTGGGCTCTTAGCTTGGGCCTATCCCAGCCCCAGCTGTTGCAGACGTTTGAAGAGTGAACCAACAGATGGAAGCTCTCTCTGTGTTCAACTGTCTCATGTACACACACACACACACACACACACACTCATTCTGCCTTTCAAATAAATTTTTAAAAATAAAATTGTAACACTTACAGTAGGAAAGTAATTCACTGAAGAATTTCCCTCTGGGTATAAACCCAGAGTCTGTTTTGCCATATTCTGAGACACTGGAACAGAAAAAGGTTTTTACAAGATCCGAGTTCTGCTGGCGCCTTCTCTTTAAACTTGGGTCAGAGAGCTTTGGTGGACATCGCACATTCACCAGCATCCCAGCAGCTATGACCCATGGCAGCTCTGATTTGGCTAATTCAGTGTAACAAGGATGAAGTAATGGTTGAGTAATGGATCCAGAACATACCCCTCCTGGCCACAAAGCCACACAGTAAAATTGAAATGGCCTGTAAGGAAGCTGAGGAGAATGGAGCTTTATTCTCCTCTTAGACCAAACACTGTAGATGAGAGACAGGACAGAAGGAAATAGATGCATTTTGGAAGTGCAAGTATGTATTCTTGGTCTAATTAGATTTGCTCAATTTATGTTCCGTAAATGAATACTATGCTGTTTTTGCATTTTCCTCTAACCTTTAAAATCTGGTTTCCTTTTGAACTTGGTTGAACTCATTTAGCTGTAAAGAAAAGTAATTGAAGGGAAAATATTTGGAAATAAATTAACATTCTGAACTCTGGAATTGTTTCCAACTTTTACTTCTATAGTCATAAAGAAGCCATGCTCTTGTAAGTTCTGCAAATAATCTAAGATAAACATACTTTTATATAATTATGGTAGCTTTTTACCCAATGAGACAAACTTTACCCAGAGTTATTTCCAGGCTGGAAAGTGGCTATTCTGTTTAGCATTTCCTGTGCTGAGAGCTGTGAATGTCAGTTTTTATGTTATCTTAGAACATGGCCTTAATTGTGCTTACTTTGCAACTTGTATGGCAGTATGAATCTTGAACAGACTGGCTTACCTTTCACCTAGTGTGTCGCACATCAGAAGCCATCCTGTTTCCTGTACCTCACATGGTACCGTAAGCCTCTTGACAGCGGGTGGAAGGAACACCCTGCATGTGCATAGCCGCCCCCTCCCCGGTCCCGTCCTGTCCCAGCCACTGTGCATGGTGTCTTCCTTCAGCTTAGTGTCCTTGGGCCTAGTGCAAGTCTCTCACTCAGAGGCGGCACCGGGAAGTGGCTTTCCCAGCCACTGTGCATGGTGTTTCTTCCTTCAGCTTAGTGTCCTTGGGCTTAGTGCAAGTCTCTCAGAGGCGGCACCGGGAAGTGGCTTTTCATTCGTAACCCTTTCCCACTGCAGCCATGGCTGCAGAGCCCTCCTGGTGAGAGAGACACAATGCATGCTGGGGTATTGCTCCTGACACAGCGGCCAATACACTCCTAATATTCCTGACCACAATACTATTTCTGCCAGAGCATAAGGAATGGCACTTAGGGGTTAGTTTCGATACAACTTGAGCGATGCTGCACACGTGGTAAGCCTCCACAGTGCCGCGCGGTCAGGATTTGGTGAGAACTGGCCGAGGAGATTCCCCTCGGCGCGTTTCCGGAGCAGCCCTTTTTATTACAGGCCCCCTTTCTCCGTGAGTTTTTCTTTTCTGATTTATTTTGCCTGCAGCCCCTGAGGGGCTATGGAGCCCACCCTGTCTTTCTCAGCCTCTAAGACAAATGGTGCTTTAGTGGCCCCGAGGGAGGGAGGGGCCTTGAACTTCTCCATGAACACTCAGCATCTGACAAGCTGGTTAGTGCTAATTTCAATCTCATTAAAATTTCAACTCATTTCCTCCCTCTGCACAAGGCGGGTGTGTTATGCAGCTGGTCCCTGACCCCACTTGGTCTCTGTCATGCATGTGGCCCACATGCTCTGCGCTCCGAAGTGCTCCCACCTTTGCCCTCTGCCCGTCTGTTGCTTTCCAGAGCATAAGTGCTCCTGGGACTGAGTGATCTGCATCTCCTCTCTCAACTCCAGTTACAATTCTGCCCCTGCAACTATGGAGTTTATTTCTTTCTCAAAAAGTACAAATATGGAAAGTACATTTGCTTTTAATTCCTTATTGTTTCCACAAACTTCTTGAGTGATTTACTACTTTGAAAACCTTACACAGAAATATGTACTTCTAGAAGTCACTTAAACGAGCACTTGGTTAGAGCTTCTGGAAGGTTCTTAAATGAAGGTGAGGACTGTGTCTGTTCAACAGGAACCAGCGAGTGGTTCACACCTGGTTCTGAGCCACACAGTGCGGAGGTTGTGTTGGGTGAGTGCAGGGCTGTTTCCGTGTGGGCCGCCGTGATTGGTGGACATAATGGTGTGCTGGCCCTCTCTCGCCAGTTCCACCCAACATCGTGGGAGAAGAACAGAACGTCTCTGTGCGCCTCAGCCAGGCCCTGGAGCTGCTCTGCAGAGGCGACGCTGTCCCGCCCCCGACGCTCACCTGGCTGAAAGACGGCCGCCCCCTGCTGAGGAAGCCGGGCCTCAGCATCGCTGAGAACGGAGGTGTGTTAAAGGTAAGGCCCTCGTCCCTCTGTCTCATTCCTAGTCATGATTCAGTTTTACCCCTGTTCATCTTGCCTGTCTTTCCCTAGTGTTCTCCTAACTTCATCTTACAAAATTCTAGCAATGCTTTCGTTGGTGAGGTTTGTAATATTTTTAAATTTTGCATTTACTGAGATTTCAGTATTTAATGGTCTGTCCATGTTTATAGACATAAACTGTATCTAAAAAATATTCCCAGGAAAAGCTTATAGAAATATCCCCGTGAATTCTTTGTCTCCAGTCATTCAGCCAAATCAGCAAATAGCCATTTTAGCTGTGCTGGATAAGGGTGCATAAAAAGTGTGACACATCTCATGTCCCTGATGTCTTCCAACTTGGAATAAGTATATGAACAGTAACAGTTAAGTGGAAAAATGCAATGTGTACTATAGGTTCGAGTTAATTACCTGCAGGCTATGCATTTGAGGGAAGATAGCAAAAGGCGAGGCCATGGCTGCCTGGAATAATGGTGGCAGAACCAAGGCCATGGCTGCCTGGAATAATGGTGGCAGAACCAAGGCCATGGCTGCCTGGAATAATGGTGGCAGAACCAAGGCCATGGCTGCCTGGAATAATGGTGGCAGAACCAGTTGGCTTTCTAAGAGTAGACAGGACACAGACGTGCGTTAGGAAACAGAGAATTTAACACAGTGATCATTTGGAAATCTTGACAAGATTGACTCGAGTGCTGAAGGGCTGACTTTGAAACGCAGTCTACAGAATTAGCATTCAGGAGGCCAAAAGGCCATTGTATGTTTGTAAAATCCTCATAATAACCTAAGGGAGAAATGGAAAGGGAGTTACCTGTGCATAGTTGACTAAGAGGCAGAAATTCGATTTGAACACAGGGAGGGCACTTCAGAACCTGCGCTAATCGTAGATTCTTGGCGGAAGAGGGTCATCCTGGGGAACAGAGAGCCTGGGGCGTGGAGGGAGGGGGCAGGCTATAGGGAGGGCAGTGAGCTGAGCAGCCCACCCACGGAGGGCAGCTCGTGGGGGGAGCAGAAGGGGCGTGGTGGTGTGTGAGAGAGGCCAAGCATGGGGTCTTGGGAGCAATTCCTCTGTGGTAGTGAGGCCGGGTGTGAAAGGAGTGACCAGAGTCACGGATGAAAGGGAGAAGCGGCTGCGCGCAGGCCAGAAACAGGGAGGAGCTCAGCGTTGAGAGAGGTGGTAGGAGTCTGGTGGTGGAGGGCAGAGAATGAGTGCAGATGTCCGAGAATCCAGCAGGTCGTTTCTCAGGTCCCCTCGAGGGGAGGGGACAGACCTGTGGTTGGTTGAAACTGCCTCACCTATGCACTGCCCACAACCATGCACAAGTACACACCCTTAACCAGACCAAGTGACAGAACCCGTTTTATTTTACTCAGTCGTCTACCAAGCACCAACCTGGGTACTAAGAAACAAATGGTTGACTCTTGGTAAGTGTTGAATATGGTTGATGGAGATGGAGATATCGCCATTCATATTCTTTTTATATGTTTGAAAATCTTCAATTACAAAAGAACACAATGAGGGCTAACAGAATCATGAAGTACAAACTTGTTTGCGAGCATGATTTGGTTTTCAGATTGAAGATGCTCAAGTTCAGGACGCAGGACGTTACACCTGTGAGGCTACGAATGTTGCTGGGAAAACTGAGAAAAACTACAATGTCAACATTTGGGGTAAGTATGATCAACCCCTGTACAGCCTGTTATTCTGCGTGTCAGTTCTCAAAATGCCATCAGTCCACGCGACTAGAGTTGATTATAATACAGAGATGGACAGTAATCAAGACGTTTAGGTGATGCGTTGTCCTGAGTCCAGCTCAGGCAGCAGATTCAGGAGCATCTACGAATTGGTCCCAACATCATAACTGGCCTCTCCAGAGACACGCATTGGTTCAGCCAGTTCAAAGTCAGTCAAAAAGCCAAACTATGGAGAAAGAGCAAGAGAGAATGTGTGCTACAGATGCTAACCAGGATAAGGGCTATTTTCACTGGGAGTCGTTTTGTTTGTTACTAATTAAGATAATTTGGGTGAATAATCACACCTTTTACCTTGGTTGTAGCTGTCTGCCCATTGTTAAAAACTACATCCATTTCTAGAACGTTCACTTAATTTCAAATAATTCTTTAAGTTCATTGATAACATATTAAGTCCCTGTTATGTTGATTGTATTTGTTAAGCTTCTGAATTATGAAGATGATAAGTTGAAATTGATCTTTGATGGGCAAACACTTATTCAAAAACACATTTTAGATAAAATTAAAGGGAAAATAACTTGATTTTAATGGAAAACAAATATTCTAAAAAGCTGTAAAGATGTGAATTTAGGCAGATAAGGGCTTGTTAATGAGTCAGCTTGTCATTTTAAAAATCCTTGAGGCAAATCTTGAAGTGCTGCAATTCAGCATGTGAGACGACTAACTCACTTTGCATAGAAAATTTACCTTGTCATAAATTTACGTCTGCTTGTGTTTGTTACCTGTCATTCATCCCTGTCCCTCCCACGTCCCATCCTCCCTCATCTCCCTTTCCCTTCCTTCCTCATTTCTTTCAAGTGGGGAAAATGTTCCAATGTGGACAAGACACTGGGCTGAGTGTTACGAAGTCCAGATTGAACAAAAGGTTAAGAAAGAAAAATTAACCATGATACTCAACTAGGAAGTGATGTAAAGAAATCATTGCTAGTGTTTGAGGCACCTGTGGCCTGCCCCCTGACCTCCATACAGTCAGAATGTGGGCCTGCAGATCAGGAGAGGGAGGAGTTAGAAACCTGAGGCTGGAGCAGTGGAGCTGGGAGAGTACTCTAGGGAATGGTTCTCAAGTGTGCCACATAAGGGATTAGAGGGAAGAGACCTCAAGTAGGAAATTAAGAAGGAGTAGTCAAAATCGTAGGGTGAAAAGATCAAGGAGCGTGTGGGTGTTTGGCTCAGTGATTAAGATGCATTTGTCCCACATTAGCATTCCTAGTTCAGTTCTCAATTCTGGCTCCCAACTCCAGCTTCCCTAATGCAGACCCTCGGAGGCAGTGATGGCCCAGATAAATGGGCTCTTCCACCTCCATGGGAGACCTAGTAGATTGGGTTTCCTGACAAGCTTTGTAACAGCTGGGGGATCATTGTGGGTGTTTGGGGAAAGTGAACTAGTGGATAGGAGTCAGTCTCTCTCTCTCAAGAAATTAAAAAGAAAAATGTAATGTTTCGTAGAAACTCGGGACGGTGGTGTTCCCAGAACACAGTGAATTGCGAGGACGTAGATGAGTGGGTGCATGGGTGGATGGGTGGTTGAATGTCACTATTTCAGAGAAGTTAAACATCTTGTACTTTACAAATGTGCAGACCAGTGCCTCGTGAAGAGAAGCAGCGTAATCGTGGACAACAGACTGTAGTAGGTGCCAGAATGGACAGTAGGTGAGAAAACTGAGGCATACAGGAGAATTCTCGCAGACAACCTTCGTGGCGTGCCCTGTGTTCCCGGCAGTATGCCAGGGTAGGCACAGAAAGGTCAACTTACAGTTAACTGGGGAAGAAAATCTTTGTCTAGCCAATTAAAATTGAATTTCTCAAGAGGGTCATAATTTATGTGGAAAGGCATTTCGGGGCACATTGTGTCTAACTGAGCCCTTAGAATGAGTCGGCATTAACTCCGTGAAAAGGGAGGAAGAAACTTAGAGACCTGAAGACTATGATCTGAGTTCTCTGAGCCATTGAACTAACACCTTCCTCTGGGTAGCCCAGTGTGGCGCAGAGCAGAAAGGGGAGATGTTAGGGAGAAGGTAAACTGGGCAGATCGAGGAAAGCATCTTATGTCAGTTTAAAAAGGGCTTTGATCCTATGGGTGAAAGGGTATAAGGGATTTCAAGGGCTGGGATACTCAGGTCTGTATTTTAGAAGGAAACAGGTAAGCTATAGATGTATTTAGGAAACTGAATCAGAAAGAGGAAAGGATGGATGTCCGGGTGGTCTAGCCAGCTGGGCTACGTGGACCGAGGGAACAGGGGCGGCTGAGGTCAGTTCTGGCCAAGGCAAGTTTGGCAACGCCCCTCAGATACCCACACGGGGGTGTTACATAGACAGTTGTATGTAAAGGTCTGGATCTCGAGGCAGTGTTTGATACAGCACTTAATAGTCTGCATGGAGCTCTCAGATCCAATATTGGAGTACCTGGGTTCAAGTCTTCCCTCTGTTCCTGATTCCAGCTTCCTGCCAATGCACATCCTGGGAGTAGCAGGTGCTGGCTCAAGTCGTTGGTTCCCTGCCACATGGATTGGGTTCAGCTTGGCCCAGCCCAGGCTGTTGTGAGCATTCAGATAGTGATCCAGCAGATGGAACCCTCTCTTACCTATCTGTCTTCCTTTCAGATGTATAAACAATATTTTTGGAGGTCTAGATTTTAGAAGGGAATGCATTACAGATAGAGATCTGTAAGTATTTTTATTGATGGAGGCTCTGGGGGCAAAGGAGGGTAGAGTTTAGGATGCAAAGTTTAATGTTAGAGCAGTGTTAATCTGCAGTTGTGGCCTTTTTTTCCATGGAACTTTCCATCTGTGATATAGGTGATGACAGTGTAAACTGTGGGATTCACCCAGAGTAAGGGTGTTGCCAAACAGGAAGGACACGTGTGCAAGGCATTTTAGAACAATGACAAAGGATCAATTGAAATTATTGATCATTAGGTCTGAGCTGGATAGAGAAGTCAGTGAATGAAACAGCAGGCATCTGGACAGGGAGAGTTTTGAAAGAACTTGAGATTCAATTAAATTGATGAATTAAGAGTTGGAAATAATTGAGAGAACAAGAATAGAGCAACTGTAGGGTGGCCTAAGTTGTAAGTTTTTATGCAGATGATGAAAAAGGTCACGGTACGTCCTCTGATGGAGGAAGGGATGAGCAGATCAAAGTGCTGGGTAGGCAAGGCTTCTGGAGCCGTCACGTGTGGGTATTGAATTCCTGCAGAATGGTGGTGGGTAGGCAAGGCTTCTAGACCTGTCACGTGTGGATATTGAGTTCCTACAGAATGGTGGTGGGTAGGCAAGGCTTCTGGACCCGTCACACGTGTGGGTATTGAATTCCTGCAGAATGGTGGTGGGTAGGCAAGGCGTCTGGACCCGTCACGTGTGGGTATTGAGTTCCTACAGAATGGTGGTGGGTAGGCAAGGCTTCTGGACCCGTCACACGTGTGGGTATTGAATTCCTGCAGAATGGTTGCGTGGCTTGGTGTGACCAAAGAGAATAAAAACAAGATTCAGATTGAGTAGAGAGTGAAGGTTCACTGATGGGGTAAGAAAAAGAGAGGTAAATTGGTGGCATGAGCTTCAAAGAGGGAGGTTGAATAATGCCGGGAGCCCCACGGAGGGGTGAAGAGAGCTCTCCCACTCCTCTGCTCCCAGAAGCATCGACCACGGGAGAACATTGTCGCCGAGAAGCGTGCTCAGGGAGAGTGGGCCACAGCTGCAAACCCCAGCCTCTCTGAGAGGCTAAGTACTCAGCATTCCCATGAAGGTTCCAGGCAGACGCGGGAGGCAGGGTGTACAATCTGGACGAGGTATCTGGCGTTCCTAGATGGAGCCCTGGCCTCTGCTCTTGTACCTGCCTGATGTTTTCCCATCTGGTCAGCATAGGATAGCAATGCTGGCCGGGCCTCCATGACTGTGTTACACTTAGATTTTGGATGCACAGAGTCTAAATAGAGTCAGCCAGCTTCTTTTTATGCAGTTCTGGATACTTCCATAATTAAATTTCGATTTTGAAAATGGGAGTCTGCTACTGAGTATCATTTGTAGTAGAGGTGACTTACATGGTTTTCATGTACCAACTTCATATATTATTTGAGTAGAGCTCTTTTTATTGCATTACAATATTAGGAAAATTCTATATGAAATGAGTGCAAAAAATTTTTCTTTTTTTTCCTTTCAGTGCCACCAAATATTTATGGTTCTAATGAACTTGTTCAGCTTACAGTCATCGAAGGGAATCTCATTAGTCTGTTGTGTGAATCAAGCGGTATCCCACCCCCGAATATCATTTGGAAGAAGAAAGGTCAGTTTTCTGCATTTGAAATTTATAGAACTAAATATGAATACAAAATGAATATTCGCTTTATTTGACAAGCATGTTTATAAACAAATCTTCTTGGGGTTCACATGCTAAATGCTAGACAGCAAAATGACTTTATATTAAATGTATAACCTGTGGTGCTGCTACATATTCCAAATGAAAACAATTTTGGATTATTAACTACTCTTCACAAAAGTTAATTTTCTACATTAACTGTTCTTTAATCTTTTGTACTATAGGCAGCTATACTCATCAAGAATCCACTATTCAAATAACTAAATTTTATTTTTTGATTAGATTTTAGGGATTATTTTCTAGAGGCAGGCATTTGGGCACGGTGGTTAAGACACCATGGGAGTCCAGCATCCCATGTTGAAGTGCCTGGGTTCAAGCCTGCTTCACCCCTGATGCCAACTTCCTCCTACTGCAAACACTAGGAGGCAGCAGGTGGTGGCTCAAGTAGTTGATCGCTGCCATCTACCTGGGAGACCTGGACTGGGCTCCTAACTCCTGACCTGGGCCTGCCTAGACCCAGCTGTTGTAGGCATTTGGAGAATGAATGAGTAGGTGGGAGATCTCTCTCTTTCAGTCTGTCTGCCTTTCAAAATAAGTAAATAGCAGTTATTTTCTAAAGAAGTCATGTTTTGTTTTATTTTCGGTCTTGTAATGTTACAAATTTTCAACTTACTCATCAACCAAAGATTTGTGCCCACTGAATATTAAGTAGACCATCTAAGTGTTCAGTTTGCCTAAATCTTAGTACTTCAGTTTGCAGACCGAGGGAAGATTGTTGGCGTCATCTGCCATTCAGACACCGGAACTAGGACGTTAACACATAGGCACACATGCGCATCAGAGTGTGTGTACGGAGTGCTCAGTGATCTTGCCTCCTGTTCTGCCAAATGTTTGCCTTCCTGCAGGCTCTCCTGTGCTGGCGGACTCTGTGGGGCGAGTCCGGATTTTATCTGGTGGCAGACAGCTGCAGATTTCAGTTGCTGAGAAGTCGGATGCAGGGCTGTATACGTGTGTGGCATCCAGTGTTGCCGGAAGTGCACAGAAGGACTACACTCTGCAAGTTTACAGTGAGTTATTGCTTAGCCGGGACCTGGATACATTGTTTTTAATATGTCCCATCCTCCGTTTTACTGTCTCTTCGTATCTTTAAGATGCACTCGGAGTCGCATGGTTCTGTGTGGCCCACGCGTTTGCATTGTGCAGACACAACAGAGAGCAGTTACCTGTCCCTGCCTGCTGTTTACTGAGCAGTGCCGCTGGTCGCTTGCAGCAGCTCACCCAGGCAAACAGGTCACCAAGGTGGCCCTGGTTGGCGGCAGGCAGAAGAGTGACCCTGTGGGCAGGCAAGATGCTGCACTGTGTCACAGCATTGCTTTCCAGTGTGTAAAACCAGTTATTGTCAAGAGTTTACAGGACTCAGGATACTTCCATTGTCTCATTTGACCTTTACGTGAGCAGTTATATAAGAGAAAAGCATTGCCTGCATCTTGCATATGTGGAAATTTAAGCTCTGAGAGATGTCCGCGGCCAGCTGAGTGCACGTGGTCCACGTGTGGTGGAACCCGCTCCAGAGAGCAGGGCTGCCCTCGGCGCCCCGTCGTCTGCCCACACACGTGTGTGGAGAGTTGCCCTGCTGTGTGTTCTTAGGATCAGTATCAGTTAAGTGAATTCTCCCGGAGAGGCATGCAGTAACGACTGTGGGTGATGAAAGCAGGTGGAGCATGAGCCTGAGAATTGTGTTGTAGTAATTATCATGCATTTGCTGTGACCGTGAGAATCTAATGTATTAACAAAATCTCTTTAATTAAAAAATAAAAATAATAAAAAGAAGCAGAAGCTGACTTTCTGTCATGGTGAGGAGTCCCAGCAGGGCAGTTGGTCAGACGCTTAGTCCCATCGGGCGGGAGCCCCGAGACTCTGCCAGTCTGTCCTTCATGGCCCTACCGTGGCCACCGCAGCTGTGCTGTCAAGTCCACACTGACAGCAAGGAAAGGTGGTGTCTTTCCCTCTTGACAGCAGAGCCACGGCCTTTCCCAGACCAGCCCCCACACCAGACCCGTGCTTAGGTTTTCTAGGCCTGAGTTGTTTAAGGGGCACTGTCATTTTCAAAGACAACTCAGGAGTAGCCTTGGCTCGTCCAGCTCCATACAGAGGAGGAAGGAGCTGGCAGCAGGACGCTGGGTCGTAAGCTGCTGTCCTACCTTCCATCCTAGGGAGACTCTGGGCACACGTGATGGGTCCTGGCCTCTGCGTAGCTTCTCAGAGCAGCAAGTTAAGAAGTAGAACATTCTTTTCTTGCTCTGTCGATAGCTTCATTTCAGGTACGGGCCCCTGAGAAACATCAGGGAGAAGTCCTGCCTCTCAGGATAGCAGTGCTGCATTTCTTAGTCCTGGGTCTTTTCTCTTTTTAAAGGTTTGTTCATTTTGCTTGAAAGAGTTACAGAGAGGCAGCGGGAGGAGATCTTCCAGCTGCTGATTCACTCACTCCCCAAATGGCCACAACGGCTGGAGCTGGGCTGATCCGAAGCCAGGGGCCAGGAGCTTTTTCCGGCTCTCGCAGGAGGGTGCAGGGGCCCAAGGGCGTGGGCCATCTTCTACTGCTTTCCCAGGCCATAGCAGAGAGCTGGATCAGAAGTGGAGCACCCGGGACTGGAACCAGCGCCCATAAGGGATGCCAGTGTTGCAGGCAGCGGCTTTACCCGCTAAGCCACAGTACCAGCCCCATCCTGGATCTTTTTCTTTTTCTGACATAAAAAATTTATATACAACTTTGGGGGTGGAGCTGTGACCTTAGCGGGTTAAGCTTCCACCTGCGGCACTGGTATTCCATACAGGCACCAGTTCGTGTCCTAGCTGTTCCTCTTCCGATCCAGCTCTCTGCCTATGGCCTGGGCAAGCAGTGGAAGATGGTCCAGGTGCTTGGGCCCCTGCACCCGTGTAGGAGACCTGTAAGAACCTCCTGGCTCCTAGATTCAGACCAGCTCAGCTCTGGCCGTTGTGGCTATTTGGGGAGTGAACCAGTGGATGGAAGATCTCTGTCTCTCCCTCTCTCTGTAACTGCCTATGAAATATATATGTATAGAATTTGGCTGACAAAAATTCCTAAATAAGAGACGAAGCAGATACTTCCTGTTTTGTTTCCTCTGTCTTTTCCCCCCAGTTCGACCAACCATAGCAGGCAGCGGCAGCCAGCCTACTGAGCTTGTGGTGATGCGAGGGCAGGACATCTCGCTGGAGTGTGCAGTGCAGGGCGTTCCTCAGCCCGTGGTGACCTGGATGAAGGACGGCCGCCCCCTGACCAAGGGAAGGGGACTGGAAGTACTGGACGAAGGCCGCACCCTGCAGGTGAAGAACACCCACGTGTCCGACACGGGCCGTTACGTGTGTGTCGCTGTGAACGTAGCAGGAATGACTGACAGGAAGTATGACGTAAGCGTGCATGGTAAGTCGGAAGAGACTCCAGAGGGCTGTTTCTTGGCTGATGCAGTCCAGCATCCTGGAGGGAAGAACTTGGGCCTCAGTACCAAACGTCTTCAGAGGACGGTCCTTGTATCTCACAAGCTGTGTCTGTTCCATTGCGGGGCCGGTGTGTGGTGTATGTAGTAGGCTAAGCTTCCACCTGCAGCGCCAGCTCTCCTATGGGCACTGGTTCCTGTCCAGGCTGCCCCTCTTCTGATCCAGCTCCCTGCTTATGGTCTGGGAAAGCAGTGGATGATGGCCCAAGTACTTGGTGCCCTGTACTCATATGGGAGACCTGGGAGAAGCTCCTGGCCTCGGATCGGCCCAGCTCCAGCCATTGCAGCCATTTGGGGAGTGAACCAGCAGATGGAAGACCTCTCTCTCTGTCTCCCTCTCTCTGTAACTCTGCCTCTCAAATAGATAATAAATAAAAATTTTTTTTTAAAACAACATATTACATTGCTTACTCTGCTGAGATAAGCATGTATTGGATATTCTTTCAGAAAATACACAATAAAGTAGAAAATTGTATCATCAAGTACTTTTGGTTCAGTGCCATCCCAAGTAAAATCTTTTAATTGCATGTTTTTCAAATTAGCTGCCTTGACTCATTTAAATATAGGTTTCTTGGAGCTTCCTGACAATCTCGGTTGAGCATTAATTGTACTAAAGTCAGCTCTAATATTCTAATTAGCCACAAATGTCAGTAGGAATAGACCAAACATACACATAGTTAGAGACAACTATTTGGATATATACCATATGAACTGTTTTTTACATATATAGAAATATTGTTAAATTTAATAGATACAAATCTTACAACCTAAATTAAAAGTTTTTTTTTTTTTCTGTTCTACTTACTTATTTGAGAGATAGAGAAAGGGAGAGGCAACGAGAGAGTGGACTCTCTTAAATGCACACAGTGTTTCCAGAAACACCATGTAGGTCTCATATGAGCGTCGGGAACCCAAGTACTTTAGCCATCACTGCTGCCTCCCAGGGTCTGCATTGGCAGGAAACTGAGATCAGGAGCCAGAGCCCGGGATTGAACCCGGACACTCTGATGTAGGATGCAGGTGTCCTGCTTGACATCCCACCAAAGTCTTACTCTCTAGGCCAAACACCCACCCACGGATCTTGTGGCTTAAAGCCAGTTGAGATATGCTTAAGGTTCAGCATTAATAACCTGTAGTTTGCAGGCATTGCATATACCAAATCTGAAGTAATCAGAACATAGAAAATAATTAATCTAAAGTGTCTGCTTGGTAGATTGCTCTCAGTTTTTAAGCTTAGAAAGTTTTTGGAAATCCTGCCAGTGACAGGTCATGAATCAGTATCATAAGTTTACCATAGGGACCGGCGCTGTGGGCATAGCAGGTAAAGCCGTCACCTGCAGTGCCGACATACCATGTGGGCACCAGTTCAAGTCCCGGCTGCTCCACTTCTGTTCCGGCTCTCTGCTGTGACCTGGGAAAGCAGTGGAAGTTGGCCTGGGTCCTTGGGTCCCTGCACCCATGTGGGAGACCCAGATAAAGCTCCTGGCTCCTGGCTTCAGATCGGCACAGCTCTGGCTGTTGTGGCCAACTGGGGAATGAACCTGCGGATGGAGGACCTCTCTCGCGCGCGCGCGCTCTCTCTTTTTCTCTCTCTTTCTCTCTGCCTCTTCTTCTCTGTGTAACTTCAACTTTCAAATAAATAAATAAATCTTCATAAATAAATAAATTTACCATGAATGATGAGTGACACATGGAAAATTGCTAACCACTATGGGAATAGCCATGTCAAAGTCACTTGCTTCCAAGAGTGAGTGGGAAAGAAGTGCACTTTGACTTCCAGAAATATTACATTAAACAAAAAACAAAACTGGATCATTGTGATTGCTTCTTTGCTTACTGTTGGCTAGGAAAATGGGAGTTTTGTTATTGCCAGTAAGTTGTGTAGGTGTTGGTGTTTGATATACATTAGCTACCTTCCTTCCCACTTCTGTTGGTTTGGTTTTATCTTACAGCCCCGCCAAGCATCATAGGAAACCAGGGGGCACCTGAAAATATCAGTGTGGTGGAAAAGAACTCGGTGTCCCTGACCTGTGACGCTTCAGGAGTTCCACTGCCCTCAGTCACCTGGCTTAAAGACGGGTGGCCCGTCAGCCTTAGCAGTTCCGCGAGGATTCTCTCAGGTACTGCACATCCCGGGGGCCTGATCATCTGCCTGACCACAGATGGTCACACCTTCTCATGAATTCCTCGTTCTTCCATGTTTTTGTTGTTTTATTTTTCTTTGTGATGTAGCTTCCATGATACCCATTACTAATCATATTAAGAAAAAGATACTTGGACACAGGAAGCTATATAAAAATGGGGGAAATCACTAGCTCTAGATTTATTTAGAAAATATTACGTAATACTTGATTATGGCTGGCACCACGGCTCACTAGGCTAATCCTCCGCCTGCAGCACCGGCACCCCGGGTTCTAGTCCCGGTCGGGGTGCTGGATTCTGTCCCGGTCGCTCCTCTTCCAGTCCAGCTCTCTGCTGTGGCCCGGGAGTGCAGTGGAGGATGGCCCAAGTGCTTGGGCCCTGCACCCACATGGGAGACCAGGAGAAGCACCTGGCTCCTGCCTTTGGATCAGCGCGGTGCACTGGCTGCAGCGGCCATTGGAAGGTGAACCAATGGAAAAGGAAGACCTTTCTCTCTCTCTCTCTCTCTCTCTCACTGTCCACTCTGCCTAACCAAAAAAAAAAAAAAAAAAGCTTATTTCTTAAATCATGGGGATGTCACTGCATTTGTACTAGGAGGAGGACCAGTTTGAAAAGTGAAGGATTAGAAGAGCTACAACTGACCCCCGAGTCTACCGTGAATCCTGCTGCTCAGTTAATATTGTTGAATTACCCTTGGCTAGAAGAACCTCAGCCTGCTCACCACTGAATGTTTGCGTTTCTCGGATGGGATGGTTTCCCGTGAGCTAAGACGTTATCACGACTGTGAACAAGACAGTCAGCTTATTTCTCATCTAAGTCTGCAGGAGACCTGGGAGGCTTGTCTCTGGGGCACTGCCCCAGGAGTCCGTGCCTGGCCGCGGTGAGCAGTGGCCTGGAAACACACTGAGGTCATCTGCCAAGTCTGCGGTTCACGAAAAGCTTGGACACTTAGAGAGAGACCTAATATGTTGAGTGAAGGCTTCCAAATTTAAACATACCTCATGCGGGGACTTTCGAGCCAAACCAAACTAGAGGAAGGTTAAATAAATATTTGCACTTAGTATTTAGAGCCATTATTATCAGAAAAGTAAATACAGTATTTTGCCACAGTAATAAATTATCTTTTCCTCAGTGAGAAGAGGAATCAGCTGTACCCTAGACCTAGCAGACCCTGTTAGGAAGATGAGGAGGAGATTTATTGACGATCTTTTTAAAGGAAGATAGCCACGATTGTGAATGACAGCAAAATAGTATGTCCGTACTGAGCCCCACAGAAAACAAACCTTACGGTTTATTTAGCACATAATCAAGGTCAAATATTTATAGAGCAGTGGATTTGGAAGGATTATGTTGATCGTGTCTAGTCTCAGGGATCAAGAGCAGTGTCATGAAGATAAGAGGGATGAAAATGAGTTCGCGTTTTTCAAGTCAAGAGGAGTGCTTAGGTGGTGGTGAGCCTCCTGAGCCCACCTCCTTCAGACAAGACGTAGGAACCCGCTGGTGGGCCTTTTCAGAAAAGCTCCTTTCCTGGTGTTGGGATTAGGTCTAACCTGCTGCTGGCCGGCCTCGGTCAAGGACGCACGTTTCTGTAACCACATCCATTGCCTGGAGACCGCAGGCCGGAGACTGCGGTTTGTGTCATTGCTTGTAAGGTGAGGCTCTCGGGCTTTCTTCCGAGAGGAAGTGAGAGGAGGAAGCTGTGCCGCGTTGTCCTCCTGGCTGAAGCCACAAGGTAGCCTCGCTGATCGGAAGTCGCAGGGAGTGTGAAGTCCTCTTCTGCCTGGCTAGACTTTGTTTTAAACACGTTCAGAGAAGTCCTGTACCTGTTTACAGTCGGATGTGTTTGTCTGAAATAGAAATTCCTAGGCTCCCTTCCAGAGTGCTGCTGGGAAGTCCCACGCCAGTGTCTTGGGGGAATAGAGTTGGGAGACTCCTGACAGAGCCAGATCCGGGTGCTCCAGTGTGAAAGCTCATGTTTAACTCTGACCTCTGTTGCAGTTGTTCACGTCCAGGGTGCCAGCTGGACGACGACAGGGTCTGAGAAAGGGCTGCGTGATTTTCTTACGCTTTCCCACATGCTCTTAGTCCTAGGCAGGCCAGTTCAGCTCATGTGTGGGTTCCTCCCCCTTTGCCCTCACCGGGCATCTCCTCCAAATCACACCTTCAGTCTACACCAGGCGTCTCCTCCAAATCACACCTTCAGTCTACACGCATTTCTTGGAGGAAGAATATTTCTGCAAACAAAATGTTACAGATAGTAACAGTGTTGAAATGTTGTATGAGGTGACCCATAACCATAACCTTTCTAAGACCGGGTTCAGGCGTCACTGTCTCTGTGCAGCGCTATTGCTGGCTTGCTGGCACCTGGCGTCGTGTAGGTTTCTAAGTCATGTGGCTGTTTGCTTTCCCAGGAGGCAGGACACTGCGGCTGATGCAGGCCAAGGTGGAGGATGCGGGCCAGTACATGTGTGTCGTCAGGAACGCGGCAGGCGAAGGAAGAAAACTCTTCGGACTTTCAGTACTGGGTACTTCCACCATTTGCAGTATCTAGAAGTCGGCTTGCATAGGGCTGGAAGCTGGGTTTACATCTCCTTGCAGCTTGGTCTCGTATCTGTGTTCTTTGGGCCCTGCTGTGAGTCTTGGCAGGGACTCCATGTCGGGATGATTGGGAGATGATGAATCCGTGTGGCTGAAACGCCCTGTGTTGCCAGTGCACAGTTGTCGCACATTTCTTGAGATGCTGAACGACTTGTGTTTTGTGAGCACTTATCAGAGTTATGGTGGGAGAAGTAAACGTCGAGTAAATGTTCTTACTCTTGATTTGTTAAGAAATCTGTATGCAGACCTTTGTGGTTTATTTACAGTAAAGCTCACTAGAGTAGGAATCATGGCATAAAACTTTATATTTTAAATGGGTATTGAGGCTGGCGCCGCGGCTCACTAGGCTAATCCTCCGCCTAGCGGCGCTGGCACACTGGGTTCTAGTCCCGGTCGGGGTGCCGGATTCTGTCCCGGTTGCCCCTCTTCCAGGCCAGCTCTCTGCTGTGGCCAGGGAGTGCAGTGGAGGATGGCCCAAGTGCTTGGGCCCTGCACCCCATGGGAGACCAGGACAAGTACCTGGCTCCTGCCTTCGGATCAGCGCGGTGCGCCAGCCACAGTGCACCGGCTGCGGCAGTCATTGGAGGGTGAACCAACGGCAAAGGAAGCAAAGGAAGACCTTTCTCTCTGTCTCTCTCACTGTCCACTCTGCATGTCAAAAAAAAAAAAAAAAAAAAAAAAAAGAAAAAAAATGGGTATTGATCAAAATATTGTTATAACATTCTAGTGCTCAAGTATTGAATGGTAATTAGCAGATTTGTTGTAAGGATTATAGCATTCTAAAAATGCAATTGTGGGTGCCTATTGAAAAAAAAGCCCCGCTGTTGGAGCTCTGATTTCCTAGGTTTTGGTTCTGTTTTGTTTGCTTTTTCAGTTCCGCCTCACATTGTGGGTGGAGACACACTGGAAGACGTGAAGGTGAAGGAGAGGCACAGTGTCAGGCTGACGTGCGAGGTGACAGGTGAGGGCTGCTCCCCTGCCCCTCGTGCGGCCCCCAGCTCCGAGGCTCGCCCTCGCCACTCTGAGTCAGTGACTGAGAGAAAGGAGACGTTGGGAATGGAATTGCGCCCCGTGTAGCTGTACCACTGAGGGATAAACCTGCGCAGATGCTGTGGAGATGAGAAGGAAGTACCCACAAGAGAGGGAGGGAGGGAGGCAGGGAGAACTGAGCAAGACACTCGTCTCCATTCTTCTGCCTCGACTCGGATGTGCTTTTCCTGCCTCGTCTGCCCGCGTTCTCTTCCCTCGGTGTGTGTTCACTTCCTTTCCTTTTTGGGTGCTTTGGTAGAAGGGTGTCATTATTTTTATGGTGGAAATCGCCTGTGAACAAAATTGTGACCTTTTGTTAACTTGTAGCATTTTAACAAAGAGAATAGAAACTAGGAAAAATACATCAAAAGTTAACAGTTATAAATCCAGTTTCTTTACCACCAATAATCAATCAAAGTAAGCAAAACTTAACAGGACCTTTTCCCAGCCTGTTTTTATTGTACATGGCCTTGCAGGTGTAAAGGAACAGTGAGAGTGGCCCTTAATGATTATGGAAAGTCAGCATTTTAAGGAAGATTTGATGAGTTTCTTGTTTCACTGTTCAGATGCCTCATGGAGCAATACATTTAAGAAAGCAAGGAAATCTTTCTATTTTAAGTCACTTAACCTACCCATGGTTTCTTCTAGAAACATTGTGGCTACTAGTAACTGCTGCTGCTTAGAGAACAGTCGCCTAAAGTTTATGCCATCTCCCCTCAGGGTCTCCTGTTTTAATCTATTACCCTGGCCTTCTGTTCCTAACGTGATTTGCTTTTATGGTGTAAAATGTCAAAAAATTACATGAATAATTAAAAATAATATTTAACATAGTCTGATTTTAAAGCAACTATAAAAAGACCTTTTCCCTATAGATTGTATTTATTAACAGAGCAATTAATATCTCTTTATATATCTGTCTATATGTTAGAATCCTTATGCAAACTCAAAATATCTGAATTGTTTAATTAAAGGTCTTATATTTTTACAGATTTTTTTCCCAAAAATACAGATTTGTAGAAAACCAATGTGAATGCAGAGGTATTCATGAGTAAAAATTTTAACAAAAATGCATACCCCAATTCTCAGTGTGGTATAAATTTAATTAAACATGCCAATTTTGAATCATTTCACTTACAGATGGAAACCACATACACTTGAAAATTACTTGTAATGTATGTCTAGTCTTAAAGTCATAGCAGAATCATTATTACGGTAAAATAGGGAAGTTGCAGATTTATTTTAAAATGAAGGGCCTCTGCATTGTTTGAGAAGTGGGACTTGGAGGAAGGGAAGTGAGTGAAAGGCCCCCTTTCAGAGTGAGGGTCCGAGCCAGTGGCTCTTTCTCCAGGGAATCCAGTCCCAGAGATCACCTGGCACAGAGACGGGCAGCTCCTGCAGGAAGACGAAGCCCATCACCTTGTGTCCGGTGGCCGTTTTCTGCACATCCGCGAGGCCCAGGTGTCGCACACTGGAAGATACACGTGTCTGGCTTCCAATTCGGCTGGGGACAAGAGCAAAAGCTTCAGTCTGACTGTGTTTGGTAAGTGTCGGTTCTGCCTCAGATCTTCAAGAATCAAACATGACTGTGGTTAAGTCCTTTATTTTGTTTAGTTAATGTTTCTGTTGTAGATTTTAATTCTGTAAGGAGTACCAACCCTTGTGTACAGTCTTAAAATCAGTTGAGCTACATGGGAGTATACACATTTTTGTGGTCTTCTGTTTTTGTGGTTATTGGCTATACTGTGTTGTGAGTACATAGATGTTCCCACACATAGGAAACTCTCACGGCCTTGAAGAGATGTATGAGGGAGTTTCTTTTTTTCTAAGATTTATTTTATTTATTTGAAAGAGTTACAGAGCGGTAAAGACAGAGAGAGAGGTCTTCCATCTGCTGGTTAACTCCCCAGGTGGATGCAATGACTGGAGCTGTGCCGATCCAAAGCCAGGAGCCCGGAGCTTCTTCTGGGTCTCCCATGTGGGTGCAGGAGCCCAAGGTCTCGAGCCATCTTCCACTGCTTTCCCAGGTCATAGCAGAGAGCTGGGTCAGAAGAGGAGCAACCGGGACTAGAACCGGCACCCACGTAGGATGCCGGCGCTTCAGGCCAGGGCGTTAACCCGCTGCACCACAGCGCCGGCCCCATGAAGGAGTTTCAAAAGATTTATGGGAGGCCGGCGCCGGGGCTCACTAGGCTAATCCTCCACCTTGCGGCGCCGGCACACCGGGTTCTAGTCCCGGTCGGGGCACCGGATTCTGTCCCGCTTGCCCCTCTTCCAGGCCAGCTCTCTGCTGTGGCCTGGAAGTGCAGTGGAGGATGGCCCAGGTGCTTGGGCCCTGCACCCCATGGGAGACCAGGAAAAGCACCTGGCTCCTGGCTTTGGATCAGCACGATGCTGGCTGCAGCACCCTGGCCGCGGCGGCCATTGGAGGGTGAACCAACGGCAAAGGAAGACCTTTCTCTCTGTCTCTCTCTCTCACTGTCCACTCAGTCTGTCAAAAAAAAAAATTTTTTTTTTAATTAAAAAAAAAGATTTATGGGAAAATGGAATTAAAAATGACGCACATGGTCCATAAGCTTTTCAAAGCCCTCTTGCTTCTGTAAGAAGAGTTAAAATACCAGATAATGTGTAAATGTCAAATGAATGGAATATATAACTATTATTCCATGCAACAAATATAGATCCCGCAGTCTCATCAAGGAGTGCATCCCCTCACCCAGCACGGTGTTGTGCAGGAGTGTGCGGAGAATAGTGCACACAGGTTCCCGAGCCCGCTGTCCTGAGCCCGCCCTCCGCGCACGTCCAGGCGGCCTGGGAAAGGCTGGAGCCCAGCCCTGATTGCCTCAGCTCTGCTGGACCTGCCTGCTTCTCCAAGAGGCCTAAGCTCCCCATGCCTCATTCCTCCCACTACCGATTCCTTGCCCCCGCAACACTGGCCCATCTCCAAGTCTGCCTTCTGTGCTCCCTGGAAACCTGACTTGAAACCCTCTCCAGCTCTGGCTGCCGTTGAAATTCGGCCCTTCCTAGAACTGCATCTGCAGTGCAGGCCGCGCACTTTGTGCTGGGAGTCTGCATCGCGCTGTCTGACCACATCACCTTCCCCAGCCCCACCCTTACCATTGCCTGGTGCCCCTCCCGTTCACTGGAGACTGGGGGCTCTGCCTCAGAGCCGCCTTTTCCACCGACTTCATACAGTTGAGGCTGCTCAAACGTGTGTTTGCAGCTTTCAGGCTACCCAGCCGTCAACTCAAGGCCTCAAGCCTTCCTTTTCCCAGGGTGCTGAGTTGCGGTTCTTGTTCCCAGTCGCTGTTTGCATTCCTGCCCTGACCCTGTGTCTGCCTGCCCGCCTTCCACGTGTCACTCACACCGCCTGCCTCACTGCTGCTTCACCTCTGCTTCCTGTCCCTGCCACTTGCTGATGTCACCACGCCTGTCTGTAGGTGGGGTCTCTGCCCACACCGTTCCTGATACTTACCTGACTCGCTGGGTCCAGCAAGTGTCTCAGCCCCAGCCTTGCTGACAGGTGCCGTCCGTTGCCTGGCTGCCGAGAGCACCTTGTGGTCCCTTCCTCTCCCCGCGGGGACTCTTACTTGGGCCTGTCTTCCACACGGGCTCCCCCAGCCTTCTCTCCTTTCACTGCTCTTGTTCTCTAGGTACTCTGTGCAGCGATACAGTGCATTCCCACTGAGGTCATTCTCCTTCCTGTACACTGGTGATGTTTAAGTCAGCACCTGCAGCCCGGTCCTTCTCTCAAGCTTCAGACTCCTGCATGCAACTCCCTGTTGGACATTTCAACCTGAAATGCTCAGGGGCACTTAAAATCCAAGATACTCAGAACTGAACCGTCTTTTCCTCCTACGTGAGAAAGCCTTTCTTTGTTTTCTATTTACATTGCTTCTCCGCAGCTTAGCTCTGTTCCCAAGCAGAAAAAACTGGAATTTATCTTTGACTCTGGTCCTCCCCAGTCCTCCCCAGTCCTCCCACTGCCAGTTAGCGTCCGACATCTCTCTATGGTCGGTCCTCCCCTTGGTGCCTTCTGTCAGTGGCTTGTCATCTCTCAGGAAACAAACACACCTGTCTCTGTTGTCTTTGCATCCAGTATTTTTTAAATTTTATTCATTTACCTTTTTTTTGAGTAAGGGACACACAGAAAGAGCTTCCCAGATGCCCACAACAGCTGGGGCCAAAGCCAGGAACCAGGATTGCAGTCCCAGTCTCCCACACGGATGCAGGGACCTAACCAGAGCCTCCTGCCTGCCAGGGTCTCCATTAGCAGGGAGCTGGAGTGAGGAGCCAGAGTGGGCTATCCAACCCAAGCGCCTGGGTGTGGATGCAGACATCTTAACCGCTAGGCTAAAGGCCCACTCCTGTTGTGTCCGACGCTGCCCCACTTGACTCGATCCTCTGAGTGCTCCGGCCTGACCCTCCCTGTTTACAGCTCTTCCGCTCTCAGGATGCCCCCGCTCGTTGCTAGGACCCCCTTTCGCCTGCTGGCCACTGCTAGGCATCCATGGCTCACTTTCAGACCTGCGGACGCCATGTCTCAGACTGGACCTGATGAACTGCCACACTTACTGCAGCATTCCTGTCATCTCTGCCCTTACTACAGAGTGTTAGGATTCCTTCTCTTTTTTTAAAATTTTATTTATTTATTGGAAAGGCAGAGTTACAGAGACAGAGATCGTTCATTTGTTGGTTCACTCCCCAAACGACCACAGCGGTCCAGGGAGGGGCCAGACAGAAACCAGGAGTTTCATCCAGGTCACCTACGTGAGTGGCAGGGGCCCACGTATGTAGGCCATCCTCTGCTGCTTTCCCAGGCTCAGTGGCAGGGAGCCGGATTGAAAGAGGAGCAGCCAGGTTCGGCCAGCGCCGCGGCTCACTAGGCTAATCCTCCACCTTGCGGCGCCGGCACACCAGGTTCTAGTCCCGGTCGGGGCGCCGGATTCTGTCCCGGTTGCCCCTCTTCCAGGCCAGCTCTCTGCTGTGGCCAGGGAGTGCAGTGGAGGATGGCCCAGGTGCTTGAGCCCTGCACCCCATGGGAGACCAGGAGAAGTACCTGGCTCCTGCTATCGGATCAGCGCGGTGCGCCGGCCGCGGTGGCCATTGGAGGGTGAACTAACGGCAAAAGGAAGACCTTTCTCTCTGTCTCTCTCTCTCTCACTGTCCACTCTGCCTGTCAAAAAAAAAAAGAAAAAAGAAAAGAAAAGAAAAGAAAGAAGAAAGATAAAAAAGAGGAGCAGCCGGGACTCAAACTGGCGCTCATACGGATGCTGGCATCTCAGAAGGCGGCTTAACCCACTGCGCCACACGCCAGCCCTCGGATTCCTTCTTTAGGTGTCATCTCCCCCATTACCCAGGGAGCATTTGGGGGACTCTCACTGCTTTAGTGTGGAATCAGAACAACTTCTCAGTTACGTTCTTAAGAAATGGAGTTACACAATTACACAAATAAATACAGTGGAAATTTAGAAATGTACATTTAGGACAGTTTCTAAAACATGTCTTCAATCGAATTGTAAACCTGCTTCAGTGTCTCCAACAATTGCTGGTGTGGACGGCGACAGCAGCCCTGAGGATGTCACTGTCATCCTGAACAGCCCCACGTCTCTGGTCTGTGAAGCTTATTCCTACCCCCCCGCTACCATCACCTGGTCGAAGGATGGAGCCCCCTTGGAATCCAACCGAAATATCCGCATTCTCCCAGGTAATTCATTCATTCCAGACGCCCCGGATTCGTCTGTGTCACTGACAACTGTGGAAAAGCAGAATCATTTTGGTTGGTTTTTTTTTTTTTTTTTTTGGGAAAGGTACTCATGTTGTTGTTTTATGTTATTCTGATATTTTAATTTCTAATTTTTGCATATAATAATCTAAAGTACTAAAATTACATTTGGAAAGATCAGCATAATTAAGTGAAAAATGCTACCATGCAATCAATTAATGACTAAAATACATGGAATGTCAAAAAGGCTAGAGATTCATTTCTTGTTGGATGTTGAAAGATAACTTGTATTTGCCTGTGTTTGTTTATTCCTTTATTGATTAGTTTTGAGAGGTAGATCTCCCATTAACTTCCCAAATGGAGACGATGGCTGGACCTGGGCGAGGCTGAAGCTGTGAGCCAGGAACTTAATCCAGGTCTCCCGTGTGGGTGACCCAGACCCGCCTACTCGAGTCAAGTGCTGCCCCTAAGTGCACATTAGCCAGACCAGACGTTGGAGTCGGAACCAAAGTCAGCACTCAGAGCCAGAAACCCCCCTCAGTTGCAGGCATCCCAGCTGGAATTTAACTGCTGCACCAAACTCCTACCGCGTTCCCTCTTTCATACCTGGCGAGATGAATGAAATATAACTAAGAAGTAGAAACTCTGGATTTGAGTCACAGTCTCATGTGGAACAAAGATAGTATCTGTGAAAAGCCACTTCACAGCATGAACCGTGGAAAGTCATGGTTTATAAATGGTCCAGGGGCGGGCTAAATTGAGTAGTGACAAGTTTTACAAGAATCCAAAAGAAGAAATGGCTACCATGGGCTGAGCTGGTCAGAAACAGCTTTGTTGCTTTTGTCAGAACGTGGCCTGGACCTTAAAGAAATTTCTAGAATTGAGTTGATTAAAAATGAATCAGAAGGGCTTTCACATCCATCAGGGTGACCAGTGTGGGAAAGGTGCAGAGAGAGCATGGCCAGCTGTGTGCACGTGAACTTCTCATGCCCCTGAGTGGGGAAGGGCGTGTGGCATGTGTGTCGTGCGTAGTATGTGTGCAGGGTGTGTGTGTGGTATGTGTGTGGTATGTGGATGAATGATGCGTGGTGGGTGTGTGTATGTTTTGTATGTGTGTGGGGGGCGGGGGGATGGTCAGGGAGGAAAGGGAAGGTTGGAGTCCTATGCGATGCCTGGATTAAAGAGTCTGAACTTCGGTCAGTTGAGGACATTGACGATCTGAAGGGGGCAGTGCCCTCCCTAAGCCTGCTGCAGCAGAGCTAGACTGCTGTGTGGGAGGGAGGGAGAAGATGGTGGCGGCAGGAACTGCTGCTGAGCGGAGGAGACACAGGCCCCTAGCACAGTGCTGTCGGGAAGCCTGGAGGGCCAGAAGGCTGAGGTCGTCACCGCAGAGGCCTGCTGGGGACCCCAGGGCGGCCCCTGCTGCCACGCAGTGACGCACACTGTCGTTTGTCTTCCCTCAAGCGTCTGCCTCAGAACGGGCGTAGGACAGAAGCAGCGTTGCAACAGCAGTAACAGACAGCCTGTGACTTGTGCAGGTTCTCTGTGATTTCAAAGACTCTGATGTCCCACGATTTTCCAGGAGGGCGGACCCTGCAGATCCTGAACGCGCGAGCGGACGATGCTGGGAGGTACTCCTGCGTCGCCACTAATGAGGCTGGCGAGATGATAAAACACTACGAGGTGAAGGTCTACAGTAAGTGCCCAGACCTCGCATTGCGCATCTCCCTCACTTCTTTCTCAGTCCTGTTCGTTCCCGGTTCTTAGTTATTCAGACTTGGTAAAGACTGCCGTGTCTGCAGCTTGCTTCATTGAGGATGGAGTGAGTTGAGCATTGTGCCCATGACCTCAGTTGCTTACAGATGTGACGAGCCCACTCTGCTCGCTGCCCCCTTGCTGAGACCAAGGCAGGGCCCCTGCCCCCAGTGTCTCTGGTTTCCTTCTGCATCGCTGTCCGCACCGAGTTGAAATGCTCGCCCAGACAGAACTGTGGGTGCATGTGCCCTGCCTGAGGTCCTCAGGGTGGGGGCTCTCCCCGTGTGCCTTGACCTGTTAAGAAAAGGCGGAGCTGATACGGCCATTAGTAGAATCCGCATTTCCGGAGTTTGTTTTGTGAAGGAAGAGTTGTCTTCGTGATGCTCCTTTGCTCTCCGACTTGATACCTTAATGATGAATAAGGAACAGGTATTACGGCTTGTGCTAGACTGCGGATCTGGTGCAGACAGAGCGCCCTGCCCTGTGAAGGACCTTAGCCTCGTTGTACGGTGAGGGTGGGGGCAGAAGGCGTCTCCCTCACACTCCGTCAACACTGCTGCTTCACCAGGCGCTGGCGGAGGCATCTCCTTGCGGGGTGGCTTCAGTGTGCTTTCCAGGGGATTCTGTGTGCTGACCGTAACCGAGGGCTCACTCTCCCGTCTTTGCCTTGTGCAGTTCCACCCATAATCAGTAAAGGGGACCTTCTGGGGCCAGGCGTTTCCCCTAAGGAAGTGAAGATCAAAGTCAACAACACGCTGACCCTGGAGTGCGAAGCCTATGCGGTTCCTTCCGCCTCCCTCAGCTGGCACAAGGATGGACAGGCCAGTCACGGTTTTTTTTACTTGCTGATGATTTCTTAAAGACTAAAATGGAGAATTTAAAAAAGACACAAGTGACTCAGAACCAATGTGAGCTTAGAACTAGCCAATCCCATGCTCCCGGAGTCTAAAACTGTGCCCACCCGGAAGCATGCTGAGCAATCTGGAATTGTCCCATTGCTGGAATGAGTGCACTTGTCTGGAAACCTGGCCCCTGCCCACGCCTCCGTTAGGGAACAGTGTTTCTGTCCTGTGGTTTGACAAACTCAGTCAGTGCCGTAGGTGAGAAGCACATAGCCGATTCAGCGTCATCAGCATACCTCGGACACTACGTTTATCCTGAACTTTGTTCAGACACCTTCCACTCTTACAGAAAGTGACAGTTACGGTCTCGTAAGACACAGAAGCAGAGTTAGAAGGTGACGAATGCCCAAATCCAGTTATGGGGGGTGGGGGCAGTGAGAGGCTTCAGCTAAAAAGCTGACCTTTAAGTCTGTGATCTGACTTCAGACCATGCACGCTATGCCTCATCCAGCTTACGTTCTTCCCTGCAGGTGCAGGTGTTAAAGACATACGTGCGGTGCTCTCAGACTGGAATAGATTGTTAGTTGTTAACACTGCACTTGACGCGGATGTGAAATGGCCAGGCTGCCGTTCGTCCTGCTTTACACATAATCAACTCAGTGGTCAGTTAAATTCCCGCTGGAGAAGTTCAGGTCACAGTCCCAGTTCGAGGTGCAGCTTTTTTGTTCAGAGCACAGATGGATTTTTGCAATGCTGGCAGCTTGAAAAAAATCACTCGTAAAATAAGCCAGTTTCATCTGGAAGCCATTGTAAAAGAAAAAGTATAGAACTCCCAGCGTGTTCTGTTTATGGTTGCTTTTCTAACTACAAGCAGACTGCTTGGTACAACATCCATTCTATATGACTTTGCTTGGAAACAAATAATCTTTCTCCTTTAAAATCATGTTATTTTTACACTTTTAGTTTTCTTTGAAGCCTTTCTATTCCTTGTAGTTACTATACATTTGCACACATAGAGAAATACAGATACAAAACCTTCTTAGAAACTAGAATTGCACTAGAAATGAAATAATTTTGTGTTTTTTTAATTTCATTATGAATATTTAAATTAGACCTTCAAATTTAGACTCCAAAGTTGATAAATTACAATGCTTTATACTGCTAACACTTTGGGGGTTGGGATTGGTTCCCTAGAATATAAACCATAGAAAATTTTAATTATTGTATTTTTTTTTAAAGATTTATTTATTTATTTGAAAGGCAGAGTTACAGAGAGGCAGAGAGAGAGGGAAAGGTTCTCCATCCGCTGGTTAACTCCCCATTTGGCTGCAATGTCCAAAGCTGCGCCAATCCGAAGCCAGGAGCCAGGAGCTTCCTTCGGGTCTCCACGCGGGTGCAGGGGCCCAAGCACAGGGCCATCTTCTACTGCTTTCCCAGGCCATAGAAGAGAGCTGAATGGGAAGTGGAGCAGCCAGGACTCAAGCCAGTGCCCATATGGGATGCTGGCATGGCAGGCGGCGGCTTTACCCGCTATGCCACAGTGCCAGCCCCAATTATTGTATTTTTAAGTGATAAAATTTTAATCATGATTCATTGCATCTCAAGTTATTTATTGAGCATCTGCTGTTTGCCAGACATTATTTTATGTACAAGGGATACAGCTATGACAGAAACAAAATGCTCTGCCCCTACTAAGTTTAGAGAGATGAAAAAAGCCATAAACAAACCAACGAGTAGAACATAGAATGTCAGTTAAATGTAGGTGTCACAGGGGCTGGCACTGTGGCGTAGTGAGTAAAACTGCTGACTGCAGTGCCGGCATCTCTCATATGGGTGCCGGTTTGAGTCCTGGTTGTTCCACTTCCGATCCAGCTCTCTGCTATGGCCTGAGAAAGCAGTGGAAGATGGCCCAAGTCCTTGGGCCCCAGCACCCGTGTGGGAGACCTGGAAGAAACTCCCAGCTCCTGGCTGTGGATGGGCACAGCTCTGGCCATTGCAGCCATTTGTGGAGTGAATCAGCAGATGGAAGACCTCTCTCTGCCTCTCTGGAGATCTGCCTTTCAAATTAATAAATAAATCTTTAAAAAAAAATGTAGGTGACACAGAGAAAACACAGAGACTAGGATTCCAATTGTGTGGAGTGTGGTCTCTTATTAAGACAAGGAAAACATCTTCGGTAAGGTTTGATGTACTTAAGTGAGAACCCCCAAAAAGTGAAGGAAGCAAACACAAGGTATCAGAGGGGACAGTATCCCAACTGAGCAGGTGCAGCGGACACGGGGAACGCAGAAGATGCGGGCGGAAGAGTGGCCGGGGTCCAGGTTACACTGACTGTGGAGCAGGTGACCCTGTACTGATGGGAAGCCAACTGGGAGTTTGATAGGGTGCGATATTATGTGACTTAACGTGTTCAAAGGCTGCTATACTTGGGGAAGAAAGAGTCCAGCTATTACGTTATTGTAGGGGTCCAGAAGAGGCATGGTGGTTGCTTGGACCAAGGTGGTAGCAGGGTGTAGAGAGCAAAGGAAAGAGAAGAGGTTAAGATTTTTTTTAATATTTATTTATTTATTTGAAAGAGTTACAGAGAGGGCGAGGCAGAGAGAGAGATCTTCCATCCTCTGGTTCACTCCCCCAAATGGCTGCAATAGCCAGAGCTGGGCCAATCTGAAGCCAGGAACCAGGAGCTTCATCTGGGTCCCTGATGTGGGTGAAGGGCCCCAGCACTTGAGCCATCTTCTGCTGCTTTTCCAGGCCACAGCAGGGAGCTGGATTGTAAGTGGAAAAGCCGGGTCTTGAACCGGCGCCCATATGGAATGTCAGCGATTAGGCAGTAGCTTTCCCAGCACCAGCCCCAAGACCAAGACTTTGCAGGAGACCATTTGGATAGTGACACTGGATGGAAAAAGAGGTGAAAGGATAAGCTCCAGGCCACTCATGCATGGAGAGGCTGACGCGCAGGGAAGGTGTATCTCGACAAGATACGTGAAAATCTGTAGAACAAACGCTGCAGACCAGATGAGAACTCAGAAGGCACTCGGATTAGCAGCACGGGTGTCACTGGTAACCCTGACAGAGTCTTTTTGGTCAAGCAGACAAGATTCATGAAAAGATGAAGGGAAAGAAATTGGAGACAGCAAATGCACAATATATTTTTAAATCATTTGACTATAAGTGGCAATAGAAAATGTGGAGGTGGGCCGCAGCGGGAGAGATTGATGAGGATGCAGGTGGGAGAGGATGCAGCCGGAGGACGGTCCTCGAGTAGATCAGAGGAGGCTCAGAATGTGCAGACTGGTGTTTATCAGGGTCAGCATTTAGATAGATAGATTGCTTGACTTAGAAAACAGTTACAGAGAGAGAGAGGGAGAGATAAGCGGGGATCTTCCATTCTCTGGTTCACTCCCGAAATGGCTACAACGGCCAGGACGAGGCCAGGCCAAGCCAGGGGCTTCATGCAGCTCTCCCTCGGGGGTGCAAGGGCCCAAGAATTCGGAACATCTGCTGCTGCTTTCCCAGGCACATTAGCAGGAAGCTGGATCGGAAGTGGAGCAGCCGGGACTTGAACCGTCACCCATGTGGGATGTCCGTGCAAGTGGCAGTCCAGACCATCACACTACAACTCCAGCCCCTGGGTCAGAATTTTTCTATGGGAGTAAAATCAAGGAAGAGGAGGGCTTACATATGGAGTGACTCGAGTTAAACCTTCTCTGAGTAAGGAGAGAGTAGAAGTCGGGGAGCATAAGGGCAGTGAGAAGATTGCGGGGTATAGATTGTGGTCTTCCATGAGGTCGGAGAGGTGCTGAGTTGCGTGCTAGAGAAAATGAGTTAGAAGGGTAGGAGGTGGTGTTCAGAGGACGAGAATGGGAATCTGAGATCACGAAGAGGTGCAGTTACCAGTAATGAAGAGGTCTGACTCCTACTGCAGCGGTTGAGACAGGGTGGGTGGGAACCTTAAAATTGAGTGAGAAGATCCAGGAGCCAAGAAGACACAGGACTGGATGTCTGGGCGGCATCAAACTCACCAGGTGTTGTGAGAAAGGTGTCTTTAGAAATAACGACATAAACAAGAGCTGCAATCTTCATGGAATGGGGGAAATCAAAGCATTGTAAGTGAAGGTAACGTTATCAGTAAAACATACTGTGAATACCTTTAAGTTAGTTTCCCATTCAGTGTGGTAATTTCAGTAAAGCATAATGCAGGAGTCAGCATTTGACCTAGCAGTTCAGACATCCACATTCCAGAGTAGCTGATTTGATGGCAGCTCCAGTGCCAGATTCCAGCTTCCTGCTAATGCAGACAGACCTGCGGAAGCACTGCGGATGCCTCAGGTGGTTGGATTTCCGCCTCCCTTTGGGAGACCTGCACTGAATTCCTGACTCAGAGTCAGCAGTAGCCCAGCACTGGCCCTTGTAACATTTAGGAAGTGAACCAGAGGGTGGGAACACTCTCCCTCTGTCTCTCTCTCTGCCTCCTAAAATAAATTAATTAAAGCAATATGAAAGGGGACCAGCACTGTGGCATAGAGGGTAAAGCTGCCACATGCAGTGCCGGCATCCCATGTGGGCGCCAGTTCAAGCCCCAGCTGCTCCATTTCCAGCCAGCTCTCTGCTATAGTCGGGAAAGCAGTAGAAAATGGCTCAGGTCCTTGGGCCCCTGCACCCTTGTGGGAGATCCGGAGGAGGCTCCTGGCTCCTGGCTTTGGATCCACACAGCTCCAGCCATTGCGGCCATCTGGGGAATGAACCATCAGATGGAAGACTCTCTCCCTCTCTCTGTGTCTCTCTCTCCTTCTGCCTCTCTCTAACTCTGCCTTTCAAATAAATAAATAAATCTTTAAAAAGAAAAAAATGTAAGTTAAAATTTTGCATTTATGAAGTAATGATCTTTTTAATAAGTAGTAGTAACTGTAGACTGAATCAGATTATATTAATGCCCTGAATTTTCTTAAAGAAATTCTAGCATTTTCTACTAAATTATGGTAGAGGGTAAGCTTTCTAAATACAGTATGATATAAACTGAAAACGTTTTTTCCTAGCATGGATAAATGAATATGTTACCCAAGAACGTATTTTTAATTTTAAAAAAAAAGTATAAACTGTATAAATGCGTCCCAGCAAATACCTAGCCTAATCATTAACTGTTTCAGCTACAGTTTTCAATAAGTAAAAATTTGAAATTTGATTACTCAGAAACAAGCAGTGTCATCCAAATAATTTGTCGTCTGGAATCTTTTGCATAATATTTTATTTTCATTTAACAAAGAATCATAAACACTGTCAACTCATTGTCTCTTCAGGCTTTATTGGAGTACTTGATGTTAACATTGTTGTAATTGAATCGCAGCCCCTTACGCCAGATGATCATATTACTATTGCCGCTAATGGACAAACACTTCAAATAAAGGAGGCTCAAATATCAGACACAGGGCGCTACACCTGTGTAGCAGCTAACATCGCCGGTGAAGATGAGCTGGATTTTGATGTGAATATACAAGGTAATACATACTTACTGTGTGTCATTTAATTTATATGATCTGTCAAAGTAATACAAGAGCGATTGACTTGGTTTATTTTTGGTAGTGAGGTTTTTTCCCCTCTTGACAACATTGTAAATTAATTATTGAAGATCTGGGCTTGAGAAATAAGATGAAAATAATCCCTTTGTTCAGGGTTACTTCCAGGATTACTTTTTTATTTTTGTGTGCCTCCTTCTTATGAATTTAAATGTATCCTTCATTTAAAAAATTTGGAATACACAATACAGACCTCTCTGTTACCTTAGTATTCCCCTAACATCATATCATGAAATTTTCTAAATAATGTTTACATGGAAGGCAGCAAGGTGGTAAAGTACAGAATTCAAAGCCCTCACCCTTGGATTAAATGATGTTTATGGTTCTTACGAGTTCTGTGACTTAGGCAAGTTAACCAAACATTTTAAGGTTCCAGTTGCTTACTTTTTTTTTTTTTTTTTTTTTGCCAAGCAGAGTTAGACAGTGAGAAAAAGACAGAGTAATAGACAGCGAGGGAGAGACAGAGAAAGGTCTTCCTTCCGTTGGTTCACTCCCCTAATGACCGCTACGGCCGGCGCTGGACCAATCCAAAGCCAGGAGCCGGGTACTTCCTCCCAGTCTCCCATGCAGGTACAGGGCCCAAGCACTTGGGCCATCCTCCACTGCCCTCCGGGGCCACAGCAGAGAGCTGGACTGGAAGAGGAGCAACCGAAACAGAATCCGGCGCCCCGACTAGGACTAGAACTAGAACCCGGGGTGCCGGCGCCGCAGGCAGAGGATTAGCCTAGTGAGCTGCAGCGCTGGCTCAACCTCATTTTTAACAACTATGCCAGTTTCATTAGTTGAGTATTCAAATACTTACCTAACCATATTCCTATTGTTGAATGTCTGGATTGTCTCCCAAGTTTTCGCTACTCATAAAATAATGCTACACTGAGCATCTTAATACAAAAACTTTTACACGTCTTTGATTTTTTTCAAAAGTTGGAAACAGTAGAAATTTTAGATCAGGTGTTATATACTTTATAGTGTTTATGATGTACAGGCAAAATGCGTTATATACAGTTTGTATTTGTGTTAAAAGGTATGAGAATGTCCTGTACTTTCTGTTAAGGGAGGTGTTAGCCTAGATTATAAACTTCTTCAGCCTCCTCAGTGAGACTTAGCATGGGGAAGCTCTCAGCTGAGCGAGTTCTTCTGTGGTTTCTGTGATCAGACCCCAGCCAGGCTTCCCCTGGAAAGTGGCCACTTTGTTATCGAAGTGCCAAAGACTTCCCGCAGGGAGGCGAGGCGTGACCGTAGCATTCTCAGTCCCACATTTCTGATTCCTCCACACGGGAACCCGCTCCAGGTCAGAGCTGGCTGCTGTGTAAGTACTTGGAAATGTTTTCACGTTGTCTAATTTATACAGCTGGAAATATCTCTGGTCAAAGTGCAGTCAAGAACTTTAACAGATCGGTGTTGGCATTCACACCCGACCATAACTCCTTGCTTTTCCTTCATAGTTCCTCCAAGTTTCCAGCAACTCTGGGAAATAGGAAACATGCTGGATACAGGCCGGAGCGGCAAAGCCAAGGACGTGATCCTCAACAACCCCGTTTCCCTTTCCTGCGAGACCAATGCTGCTCCACCTCCCACGCTGACCTGGTACAAAGATGGCCATCCTCTGACCTCCAGCGATAAAGTGATGATTTTACCAGGTAAAGGTTGCCACGAACGAGTGAAGCCCTGAATCTGCAGGTGTGTGTTCTCAGTGAATGGAGCAGGGAAGGGGGTGGCTCTCTGGCAGTGTTGATTGACAGACACGAGGCTGCCCAGTGCACTGGTCCTCGTGTGCGTCTGACGAGTGAAGGCAGGAATGTGTCGGTAGAGCGCCTTAGTAAACCCCTCAGACGCCATGGGAATGTGTCAGTAGAGAGCCTCGGCAAACCCCTCAGACGCCATGGGAATGTGTCAGTAAGCCAGAGCGCCTCGGCAAACCCCTCAGACGCCATGGGAATGTGTCGGTAGGCCAGAGCGTCTCAGTAAACCCCTCAGACGCCATGGGAATGTGTCGGTAGGCCAGAGCACCTCAGCAAACCCCTCAGACGCCGTGGGAATGTGTCGGTAGGCCAGAGCGCCTCGGTAAACCCCTCAGACGCCATGGGAATGTGTCGGTAGGCCAGAGCGCCTCGGTAAACCCCTCAGACGCCATGGGAATGTGTCGGTAGAGCGCCTCGGTAAACCCCTCAGACATGGGAATGTGTCGGTAGAGCACCTTAGTAAACCCCTCAGACGGACAGGATCCTTCGACCCGCCTTGCAGGGTCCTTTTGCATCCTTGTGCCTCCATTTCTCTGTCAGTGCCATGAGACTGTCAGTGGCCTTGCAATATTAATGTTCATTCTAATACATATTTGCAAGTAGTTACTACTTTGGTTTATTAAATACATTTATAAGTAAATAGCAGAGATCACTAGCTTCAAGTATTTTGTTACGGCATGGCTTATTGATAGAGGTGTTTAAATCATTGCAGGATAACAGTATTTTCTGGGCTCCTATTTAACAAGCATTGAAATACTCAGGGCTTATCAGAATTCATCCACTTGTATGCTTAAGGTCAGCATGTTAAATAAATGTTCTGCAAATTAGCCCTCAATTAAAGAATATCTTGAAAAACAAATCAAAAATAAAAGAAAGAAGACCAAGTAGACATGGCAACTGAGTGGAACATGTGATCCTAAGTTGGATCTGGGTTTGGAGAAAAATAGCAGTAAAAAGACATTGTTGCAACAAGAATGAAACTTTTGAACATGGCCCGTGGATTCAGTAGTAGTTTTGTATCAATTGTAAATGCCCTGCTTTTAATCCATGTGCTGTGGTTATATACAGGATTATCCTGGTTCTTAGGAAATACAGATTTGTGAGAATGTAGACTAAAAGGGTGCTATGTCTCCAACTCCTTCTCAAATGATTCAGACAAAGATTATATACACATGACAGAGAGAGAGAAAGTAAGTGCAGTAAAATGTAAATAATTGGTGTGCATGGGCAAAAGTTTTTATACAATTGTAGCTTTTCTCAGTTTGAGATGGAACTGACTTGGAAAGTCTAAGAATATATGGAGTTGTTCTTTGAAGATCATATTTACCTTCCCTGGATATTTCTTTCCCCCCTGAGTACTTTCAGGGAATAGTGTAAACCACACCACAAATGTTCAGAGCTAAAACCAGCGGTCACTGCACAGTAGCGTGTTCCACATAGAATGTGGTGCGAGGAGCAGGGGGCGGCGGCCCTGCCTGAGGGGTGTCTGGCGGCCCGTTTCTCCCGAGATGGAGTCAAAGGCAGTATCGGGTCACTTTTGTAAAATAGCTCAGTGCTTATTACAGGTGTTCTGGGTGGTTAAAACTAAACACGGATGAAGTAGGAGCGCTGCGGGGAAACGTGTGGCGGTCGTCTCTCAGGGGCTGGCCGTGCTCGCTCTCAGGTGGGGAGAAGTAAAGGTCCTGTGGTCTGTTTGCAGGAGGGCGCGTGCTGCAGATTCCCAGGGCCAAAGTGGATGACGCCGGGAGGTACACGTGTGTGGCCGTCAATGAGGCTGGAGAAGCTTCCCTCCAGTACGACGTCCGCGTCCTCGGTGCGCATGTTCTTTGTTTATTCCGCGTTCTGTCACTCAGGAGTACTTCTGGGGAACTGACACTTGCAAACTGTTACCCAGAAAGAGGTGCAAGAGGGAAGACACTAGAGTTCCAGGTTCGTTTATTTGACACGCACCTGTCGATTGCTTGCCAAGTGTCAGCACTGGGCAAGGCGCCCTGGAGACAGCACTTGGGTACGGTAGCCACAGTCTTTGTCCAGGTAGCAGGTAAGCCCGCAGAGAGTAGAGGTGTTCATGTTGGATGGTCTCAGGTGTGACCAGCTCTGGGGCCGTTCATCAGGGCAGGATGGGTCATGCCATAGATTTTAAGGTCCACAAGAGTTATAGGGAAAAGAAGGGAGAAGCCAATCAGAGATCAGTGCTAACAAGGTCAAGAATGGTGAGAAGTATCCTTGCTCACTTTGACTGAAGTTGGGAAGAAAGGAAGCTGAGTGAGTGGTAGGAGCTGATAGTAGAGGTTGGGAAGGACAGGGGTTCAGCTGCACTGAAGTGGAACGGCGGGCGTGGGTGGTCAGGGGGACATGTCCAGCCTTCAGCTGTTATTTTGGATGGGAAGGAAGCTGGAAAGCACACTGGAGGTGAGCTTAGGGTTGGAAGGGGGATACAAAGCAAGAAGAACGAACTGGTTCTGGACCCTGTTGCATTCCCAGGGTCTGCCCCTCACCTCCCAGGTACAGGCAGGGTCACTGAGAACAGTGCTGAGTGCCGTAATCCAGGGGTAGGGGGTGGTCAGGCCAGAGAGCGGCGTGGAGGCCTCTGTGTGATTCCTTCACTGGGGGGAACTGCTGGGAGTGGTCAGAGCCCACAGCACATTGAAATTCCACCGTGTGGTCCGTGGCCTTGATTGTTTTTCTTGCAGACTCTCAGTTTACTTGCTGGAGGTCCCAGTGTTCAAGGCTTCACCTACATAATTAACGTGCTGTCTTTACTGCTTGCCAAAGCTACAGAGTGAAACAGAGCACACAAGCTCCAAACAGAAGAGTGATCATGTACTGTGAAAATTAATTTCTGCCTTTACAGAATAGTCTACATGTGCTTTCCTAGTTTATTGAACATTTCCATTTTTAAAAGTTCTGTGGGTTGCCCCTGACAGTTAGCCCAGTGGTTAAGATGCCTACATCCGTGTCAGAGTGCCTGTGTTCAGTTCCTGCCCCAGCTCCTGGCTCCAGCTTCCTGCCTTGCAGACCCTGGGCTGCAGCAGTGATGGCTCAAGTCATTGGGTTCCTGCCACTCATGTGGGAAACACACATTGCATTCCCGGCTGCTGGTTTTGGTTCCAGCCAGCCATAACTGTCTGTTACATCAGAGGAGTGAACCAACACAGCAGATGAGAGTATCAATAATTTTTTTTCATTTAGTGGATAATACGTGATGTTTTTCATAGCTGATACCATGGATTTTTTTTTTTTAAGTTTTATCTTTATTTATTTGGAAGACAGAGCTACAGAGAGAAGTAGAGACACAGAGAGAGAGAGGTCTTCCATCCGCGGGTTCACTCTCCAAATGGCTGCAAGGGCCGGAGCTGAGCCCATTGGGAGTCAGGAGCCAAGAGCTTCTTCCGGGTCTCCCACGCGGGTGCAGGGGCCCAAGGACTTGGGCCATCTTCTACTGCTTTCCCAGGCCACAGCAGAGAGCTGGATCAGAAGTGGAGCAGCCAGAACTCGAACCGGTGCCCATACGGGATGTTGGTACTTCAGGCCAGGGCTTTAACCCGCTGTGCCACAGTGCTGGCCCCCCCACAGATATATTTTAAATGAAAGTGAATATATGTAGGAAAATCTAGAGTGAGACTTCAGACTTCAAACTTGCATGTAAATAAGTGGCACCTGGGGAGGCAGTCAGCTCACAGGTGTCTGGGAGACGTCTGATGAGCGCATCTGATGGGGCCCAAGGATTTGCATTTCTCACCAGGCTCCCGCCGTTGCCGAGGCTGGGAACACATTCTGAGGAGCCCAGACAGTTCCCTGCCAGTAAGACCAAATGCAAGCATTTCAGATGTGCTTACCAGGCTGTGACTTAGGTGACTTATCCAGACCACCGCTTACACACATGCTTCTAGGATGTTTGCCTAAAAACCCAGAAGGCACAGTGGAGGGGCCGAGGAGAGGCACTGAGGGGAAGTTGGGGTTGTGCTCAGTGGGGCTGATTCCATCAGAGGAGTCGGCCCAGCGCAAGCGAAGAGCCTGAGCAGGACACCCCGGGTTCAAGCACTCTGTCCTCACACCCCCATGTGCGTGCCGGACGTTGCTTGAGGAGCATGGTTTTCTTCCTCCAGTTTGGTGCCTGTGTTGTCATCCCAGACTTGTTCAGGTTGTCGGAACAGCAGAATGATTCAGCCAAGGCCTGTTGCCTGTCCTTATCTCTTCACTGCAATCATTTACTAGTGCCCCCCATCATCAAGGGAGCCGACAGCGATCTCCCTGAAGAGGTCACCGTGCTGATGGGCAGGAGTGTGCGGATGGAGTGTCTGCCCAGCGGCAGCCCCGTGCCCAGGCTTTCCTGGCACAAGGATGGCCTGCCTTTGCCGGAAGACAGTAGTCATAAGCTCCTATCTAACGGAAGAATCCTGCAGGTAAAAGTCAAAGTCTAAGACAGCTATTTGGCTGTATGTTTTATAATGACTGGGGTTTTTTTTTTCTACTTTGAAAAATAATTTGAATTAGTTAACAAATACTATGTTTATAAATATCAAGAATCATTATATAAGATAAAATTCTTGCTCATTCTACCCACTAGCACAGGTGACCACTACTAACAGTTTTGCCTGATTTCATCCAGACATCGTGCATAAAAACATACACCCTTGAAGTTATTGCAAACATGGCCTTCACGAGGAAAGCCAGATAGGAAGAACTCTTTATTACACCCCTTTTGTTACATGTTTCTGATGGCAAAATTCTGGGTGACATAAGGTTTCCCGTAGGTTAACATGTTTTCCTCTGTTGGCAAATGGTTATTAATAAATAATAGTGAAATCTGCATGAATAACCTGTATTATTATTTACCAATCTGCGTGTCTATATTTTTTTTTCAAGTGTCCTCAGAGAAACTTGGATACTAGTAGAAATAACACCAATTCTTGTGTTACGATACAGTTTTATGAGTTACTACTTGAACGTAATAGATAATCTAGTGGTCCATGAACCCAGTGAGACCTGTCATTGTATCCAGTGCAGGATATATCACATGGAGTTCCTCATGCAAAAAAAAAAAAGGAAAAAAAATCAGTCACACTACTGATAAATACTTTGATTTCTCAAAGTATCTTCTAAGTATCATAGATACTTCTACTTGATGATCATACAGCATATCCCAAAATACTTCATGATTTTTGTCCAGGGCCAAAGATGCATAGATGGACAGAAATTTCTGCAGAATAAACTAAACACAGCTGTCCATTAGCTAACTGATACCTCATGAAAAGACGCCACTCCAAAACGTAATGCCTCGGACAGTAAGCATTTGTTCACTCCTAAGTCTGCCTCCTGGCCCAGGATGCGTCTGCTCTCAGCTGCACGCGCTCAGGAGTCTGCAGAGAGCTGTGGGCTGCGTAAGTGTCTCTGCTGGTCTCGGGCCCTCGCTGGGCTGACCCTGTCCCCCGCGCCTGCACCTGCAGCAGGGTGGCCTTGGCATCCTCACATGGTGGTGGCAGCATTCCGAAAGAGCAAGCAAAAGCGCACAGCCCGGGTTTTGAAAGGGCCCTGCCTGTCGCTTCTGTCACATTGCATTGGCCAAAGCCAGTCCCAGGGCCAGCACAAGACCACGCCTCTTCTGCTCCTCTTGATGGGACCTCCTGGCAGCCACGTGACGGGAGCACCGACGGGGTCGTGGGAGAGTGATTTGGGACTTTTTATAGCTGGTGACATACACAAATTTGTGTCAAGTTGCGTTTTCTGACTGGAAATTTTATTAATATGTATTTGATCTAACTAATAAAAGCCAGCACCAACATGAGTGTGTGCAAAAATGCCTTGTGTTTGCCAGGCATTTACCAATACGAGTATGTTTAATTTCCTCTAAAAAATACTGAGAAATACAACAGATTGCTTTATAAAAAACTTAAAATTTCTTCATTTTTCCTTTAGATTCAGAATACTCAAATAGCAGATATCGGCAGGTATGCGTGTGTCGCTGAGAACACAGCCGGAAGTGCCAAAAAGTATTTTAACCTCAATGTCCACGGTAAGAGCCAAGTTCCAGAAACATCAGTGAGGATGCACTTAGGAAGGCAGGGACCCCGCGTTTTAGAGCACATGGGTTTGTTTCTTATTTTATGACTTGACAATGTGTGAGGCCCGCGTTCATTCAGTCTTCCTCCTTCCTTCCCACCGAAGCTGGGAGATTTATAAAGTGCAGATCTTCTAGAAGTCCACTTCTGTATTGTTTTACTCGCTCAAAAGCACAGCATTACTCCTACATATTTGAAACTAGCGTCAGAATTTGAAACCCCAGAGATGACATGTTTATGTGATGTTAGAACCAGAGAGAGACCTTCCACTCCAAAAGATTTACCACTGTTCCTGGCTGGAGTCCATTCCTTCCCCTGGTGTGGAAACCGTGCTGAGTTATGTCCTCTGCTCCCCGTACGCTCCCTGCAGAAGAGAAGGTCTCTTTGTGGAGTGAAATAATTCCTTAAAACCACTGACGCACCTAACTCATCTGTGAAACTTTAAGCTCTCATTCATGCTAGACTCTCCATAAATATTGTATTGTTTTGCTGAAAAAAGCACTTGGCTCTGTACCCCCAAAAGACTAGGTTTTTTGGGGGGTGGGGGAGACATAGCTGCTACCAGAATATGAACTTGGAGATGGGGGAAAATGATTACAAGAGATTCCCTTTATGTGAGCAATACAAATACGAAGTTCCAGCTTACCTTAGAAATAGCTGAAGCCAGCGCCGCGGCTCAATAGGCTAATCCTCCACCTAGCGGTGCCGGCACACCGGGTTCTAGTCCTGGTTGGGGTGCCGGATTCTGTCCCCGTTGCCCCTCTTCCAGGCCAGCTCTCAGCTGTGGCCCGGGAGTGCAGTGGAGGATGGCCCAAGTGCTTGGGCTCTGCACCCGCATGGGAGACCAGGATAAGCACCTGGCTCCTGCCTTCAGATCGGCGCAGTGCTCCGGCCACAGCGCACCGGCCGCGGCAGCCATTGGAGGGTGAACCAACGGCAAAAGGAAGACCTTTCTCTCTGTCTCTCTCTCTCACTGTCCACTCTGCCTGTCAAAAAAAAAAAAAAAATGGGTTCACACTATCCACTTGGGAGAGAAATAGCTGAAATTTGGAATCCTGTGGGCAGTTTGGCCCTCCATGGACTTGCATAGAGCGTGATGGGCATTGTCTCTTGCCGTGACCCACAGGGAGTATTAATGTCTGCCCATGTGCAGCGTTTGTGTCACAGACACCTGAAACTCTGTACTCCCAGTCTTAGTGTGGTAGGTAGTACATTGTAGGTGCTTAACAAATGTCTTCGAGGTTTTTGAATGGATAGATCAGGCTGAAACAGGAACAAATGTGTTACAAAATCCCAGAATGAATAAATTAAACAGACCCACTCGTGAAAGCACACGTTCCAATCTGTACAGTATAGTAAACGAACGTTGAAGAGTTACAGTGGTGTTTGCCATTCCTGCTTCTTCAAGGCAGAGCAGTGTCTCCTCCTCTAGGTGGTAGAGAGCACCTTGGAGTACCTGGCTTACGGCAGCTTTGGGTGCCCCCCCGTCTCATCTGTCGGCCTCCGTGTCTTTCCCTCTCGCCTGTGGCTTCAACAGCCATTGTCTTACTCATCTCGGCCTCCCTAAACCCAGAGTGATTTCTGCTAAATAACCATTTGTTGCCTATTTATTCTACTTGAACAGAAATGTCTGAACAAGAAAGCCTCGAGGGGAAGTGGTCCACACTGTTTTCCATTAAGGATCAGGGTTCAAGGATGCTTTTTATTCTGCCTGTAAATGGCATCTTGAACGCCTGCCTGCAGCCGGGAACCTCTCAATTAAATACTGGGAAATTCATTTGAGAGAAAATGAATTCTTTTCATTTAAAACCACGCCATTGGTTAGACCCACCGCAGCCATGCCTGGTGCCTGGTGCCCTAACCTTCAGGCTGCCGGCCTCGGCGTTCTGCACCCTCCCCTCCCCTGCACAGCTAGCTCGATCTTCGAGGCACAGCACGTCAGTCACTCCTCCTAGCCCGCGCGTTCCCATCCCTCTTCTCAGTGAAAGCTCAAATCTGCAAGTAGTGGCAGTGATAATGTTTTAGCTGTGTCATCCCTGTGGGTTCCGTGCCACGTGTTTATAGGTCATTTCACTTACCTCAGTAACCACAGGTGCTTGGTACTATTTTATGCCTCTTTGATTAGAAACCCAAGGCCGGCCGGCGCCACAGCTCACTAGGCTAATCCTCCGCCTGCGGCACCGGCACTCCAGGTTCTAGTCCCAGTTGGGGCGCTGGTTCTGTCCCGGTTGCTCCTCTTCCAGTCCAGCTCTCTGCTGTGGCCTGGGAGGGCAGTGGAGGATGGCCCAAGTGCTTGGGCCCTGCACCCCATGGGAGACCAGGAGGAAACACCTGGCTCCTGGCTTCGTATTGGCGCAGTGCGCTGGCCGTAGTGGCCATTTGGGGGGTGAACCAATGGAAGGAAGACCTTTCTCTCTGTCTCTCTCTCACTAACTCCGCCTGTTATAAAGAAAGGAAGGAAAGAAAGAAAGGCAGGCAGGCAGAAGAGGAGAGGAGAGGAGAGGAGAGGAGAGCAGGGGAGGGGAGGAGAGGAGAGGAGAGGAGAGGAGAGGAGAGGAGAGGAGAGGAACGGAACCCAAAGCTCATATGAAACTGTGTGACATGCCCCAGATGACATAGCTGGCAGGTGCAGAACCAGGTTCTGCCCAGTCTGACCGCCGAAGTTTGATGCTTAGCTGCTTGCCCTGCTGCTACCCACTGAATCCCACACCTGCAGCGTACGTGCACCTAAGTAGGTAGCTTGCTGGGGCTGGAGGACATCTTGGTGTCAGGAGTGTTGGTGTCTGTAAATTCGTAGTAGCAGCTTCTGCTGGGCCCTGCATGCTGCCTGGGATGACCCTCTTGTCTGCCCCCCCATGACTCTCTCAGCGCCTTCAGCTCCTGCTCAAATGTCGCATGGCTGCTGACTTACTGTGTTTGGGTTGTGATAATGAAATACCATAGATCATGTGGCCCGAACAGCAGATTTGACTTCCTCCCGAGGTCGAGGCACCAGCAGGGTTTGGTTTCTGGGGGCGGCTCTCCCTGGCTTCGTGCAGCTGCTTTGTGCTCGCTCCTGAGCGCACTTGGAGGAAAGGGGAGAGAGGAAGTCTGAGCCAGCTTCAGTTCTCTGCTGGCTCTCCTTGAAGGACACAGGCCTAACGTCTGGGGCCACCCTTTGGGCCTCCATTGCGGCCATAAAGGCCTCAGCTTAAAATACAGTCACACGAGGGGTTAAGGCTTCCACGAGAATCCACCACGGTGGGGGGGCGGCGCCTGCTCACTAGCTATCCTCCGCTGCGCGCAGCACCCAGTCTATCCAGTCAGGCGCAGGTGTCCTGTCCCCTCTCCAGTCCAGCTCTGCCCGGGAAGGCAGTGGAGGATGGCCCAAGCGCTTGGGCCCTGCACCCGCATGGGAGACCAGGAGAAGCACCTGGCTCCTGGCTTCAGATTGGCGCAGCACGCCAGCCGTAGCATCCATTTGGGGGGTGAACCAACGGAAGGAAGACCTTTCTCTCTGTCTCTCTTTCTCACTGTCTAACTCTGCCTGTCAAAAAAAAAAAAAAAGAAAGAAAAGAAAAGAAATGGTTGGGAATGCAACCTTCAGTCCGTAACACCCCCCTCCCACTTTTCTCAGTGCCTTCCCCTCCTGTTTCACAGGGGAAAAGGAGGCCTCTTTCCCCGAGTTCCTGCCGTAGAATCCGCCTCACGTCTGCCATGGCATCAAGGGTGCTTCCGCTGCTCTCGCTGCCCTTGCTCCTGCCCAGCAACAGTGGGACGCACCCCTGCCTCCCAGAGGCCGGAGACAACCTCACTCCAGATTCCTGCCTGTTGCCTTCTCTCTTCTCCTCACTGCCCCTTCCCAATGGCACTTAGTAAATTTGCTTGTCCTCTCCATTGTAACAGAAAAAGGTCTTCCTTAGACCTAACGTGCATCCCCGCCTACCTCGCACCCCTCCCCTGTGCACAGCTGACTACACAGAATGTCTGTTTCCTGTTCCCCGCTTGGGCCACCCTGCATTCATGCCAGCTCCCGCCACCTCGTTCCAGTGGAGCTGTCACTGAGGTAACCACTTGGGCCCGCAGGCATCCTCTAGGCTCCGTCTTCTTACATCTGAGAGCGTGGCCTGCTTGGTCAGTGTCTTCCCAGAACTCCCACAGCCCTTCTCTGTGCCTTGCCTCGCCAGTCTCGTCCCAGGAGCCTCTGTGGCTCTGCGTCTGCCCAGCTATGATGTGTTCCTTCCCCGTCCTTGTCCGAGGGGATTTCATGTGTTCCCCAGTTTCAGTTACTGCCTGTGTAATCCGAATTTTTATTTCAGCCAGGGCCCACTCAAGAGCTGCAGACCCTTGTGTCTGCATATCCACTTGTCACAAATGTGAGATAAGCACCTGAAACAACGACTATAAAGCTGGACATGCAATCTTCTCCCAGAAATACAGTCCTCCTCCAAAGAGCTCTGTCTCAGGCAAGGCCACCGTTGTCTATACACTGTTCACGACAGAAAAATGATGTCACCTCTGACTTCCCCCTCCCTAAATTGTACTCCCAAAACACCGAGTCCTGGTCATTCTACTCGCAAAATGTCCTGGGGTCACCCACTTCTCATAATTGTTGCCGGGTTGTCTGCACTACAGCCATGCTGGCACCTGAAATGAATTTTTGGTTGCGGCATTGCTCTTCTTCCCATTCTCAGGCCATGTTTCAGCGTCTAGCGACGCCCGGAAGACCCCATAGCATCTTATCCTCGCCTTGTCCTTAATGCTCTGCCTCCCCATCCCCACCTTGCTCTGTGCACTTCACCTTATCAGGGCCGTGCCCTTTTCCCGTTTGGGCCTTTCTTGATGCCATTCCTTCTTCCTGGAAGATACACTCATTTCCTCTCTTCTACTTAGCTCATTCCTACTCAGATTTTGAGTATTGTCTTACATGTCACTTTCTTCAAACTAGGGTAGTTCCCTGGCATCACCCTTCTCTTCTGATCAGCACCCGTCACATCTGTGATTACTAGGCAGTACAGAGCAGTGGCCAAGAGTAAGGGTTCTGGAGCCAGACTGCATAGCTCACGGATCTGTTGGAAAGTCCTCGGGCAAGCTGCTAACTTCTCTGTGTCTCAGCTTTCTTGTCTGTGAAGTACAGATTAAAAACACATAAGGTGTTTGAGGATTCTATACAGTAGGACACATGAAGTGTCTAGGACAGTGTGTGGCACATCATAGCCACTAAAACTTCTAGTTGCTACCTTCAGTTCCCTGTCCACCACAGCCACCAGATTACTAACTCCATGTGGTTTAGGTCTGTTGCATTTTTTGCATTGCCTCAGCACCTGGTACAATGTCTAGAATACAGTAGGTATTCAATAAATGTTTGTAAGAGAATAAGATAGCAGCAGAATTGATTAGTGGATAAAAAATAAGCTCATTGCTTTAGCAGAGTGCAGTGGTTGGATTACATGTGGTGAATTGGAGTATATGTTACTGATAATCCAGTTTCACTTTTAATATATTTGCTCTTGTAGTTCCTCCCAGTGTCGTTGGTCCTAACCCTGAAAACCTTACGGTTGTGGTGAACAATTTCATCTCTTTGACATGTGAGGTTGCTGGTTTTCCACCGGCTGATCTCACCTGGCTCAAGAACGGACAGCCCATCAAGCCAAGCACAAACGCTCTCATTGTGCCTGGTAAGGAATTCGCTCTTTTAGCATGGGCTAAACTTTCTCATTTTCCTTTATTTTGAGATGAGTTGCATTTCAAGTTAGTGTCTTTCCAAACCCTGGTCTTGCTAATTTATTTGTTCACAGTCAATGCCTTTGTTCGCCCATTTGGGACCATTAGGCGAAGAATGTATGGGCTTTTATCATTTTAGTGGGAATGTACAATAATAATAACAACTCCTTTGGAACATTATGAAATTTAGGAGCAGAACAGCTTGGTAATCCTAAGTGGTTTGTGGTAAATAGTACAATCATTGAATAAAGCCATTGGTTTTATTGTAAGTTTTATAGTAAGTGATAGACTGGATAGGTATGTGAGTAGATAGGTATAGACACAGGTTAGTATGATGGATGATGGATGGATGGACGATATGGGTGGGGGTGGTTTAATAACTGCTCTGTGAGAAATTTAAACCCATAAAATACTTGTTAATATAGTTTGCCTGTAGTGTAATTACTCTTTGTTCACTGGAACCTATATCAGTTTTACTGTCCATGTTTGGTTACTAAAGAGGAAAATGCTATGATTTTCTTCATTTATAAGGAGGCAGACTCATAAATAAAAATCTAGCAAAACAAATTTGCACAATTTCATTTTAAAAATGAGTGCTTCTAAATAAATGTTATTGTTAGGGAAAGGATATGTTTTTCCACTCATCTTATGGATAAGTAGTTACCGGAACTCTGTACCAGTCTTCAGTTTGAATTGTATTTTCCCACAGGCGGTCGAACTCTGCAGATTATTCGAGCCAAGGTTTCTGACGGGGGTGAATACACTTGTGTCGCCATCAACCCAGCTGGCGAAAGCAAGAAGCAGGTGTCGCTGACTGTTCACGGTTTGTGTTCACTCCTCTCTTGCAGCTCTTTGGGTTTGCGCGGCTTCTCAGCGGTCTGTGTCTGATCACCTTCACGGACGGGAAACCCTCTGCTCTGTTTGCTTCCTTCAGTGCCCCCCAGCATTAAAGATGGCGGCAGTGAAGCGCTTTCTGCAGTGACTGTGAGAGAGGGCGCTCCCGCGTCTCTGCAGTGTGAGTCGCACGCTGTCCCGCCTCCCGTGGTCACCTGGTACAAGAGCGGGCGGCCGGTGGCCGAATCTCAGCGCGTGCGGATTCTAGCCGATGGACAAACACTGCGCATCGAGAACGCCGAGGTGCCTCTTTGGTTTTCGCTTGGTGTCATGACTGCTTGGCCGGGTTGTGCAGGAGATCACTGGTAGTCGCACATTCCCGGTACTGTCGTAAATGAAAAAATACATGACTGGTGCCGTTGACACTATTTGGTTTAAAAAGAAATCAGGCTTACGGAAGGCCACTAGAACTGGGGCGTCTGAGCATCAAGATGAAAGGTGACTGACGATTTCACCCACTCTCGAGCGAGCAGTGAGGTTGGTCATCTGTCACTCAATGGAGCACATACAATAGTGTCTTTTTCTTTTAGGTGTCTGACACAGGCCAGTATGTGTGTAGAGCTATAAATGTAGCAGGACGAGATGATAAAAGTTTCCACCTCAATGTTTATGGTGAGCACCTGCCTCTCATACAACTCTTTCTCCTTCAGATATGCAAATGAAAGAAAGTGTCCGAATTGGCTCGGTGAGAACACATGATTTCCTGTGTTTCTACAGTGCCACCCAGTATTGAAGGGCCCGAGAGAGAAGTGATTGTGGAGACCGCCGGCAGTCCTGTGACCTTGACATGTGACGCCACTGGGATCCCACCTCCCGCCGTAGCCTGGCTGAAGAACCACAGGCCTATAGGTACTGCCGTTGTGCGTGCCGTGCTCCGTCCCACTGGACTTGTAGACTAGCGCATTCCAGTGTTGTGCTCACAGCGGTGTATAGGTCAGGACAGCCTAATGCGCTGGAACATCAGTCATTTATAAAGGGAGGTTTCTCTCTCTCTCTCTCTCTCCCTCTCTCTCTTCCCCCCTTCTCCTCCCCCTCCCCCTCCCTCCCTCCTCCTCTGTTCAGAAAGGCTCTCATTTAAAATAAAAGTACAGGGATGGGCATATGGCCTAGCAGTTAAGCTTGGGCTTTCCAGTGGCAGCCCATTATCAGGTGCATGAGTTCAAGTCCTGACTCCGCTGTGTGTTACAGCTTTTGGCTAAGGCAGCTCCTGGGAGGCAGCAGGGTGATGGCTCAGGTGTGTGGGCCCTGCCACCCATGCGGGAGACCTGTACAGAGTTCTGGACTCCCGGCATCAACCTGCCTCCACCTCAGCTGTCTCAGACATTTTTATAAAATGCGACATTTTTATGTTAAATCGGAGGGATATTAGAAATAAAAGCCTTTGTGTGTCTTATTTTGCTTTGTTTCAACCTGTAGAAAATTCCAACTCACTTGAAGTCCATATTTTGTCTGGAGGTGGCAAACTCCAAATTGCCCGCTCCCAGCGTTCCGACAGTGGAAACTACACCTGTGCTGCTTCAAATGTGGAGGGGACGGCGCACAAAAGCTACGTCCTCTCCATCCAGGGTACGCGTGCGCTGTGACCTGTGTCCAGTGTCTTTGTCATATTCCATCCGTAGTTCAAAAGAGTCCATTTTGTTGTAAAGATTGATGTATGTATTTAAAGAGTTACACAGTGAAGGAGAGGCAAAGAGAGAAAGGTCTTTATCTGCTGTTTCACTCCCCGGTTGGCTGCAATGGTCGGAGCTGTGCCGATCCAAAGCCAGGAGTTGGGAGCTTCTTCCAGGTCTCCCACGCAGGTGCAGGGGCCAAAGAACTTGGGCCATCTTCCACTGCTTTCCCAGGCCATAGCAGAGAGCTGGATGGGAAGTGGAGCAGCCAGGACTCAAACCGGTGCCCATATAGGATGCCAGTGTTGGAGGTGGAGGCTTTACCTGCTATGTCAGAGTGCCGGCCCCAGGAGTCCACATTTAAAAGCATATTGATCATTGATTAAAAATTATTAATCAAGAAAAACAGTTGTCAGTTTTCTGTCTTCCACTTACCAATAGATTCTATTTTCATGGAAATGAACATAAATCTAGGAAAGAGGAATAGTAGAAATTTGGTGATATCCATTTTTTCCATTTTTAGTAAAATTGTTACCTTCTGGTGGTATGTATTACATTATGTTGCAGCAATTTATTTAAAACTTTTGTACAGAAAGTAACACTTGATGAAGAGAGTGTATTATGATCTAGCCACTTGTAAGAGATTAGGAATATTCCAAGTAAATGTGAATCTTACACTAATTGGGATGAGAATAAGGAACATTAATTCACCGAACAAACGTTTGATGAGCACCGGCTATGTCCCAGCATAGTACTGAACACCATAGGAATAACTTGTTCCCTTTTGATTTCTGGCTCAGTGTTGAAATTGAGATGGAATTGTAGCTTGAAGCTAAGTTGAAGTATTTTTTTATAATTTTATTATAGTTACTAAAGAATTCCTCATACATTATAAATTTAATTGGGGCTGGCGCCATGGCTCACTTGGTTAATCCTCCACCTGCGGCGCCGGCATCCCAAATGGGCACCGGATTCTGTCCCGGTTGCCCCTCTTCCAGTCCAGCTCTCTGCTGTGGCCAGGGAGTGCAGTGGAGGATGGCCCAGGTGCTTGGGCCCTGCACCCCATGGGAGACCAGGAGAAGCACCTGGCTCCTGCCATTGGATCAGCATAGCTCCGGCTGTAGCGGCCATTTAGGGGGTGAACCAAAGGAAGGAAGACCTTTCTCTCTGTGTCTCTCTCTCACTGTCTAACTCTGTCTGTCAAATTTAAAAAAATTTAATTGTGATTATTATCTGCATGCTATGTACTCTGTAAAGCTAATTCCAAAAGAAATGAAACTAAATAAAAATAAGTTTATTGACTATCAGTGGTCTCTCTGTAGAGATGAGTGACATTTTGAGGTTTCAGAAGCATAAAGGAAAGAGTGATTTAGAGATTAATTGTTGGAAATTGCATGCATAATTGTGTTGGATGCATTAATGAAAATAGGTAGCAATGATAGGATAGATGAGTATGACCAAACGTTTACCAGGCTGCTTCTACACTTTAGTGTGTCTTAAGAGTTAGGATAGCCTATGCAGAGGAGGCTCCTCCTGGGCTTGTCATTTATTTGTCTAATCCCTCCCGACTCAGCTTCTCTAGTGTGGTGAGTTTTGCAGATGTGGTGTTATTATAATGTGGGTAATGGAAGTGAGATTTGAAGAGATTATACTGTGGTATGCTGGTTATTTTCAACTACTGACTCTCAAAAAGATAGGCGCTGATTTGTTGCCAGTTCTTTGCCAGTTTCTGTGGTCTAAATCTTCCCACTAAAGTCCAGTTAAAGCTCCAGTGTGCTGTCACTTAACGTGGAGTTGGGAAGATGTCCAAAATTCACTGCTGTGAGCTGATATGAGCTACAGCCTCTACAATGAAATAGAATAAGGTTTCGATGGTGTCTGTGTGATTGCTTTGCTAGTATTCATTATTTCTTGATCAGATAATTAAAGTAAAAACCAAAGATGGCTTAGACAAAAGAGAACAGAAACCGTGAGAGGAATATCAGTTTTTGAGGCTAGGAATGGCACCCATTAAGTAGATCTGTCACAGGCCTCATGACTGAATAATTATATCAACTTACAAGTCTACCAGGAATATGGAAATGATTCTATTATCTTTCTCGTTTAAAATTACGTGTGAGGATGACAATAGTTTGATCTTGAACCATCATCTGGGAGGAATGTGAAATAGAAATGGCATGTTGTTCTGTGATGGTGTTGCATTCATTAGAATCATACCCTGTGCCTTGTTAATGAAAGTCCTAATTCTCTTTCCAAGTTCCTCCAACTATTGCTGGTGCTGAAATGCCAAGCGAAGTCAGTGTCCTTCTGGGGGAAAATGTTGAGCTGGTCTGCAATGCAGATGGCGTCCCCACGCCGCTTATTCAGTGGCGAAGAGATGGGAAGCCCATAACTCACGGGGAAGCAGAAAGAATTGGGTATGTCTTGAAAGAATTTTTACATTATAAATTGTAAGGTCTTCAGCAGTGCTTTATGCTTCAAAGCTCATGAGAATAATAATACCAAATTCTGTCTCATTGGAGCTTGGCTCTCATTACATTCACAAAGGGAAAAGATAAATTTTTGGAAAGTTGGGCACAGAAATTCTCTTTGGAGGACTCTCAAAAACATGTGTTTGTGTTTGTGTGTCTGTCCCCATGACCATTACCTATCTACACTGTGTTCTAAGATCTGATCAGTCTCTCCAAAAATGTTTATTAGTTGCACAATAGTTATACAAAGTCCACATCGTAAAGTAATTAGTTCTTTCCTGCTAATATCAAGCCAGTTTCTTCCCACCATTGCCATGCTGCTTGGCTCACGTTGACAGCAGACAGAACAGCACGGTCCTCTGTTCGTTCTCACCCTGGTTTGTGCGAATCCCACTTCAAGCTGGCACTTATTGCCAGTACTGCAGAGCTAGAATGGAGCCTCCAACCACAGATCCCCTTGGAAGGACAGTTGACCTTCTCGCAAAGCCCTGTTGCATACACACACCTGAGTAGTATATGCGTTAGTGGACATTAATCAGATGTGCTGTACAATGTATCATTCTGAACCAGTATTTTAAATTCAAGGAGTTGGAGTGCATTTTCTCATCTATAATTTATAATAAAGATCTAATTTAAAGACAGGTGAATGTTGTTTTCTTTGTATATGTTAATGTTATTCACTACATACTAAGATTTAGATTGGTTTCATTGTAAATGTAAATGCAGTTCATTATATACTAAGATTTAGATATTTATTCCCTTTTCAACACTGGATAAACTGCCAAATGATATCTTATTCATACATCTGAAGTTTCATTTTCCTTATGTGAACATTTCTGAATAATTAACAAGTTTTCAATTATTTGTGTTAGACGGCTGATATTTGACATATACAAGATCCAGCACTGACACTCAGTGGGACCTAACGATATTTCATAATACTTCTCCCTTGGAACTTGGAGTGTATCATTCCTGTTCTTACCTTAACTAACTGCTGTTATGATGCCACTTTGTTGATTATCTGTGCCATGCTTCACAGTATACATGTAGATTTTTAGTTGAAACAATTTAACAATCAAAACAAGTACTTTTAGGAAGACAGCTTACTACTTTGTTTTTTTTTTTTTGTTTTTTTTTTTTCTTTTATTTAATGAATATAAATTTCCAAAGTACGACTCATGGGTTACAATGGCTTTCCCCCCCATACCGTCCCTCCCACCCACAACCCTCCCCTTTCCCACTCCCTCTCCCCTTCCATTCACATCAAGATTCATTTTCGATTCTCTTAATATACAGAAGATCAGCTTGGATTCCCTTAAGTAAGGATTTCAACAGTTTGTTCCCACACAGAAACATAAAGTGAAAAGTAATAGATGATTTTTTTTTTAAATCATGATGAAATCAGATCAGACCTATTGTCATGTTTAATCCCAGTGAGAGTCAAGTTGGGAATTGATAATTTCTTTCTTTTTTTTTTTTTTTTTTTTTTTTTTTACAGAAGATCAGTTTAGTGTACATTAAGTAAAGATTTCAATCGTTTGCACCCCCATAGAAACACAAAGTGAAATATACTGTTTGAGTACTCGTTATAGCATTAAGCCTCAGTGTACAGCACATTAAGGACAGAGATCCTACATGAGGAGTAAGTGCACAGTGACTCCTGTTGTTGACTTTACAAATTGACACTCCTGTTTATGGCATCAATAATCTCCCTATGCACCAGTCATGAGTGGTGACTTGATCAGCATAGCCCTGACTGCTAATGGACAACTTAATATATTATCCCTCATAGTATTTTTTTTTTGTCTGTTCTACTTAATATGACTGGTTTAATTCTGTAATTATCACACAGTTATTCTTAAGTGTTGAAAATTAACTGAAATGTGATCCCTGTTAAACATAAGAGTGGGAATAAGAGAGGGAAGAGATGTATAATTTGGGGCATGCTCGGGCTGACTTGCCCCAATTGGTAGAGTTGGAAACATACCAGGGGATTCCAATTCAATCCCATCAAGGTGGCATGTGCCAATGCCATCTCACTATTCCAAGTGATCAATTTCAGTTCACAATTGATCATAATGAAAGGACTAAGAGTCAAAGGGAGCACATAAACAAGTCTAGTATCTGCTAACACCAACCGATAGAATAAATAAAGGGGAGAGTGATCCAACATGGGAAGTGAGATACTCAGCAGACTCATAGAATGGCGGATGTCCTAAATAGCACTCTGGCCTCAGAATCAGCCCTAAAGGCACTCGGATCTGGCTGAAAAGCCCATGAGAGTATTTCAGGCATGGAAAGCCAAGGCATTCTGGCAAAAAGATCTCTGTGAGTGAGATCCCAGTGGAAAGAACAGGTCTTCAAAGAGGGAGGTGCCTTTCTCTGAAGGGAGGAGAGAACCTCCACTTTGACTATGACCTTGTCTAAACAAGATAAGAGTCGGAGAACTCAAGGGGCTTCCATAGCCTTGGAAGACAGTTTACTACTTTGCATTGAGCATTGCTGCTTCCTTTTTTGTGAATGTAGTTAAACTCATGGAATTTTAAAATTCATATTTTGAAAAATACAACTAGGCTCAGGTAATGATACAATAACTCAATAATTGCGGGTTTCCGTAGTGTAATGGTTATCACATTTGCCCGACAATAACTCAATATTCGTATTTTGTAGTGTACAGTACAAATAGAGTATTAACTTTTGACATTGAGAGATTCCAATGAAATCAATAGTGTAGGAGTAACTGTAGATAACAATTTAATCTTGTCATAAAATACAGGAAGTTTTGTTTAGTAATTATGTATACAGAGAGCCAATAATGCAATAATATTAATCTAGATACCTTTAATTATTTAACTGAATTTGAATTGTTTACTATTAGGTTAATCAAAGGAAAAGCTGTATTAATTTGTGGAAAAATTTTTGCAAAATAGATTCATACATGATACCAAATTATCACAGTTTAAATAAATTCTGTTTTTGCTCACAATGGTTTTATTATTTATGGTCTTCAATTTTTATTCCAGAAGTTTTAGGATTTTCATATAGTTTAAACTGTGTATTGATAAGAAGACATTACTCTGAGAATGAAATGTCTTTGCCTATGATTTGAATCGAGGCGTTCCAAGCCTTGACTTTGTTCGTTGCCTGTTTTCTCAGGAGTGATGGATGAGAACCACTGCGGTGGAGTTGAGGTAGTTTCCTGAAATCTCTGCCCATCTCACTAGCTCTCACTGTAGTAGATGGATGTGGTAGATAATGCAAGCGTCCATGAACTTAGCAACATAGGTTCGAGCCATTCTATCCAACGTGAAGACATCAGTTTAGGGTGGTGATTTTTGGAGAACACAGTCATCTGGACTGAGGTTTCTAGACCTTGGCTCGCATGGACCATCTCAGGGCCTCTTTACCCGCTTTTCACAGGGTGACTGCCGGCGGCAGCACGTTAAACATCTATGGCGCGCTTGCATCCGATGCGGGAAAATACACGTGTGTGGCTACTAATCCTGCCGGAGAAGAAGACCGAATCTTTGACTTGAATGTCTACGGTAAGTATGAGTGAGCACCCGTGTTCACTGTGCTGCCCAGGAGCGGCCAGCAGTGGGGTGTGAGCATTGAGGGCCAAGTCTGATGCCAAGACCAGTTCCTTTTGGATCAGAGCGGAAATGTGGACAATTCCGGTTGAGATCGTTTCAACTAACAGTACATCCTTCCCTTTCTCTGTCTCTCGCTCTCTCACTCTCTTCCTGAAACAGTTCCACCTACAATCGAGGGCAACAAAGACGAAGCAGAGAAACTCATGGCTTTGGTGGACACCTCAGTAAACATCGAATGCAGAGCCGCGGGGACGCCGCCGCCACAGGTCACCTGGCTGAGGAGTGGGCTCCCGCTGCCTCTCTCCTCCCGCGTTCGCTTGCTGTCAGCAGGGCAGGTTGTCAGGTGAGCTTTTGTTGCGTGTCGACAAGTACCCGACGATGAACTCTTTCCTGACCTTAATAGCGTTCAAGAAATACTTTTCCTAAGCTTTTACTGTTGTTTTTTTTTTCTTCCAAAAGTTTCAGTAAAGGGAGGATAAAATACATATAATTGAAATAGTTTTATTCTTGTTTAAAATGCTTATGTTTTAGTAAATGTGTGTAAGCTATGTCTTTCACAGACTTGGTCTCATGACTGAGTGTGTGTATTTTCCAGAACTGCTATTTTAGCCAAAGCCTCAGGTGGTAGGAAAATGCCCGCTATGATCATGCGATCTTCAGGTTAGCATCATTCTCTGTTAATGTACATTTGGAAGTATTTACCCTGTAAATTGTGTTACATTTTCAGTGGCTTGTTGTCGCTCTGTAGGATTAGTGGCATCTCGGGCACACCGTGTTGTGTGGTAGATGATAAGCTCCATAGCTAAAATCTTCCAACATAAATTACCCTCCATAATTATTTACAGATCCTAATTATTTTATTTGCACATAGCAAATGGGATGCAGTGAGGACATGCTGTCGCGTTGTTTTTCAGGATCGTGAGGGCCCAGGTGCTGGACGCTGCTGTGTATACGTGCGTGGCCTCCAGCAGAGCCGGGGTGGACAAGAAGCACTACAGCCTGCAGGTGTTCGGTACGGCACAGCGTGCCCACCCTCTGCCGCGTGCCCGTCCTGAGCAGCAGGCTGATCTTTAGAAACTGACCTCCCCGCTGGTTCAGAAATCTGACTTGCCTCTATCAGAAAGGATTGGTGAGAAAAGACCTTACTCCCTGGGGAACAGTGCATTTTCTCCCCAGCAGTCCATATTTGTTGGCCTGTACTGTCTGTCGAAATACGCTTCTAAATTGGAAATCAAGTCTAGAGTTTTAAAAATCACATTTCAATCCAGATAAAAGACCAGTCTCTTCATGCAAAGAAAAAGTCAAGGAGGCAGGCGTTAGGCACAGCAGCAAGGGTTACCACTTGGGACACGCACATCCCACGTCGGAGTGCCTGGTGTGAGTCCCGCCCACTTGCTTCCAGCCAGCCTCCTGCTAATGCATCCTGGGAAGCAGCAGATGACAACGCGAGAACTAGAGGCCCCACCACCCCCTGGGAGACCCGGAGAGAGTTCCCAGCTCTTGGCTTCAGTGTGTTCCAGGCCCGGCTGTTCTGGGCATTTGGGGAGTGCGCCAGTGGATGGATGCTCAACTAAAATAGAAATGAAAGAGCATGAGTTTAAAAAAGAAACAGTCAAGCCTTTTTAAAAATAATATTAGTAGTTCATATAGAGCATTTAAAATATGAATGTATACATGTGCACGTATGTGTCTTTCTATGTGTGTATATGTAGAAAATTCAAAGCATTCACTTTCTGAAGTACTAGGTTTGCTAGTTCACATTTCTCAGTCCCCACGAACATCACAGAACACTTAAGTGACTGCTGACGGTAAGCTACACATGACTTATGTAGGATTATTGAAACTTACTCCTGGACTTGGTTTTATCTTATTTATCCAACATAAAGTAGTTGAAAGTAGGCTACAAGAGCTAATGTATGTATTATAATGAGTTAAAGAGACATGCTTAAGACATTTAAAAATCACCACAATTTAAAGCATACTAATTGTATCTTCTACAAGCAAACAAGGTTGAGGTTTCCTTGCTAGTATCTGGAAGAATAATTGGCATACATAGTAGATAAGTAGATGTTTTTAGTAACATCCTAAGTTCCTGTGTGCTATTTTAAAGGATGTATTTTTAAAGATAGAATTGCTTTAATGTTTTATTTTAGTTGATCTCATTACAAAGCTGCATGAATCTTTCCTGTTCCGTTTCCTGTGTAGCACCACCCAGCATAGACAATGCTCTGGGGACAGAAGAAATCACCGTCGTCAAAGGCAGCTCCACCTCCATGTCCTGCTTCCCACACGGAACGCCAGCCCCCCGTGTGTCCTGGCTCAAAGAGGGGCAGCCGCTGGGGCTGGAGGCCCGCCTGACCTTGAGCACTCAGGCCATGGTCCTGCAGCTGGTGGAAGCGGAGGCTCGGGATTCGGGAAGGTACTCCTGCGTGGCCTCCAGCGAAGCTGGCGAGGTCAGCAAGCACTTTGTCCTGAGGGTCCTAGGTACGTGAAGATTCAGCAGATGTGGCGTATTGGGGAAGCGAGTGCCGGGCTTCGCAGGAAGCAGGGTGATAGATAGTGCCAGCCGTGGAGCAAAGTGTGCAGTGTCTGGATCTCAGCTTTGTGGCTCACCTGCGCTTGCTCTCATCTGAAGTGTGTTAAGTTACGTCGTCCTATGAGGGGCCCTCGAGAACATCATAGAAAACTGTGCGTGGTTGTTATAAAATTTTTGTACCAAAACAAACTCATCTTTTAATTCCGTTTGTCCACAAACTTTGAAATTCCCTTGTATATATCTGTCTAAAAAGATGAAGACCATTAATTGAGAAAGTCTTTTAGCCAGTTGATAAGTAACTTTAAAATTTTCTCCAGGAACTACAAGCATATCTGACAATAAAAATTTGATGAGAAGCCCTAGTATTTATATTGTTATATATTATCTCGAATCTGTAGATGATAGTCGGGATACTCATTTCAAGTAGTCTAGTTCTATTTACTTTTGTGTGGATCACAGTTAACATTTAAAGTATGTGTTCCAAAGTGGTACATGCAAATAGTCTACAGAGAAAACTTGTCTTTTCCTTGAAGTAAGACATTTTAACCTTGGAAGAGACAGGACTGTGAGTGAAATGAGCTATTTCAATAATGAAGATTTCTCTGGAGTTTTGTTTGTTTTTTCACTATAACAGAGGTGAAACCCAGGATCCTTACACCATACAACCTGCAACCTACAAAAAACAGTAAAAAAATTGGCAACAGTCCCGGTTAAGTGGAGCTGGGTGTGTTTTCAGAGTGCCCTGCGATCTTGGAGCACCTATGAAAATCTAATTATTGACGTGACTTTAAGCGTTGCCTCATCCCTAGTTCAGCTTTCGAGGGGCCAGCAATGTGCACCACCCTCCTGCTGAGTTCTCAGTGCTTAGCACGTCATTTGATTGGCAGAAGCTCCTGCTGTTTATTGTTGACTTGAATTCAGCTGAACTAGATCCTGTCCGCTGGATGGAGGGCGCTTCCACTGTGAGCGAGGTGGGGTGGTGCCTGGATAAACAGAGGAAGGTCCTCTGGCGTAGAAGAGAAAGAAGGGTGGTCATGGAGGACGCTGGGATACTTAGAGGCAAGAGTCAGGAGGAAATGCGTGTCCGAGAGGCGGGCTTATAGAACATCGCCTGCACTCGAGTCCACAATAATGACGTAACGCGATCTTGTCCTTTCATTGCTTGCGTTTAGCTGTTAATTATTGGGTAGAAATCATGTGCCAGGCTCGTCTCTAGCCGCCATGTAATAACTACGAACACCTACCATGTGACTCGCTTCATGGCAGGTACCTTGAATACATAACTGAGTAAGAGAGGTGTGCTCCTGACACTCAGCTGCCTACATCTCAGGAAAACACAGATAGATACTGAATAAGTACGAGAGCATTTCAGAAAGTTTGTAGGGAACTGGTATTAGAAGGTAAGTTTGCAAAAAAATTAAATTTAGTTTTTTGATAGTGGGCATTTTCTGTGCACTTTTTGGAGACCCTTCTAATGACACTTGAGTGCAGTGAGGGTTATGCACTTAACATGACCTTGTGGGTTGCTCAGCTTCAGACTGGGTCTCCTCCAGGGTGTGTCAGCCCTGGCAGAAGGACTGCGGAGATGAGCGGAGAGTTAGAATCCTTTGCAGCCTTTCTTACCTAGGGGTGGTGGAGCTGTCACCGAAGTGGGTGTGAGAGGAGGAGGAATAAGAGGCCTGGAAATAGATCTGAGCAGAGGCCCATCTGTGAAGGGCCTCGAGGAATCTCAGGGAACTGGATCGTCACTAAAAAGGCAAGGGTGACCTTAAGCCAGAGTGTGTCATGCATTCCATTTCCAGAAATCCCTCTGGAGACAAAGCGAAGAGACTGCTGCACTCACACGTGGAGTGTAGGGTAGGTAGTGTAGAATGTGGCTAGGAAGAGAGTATTCCTCTAGAAGTCACAAGAATTCAGGAGCAGAGTCACAGACCTGTGCGCATGGACATGGACAAAGGACGGCCTTCCCAGTGAACGCACTCTGCGGATAATATTTTCCAAAAGCAGAGCTGAAAACTGCCTCAGCAGAAAAATGGGAGGCTCCAGCGTTCCACACCTGTGCAGAATAAATTGAAGCTGTCCACTTGGGGCAGCGCTGCCCCTCAGAAGGCAGCTTCCTGATCTGGGCGGTGCCGTCCATGCGATGGGAGGGGCAGGGTGTGGGTGGATCTAAAAGCCCGGTGTGAGTGAAAGCCTTGTACAGGACAAAGCTAGGGGGCCTGACAGGGTCCACGCCGGAAGGCGCTTTGTTGGCCACGTGAAGAAGTTTGTTTTTTGTAACTGAAAAAAAAAGGAAGTTCTAATAAGTGGGAAAATATGGGTAGAGATGCAGTTTTAAAAAGCCCACTCCGGCTGCAACGTGGAAGGCTGCTTGAATAGCACCAAGAGTGGACTCTGAAAGACCAGTGCATTGTTGGCGATCGCGCTTGGCTGTGACTGATGGTGTAGCCGTGGCGGCTGAAACGGAGAATGTGAGTGAGCTGTCTGGAAGCCGCAGCATACGTTTGACTCAGCTCACATAGGTGCAGGGAAAAAAGTTAGGAAAGGCCTAGCTTCAAAGATTGGCCCCTTAGAGACTTTCTTACAATCCTCACGAAACTGTATCCACTTATATCTCAGTAGTGGGAGCAACCACTCCAGCTACCTGCTGCTAAAGAGGCTGGGAAATGCAATTCTTTATCATAATGATAACACCAGTAAAACTGGAATCTGGTAAGAAAGGAAGAAGTGGGCACCTTCTACCCAACCAGGAAGGAAGCGTTAGTTCGTGTAAACAGTATGGCAGCTCTGACTGGGGTGATGGAGGTGAGAGGCTAAAACGTCTTCGAGAAATAATTGCAAGTAAGTGTTAGGACTCAGTTGTGGATCTGGACATGTCGTGGACTGATGACGTACGCATCAAGGTTGATTCTTAGTTCTGGCCTGCAGGACTAAATGATTGGTAGATCCATCACATAGAAGCAGGGAATGCTGGGAAAGAACCAGGTGTTGAGGACAGGGAACACAGGTTCAGTCTGAATGCATGTCGACTTTGAGCTGACTTTCAAATGTCCGACTGGAGGTGTTTATCTCGTCATTGCTTTTGTGAAACTGAAGCTCAGAAGAGAGACCGAGGCGGAAACGTAAATTCTGTAGTCATCAGAGTGAGAATAACTCGTGTTCTCAAGAGTCCAGGGCACAGGGCAAAACGTGGAGGGCGATCAGTCACAGCCACTTCACACTGCGCAGTCTGAGATGGGGTCTGAGCCTGTCAGGACATTTTTATTTTTATTTTTTTCTCAAAGAAACCTTTTATTTAATGAATACAGATTTCATAAATACAACTTTAGGACTATAGTGATTCTTCCCACCATATCCACCCTCTCACCCACACTCCCATCCTCCTCCTCCCTCTCCCCTTCCCAGTCCCATTCTCCTTTAAGATTCATTTTCAATTAATTTTGTACAAAGAAGACCAACTCTACTGAGTAAAGATTTCAACAGTTCGCACACACACACAAAAAAACTTTGAGAACAAATATTACAGTTAACTCTGATAGTACAACTCATTAAGGACAGAGGTCCTGCATAGGGAGTTAGTGCACAGTGACTCCTGTTGTTGGTTTAACAATTAACACTCTTGTGTATGACGTCACTGACAACCCGAAGCTCTTGACATGAGCTGCCTAGGCTATGGAAGCCTTTTGAGTCCACAAACTCCGTCAGTGTTTAGACAAGGCCATAAGCAAAGTGTAAGTTCGCTCATCCCTTCAGAGAAAGGTACATCCTTCTTTGATGGCCCTTCTCTCCACTGGGATCTCACTCACAGAGATCCTTCATGAAGAACATTTTTTGCCACAGGGTCTTGGCTTTCCATGTGTGAAATGCTCTCATGGGCTTTTAAGCCAGACCAGGCTGCCTTAAGGACTGATTCTGAGGTCAGAGTGACATTTTTAAATCCTGTCATTGTAAATTTTTTGGAAGGTACACCTAACTAATCTTCTCATCCACAGTGATTGACATGTAAGTAAGACAAAGAACTGTTATAGTCAGGATTGATCACTGATAATTGCTTCTGAGTGGCACAAACCATGCTATGGAAATGAAATGGGGCAGACCTTGGATAGCGAGAGAATCATGCAGGCATTGATGGCTTTTGCTGGTGAATCGAAGGACATTAATGTAATCTTGACAGGACTTCATCAAGCTCACTTTAGGGAATGGGCCTGTGAGGAGCAAGATAGGAGGGAGCTCTTGAGGGAGAAAGTGGCCTGATTTGAAGTCTAGAGCATGTATCTTCATAAGTTTATTAAGTAGACAATGTTATAAAGACAGATTAGGCCTTGGAAGCCATGATGAAGAGGTTTTTTTATTATTATTATTCACTAAGCAGTGTGGAACCATTAAAATTATTTAATGAGGAAATCCTGGAGAACAGGTGTTTAGCAGTTAAGATGCCTGCATCCCCTGTGGGAGTACTGGGTTCAATTCCCACCTGCAGCTCCTGACTCCAGCTTCCTGCTAATGCACACGCTGGGAGGCAGTGGTGATGGCTCAAGTAGGTGGATTCCTGCCATCCACGTGAGAGACCTGAATTGAGTTTCCCTCTCTTAGCTTTGACCTTAGCCCAGTCACAGCCACTATGAGTATCTGGGGAGTGAACCAGCAGAAAGGAGCTTATTCTCTCTCTGCCTCTCAAGTTTTTTAAAAATTAAATTTAAGAAAAAGTAGATGTTGGGTCACAAGCACAATAATAATATTAGATCACTCTTAAACTGCACTTAAGAAAACATATTTTGACAGCAATATGTAAGATGCACGGAGTATAAAAAGAGGTTGTACACAACAACAGTTAAGATATGCTGATTTCTTAATTATAATCTAAAAAGGAGAACCAATTTAATATATTTTTTCGAGAAATGAAAACAAGGATCAGTAGGTAGAAAGATTTTAATAATGCTAGTAGCTATAGTAGAGATTACAGTAGTGATAACTTTTTAAAAATAAAATAAATACAGAAACACACAAAAAAGTTATCTCATTGAACCCTCACAACAATCCCACTAGGTAAATAACTTTGCTATACTCATTTTGGAGACACACCTAATGCCACTATAAACTAATATTTGTTGGTACCAAGATTACTGACTTCATACCCACTGATTAGTGTCACTGTTTAAACTATGTGCCTGGTTTTTAAAAAAAAGAAGCTGGAAAAAAAATGGAGAAAACAACAGCCAACCCCTGGAGCTGTCCAACAACTGAATAGTGAGCTGGGAGCTTGGACCGTGGGAAGTTCGTAGAAACTTGAACCATGACTGCAAAGGAAGTCTGTTTTAAAGGGATTGCTAAACTTTGTTGAGCTAAGGAAGGTTAATGTTCCTTCCCACTGTTTAAATTCCTTAGCCTTCTCTGGCAAAGAGAATTTTAGAAGAGTAAGTGTAACAAAAGAGGAAGTTACTCCTGTCTGGACAGAACAAGTATGTTTTGTGCAGAAATCATCATCTCCAAATGTTACTCTGCTACATGTAACGAAGTTCCATTTGTTTGCCACTGCCTTTATAGAAACAGTCTGTGAAAAGGGTACAAAAAACCACTGACATTTAAGTACTTCTCAAAAAAAGTGGCATAAGATGGCTTAGTTTTATTATTTTCAAATCTTCACAGTTAAATAAGATGACTCTAATTAGCTGAGTTCCAACTGTTCTATACTACCTTGTAATGAGCTACAGTGTATTCATGATCTTGTGTAGATAATGAACCATTCTTTTTGAAAGTATCAGAAATGGTAATGACATCTGGGAATTCTTGTTTTGGTTTCTTGGCTTTAATCAATTTGTATCATGAATTTGAATGGGTTTTCAAGTTTTTCTAATTCATATTTTGTAAGACAGCAGTTTATTGTGTTTCTGATTCCTTTCATGTAGAGCCACCGCACATTAATGGATCCAGAGAAACTGGAGAGGTATCAGTAATTGTTAATAACCCACTTGAACTTACCTGCATTGCTTCTGGAACCCCAGCCCCTAAAATTACCTGGATGAAAGATGGCCGGCCTCTTCTACACACAGAACAGGTGCAGACTCTAAAGGGAGGTGAAGTTCTTCGACTATCAAGTGCTCAGGTAAGTTTCAGAGTTCCTACAACTATCTTATACTAGATTAAATCTCACACTGTCCAATAAAAGAGAATTGCTGAAGAAAGTACGTCTCTGAATCTGCATAGATCACAGTTTTCTGTAACAATATCAGATCGATCAGGTCTGTGGTGTGTGTAACTGAGTAGACACGATGAAAAGCAAGATGAAGAAGTATCATTAGACTGAAGAAAGCAGGAGGCCTTCATATCAGCTGTCGCAGGTTTTTACAGCGCTGTCAGAGGACTTCCTGCAGCTGCTGCCCGTTGTAGGTCGAGTAAAAGCAGTCTGGCACATTTATTTGAGGCTGCAAAGACTGCTGTCACCCCTGCCCGCAGCAGACTCTGGCCATCACTGCTTACTCCGTGATATCCACTGTTCTGATTCCACAGAGGAGCGAGACGAGATCAAGTGATACTTATTTGTCTATGTCCATGTTTTTGTAATTTTGTCATTCCCTTGACTATAGAATAACAAATTATTCCATCACATTTTGTCATCATTTCACTGAGAAGAATGGAAGGAAGGGGAACTGGGAGAGAGCTGAGATTCCTGAGCAGTCTCTGAGACAGCTGAGCCTCATGAGCTGTCTTCAGAAAGAGCTGAGGAGCGTGGCTTTTCTCCTGCAGTGGTGCTGTGCTCAGCCCTGGGTGGACAGTCAGACCTGCAGTGGTGCTGTGCTCAGCCCTGGGTGGACAGTCAGACCTGCACTGGTGCTGTGCTCAGCCCTGGACAGACAGTCAGACCTGCACTGGTGCTGTGCTCAGCCCTGGGTGAACAGTCAGACCTGCAGTGGTGCTGTGCTCAGCCCTGGGTGGACAGTCAGACCTGCACTGCAGTGGTGCTGTGCTCAGCCCTGGGCCGACAGTCAGACCTCTTTTTTTTTTTCTTTTTTTGACAGGCAGAGTTAGACAGTGAGAGAGAGAGACAGAGAGAAAAGTCTTCCTTCTGTTGGTTCACCCCTCAAATGGTGGCTGATGTGCCAATCCAAAGCCAGGAGCCAGGTGCTTCTCCTGGTCTCCCATGGGGTGTAGGGCCAGCGCTTGCCCCATCCTCCACTGCCCTCCCGGGCCACAGCAGAGAGCTGGACTGGAAGAGGAGCAACTGGGACAGAATCCGGCGCCCCAGCCGGGACTAGAACCCGGGGTGCTGCCGCCACAGGCAGAGGATTGAGGCCAAGTCTTTACCCCCAGCCCACAAACGCAGAAACAGGCGCAGGGAGATGAAGTGCATGTCTGCCCAGTGCTCCTGGGCTCAGCCATGGCACTGGGGGTCAGTCCCAGGTCTGGTCAGGACGCCTGGCCAGTGAGTCTCAGCATGGTTCATCTCTGACATGGAGCAGTGTCTTCCGTTTCCCTCTCTCTCTCCATCTCACACCCTCCAGTCACTCAGAGAAGAGTCAGCTTGAACTACCAACCACTTACTGAATCAAAACCACCCTTCAATGATTTAATTTCCACCAGTGAAAACGGAGGCAAAAAATTCTGTAACATTGGCAACAGCCTGGAGACAGGAAGCTGAGTGGACTACAGTCACATATGAGTAGTAGTAAAGGAAGTGTGAAAGGCAAGCTAAGCCATTTTATGGTAGGTCTGAAAGGCAAATTGGAAAGTTAGGTTACAAGACAAAGAGTCTGTAGAGCCTTAAATGGTGACTACATTTGCCATATGTTCTAGCTGATGTGGAGAATCCGTTTTACTTAAGGTGAATCTCAGCCTTCAAGAACTTCCTGTTTGTCTAGGGGAAATAAAACCGCACATCAGCTACAGTTAGATATGAAACCATAGAGAACCATTACAAACAGTACTGAGCTTTGAAGCCCATTGCTCAGCGTGGATTTTGTTCTTGAACAGTGTCCCAGTAGATTTAATGATGATTGTTGGCATAAAGTCTGATTTTCTCCTTAACAGATTTAAGAGTTTTGATGTTGAAAACTCACACAAATCGGTGTGGAACAAAGCCTAGAAAAATGAACACTGCAGATTGAGTTGTAACCTAATCCTAGCATGTGTGATGGAGCAGGGAAAGTTTTTGGTGCTGTAATTGCTCTCTTCATTGGTATTGGACTTCAACCATTCGCAACATGTTTCTGTACCACGATTTAAGCTCCAATAAAAATTTGCTTAATTAAAAGAAAGTATTGAAGTGGAAAATTAAACAAAGGCAGGTGCCGAGACCCCTGTTAGTGGCAGTGCTCATTGTTTCCACAGCACTCTGCACGTACGTGTGTTACAACACCTCCTGTGTTCCAGTTTTCTCATCTGAACTTTCTCATTTTGTGTATTTGTCCTCAACACGTAGTTTTGCCTGGAACATAATAGATGCTTTGCAAACTCCAACTTGCGTGTTAGAGACAGGAGTTTCCTAAAACATCTTCGGTCAAGTGCTAGTTCAGTGATGTATTGAAGGGAAGGAGGGGACCATTCTGTGACCTAATAGGTTTGAGCCATGTTGTTCGTCAGCAACTCTGCAAATCTTATCCAAAGAGGGCCAGTGTTGTGGTGCAGCAGCTGAAGCTGCTGCCTGGGACGCCAGCGTTCCATATCAGAGCACTGGTTAGAGTCCCCGGTAGCTCTGCTGATATCTAGTTCCCTGCTAATGTGTCTGGAAAGAAAGCAGAAAACGGCCCAAACCGCTGGTTCACTCCCCAGTTGGCTGCAATGGCCAGAGCTGTGCCGATCCGAAGCTGGGAGCCAGGAGCTTCCTCCAGGTCTCAGGCATGGGTGCAAGGGACCCAAGGACTTGGGCCATCTTCTGCTGCTTTCCCAGGCCATAGCAGAGAGCTAGATTGGAAGTGGAGAGGTGAGACTTGAACCAGCACCCATATAGGATGCTGGCACAGCAGGTGGCAACTTTACCCGCTACGCCACACCGCCGGCCCTGAGAAACTTTCAGTACAAATAATGACTGTGGTTCTCCAGAAGGTGGTGAGTGGTTGGGAACGACTTCCTGGATGAGGCAAAGTTTAATGGGAACCATGGGTGATGATGGTTCAAGGCTGACTAAAGAAAAGCAGGTGGGGCCTGGAGCTGTGGCTCATTTGGCTAATCCTCCGCCTGCCGCACCAGCATCCCATATGGGTGCCGGATTCTGTCCCGGCCACTCCTCTTCCAGTCCAGCTCTCTGCTGTGGCCCGGGAGTGCAGTGGAGGATGGCCCAAGTGCTTGGACCCCTACACCCGCATGGGAGACCAGGAGAAAGCACCTGGCTCCTGGCTTCGGATCTGCCCCCCAGCGCTGGCTGAAGCGGCTATTTAGGGGGTGAACCAATGGAAGGAAGATCTCTCTCTCTCTCTCTCTAACTCTACCTGTCAAATTAATAAATAGCAAATCTTAAAAAAAAAAAAAAAAAACAGGTGAAGAGGACAGTATCAGTTGGAAATGAACCAGATTGGTAGAAAAGAGTGAATTTTACAGTTTTTAAAGATATGAGAAATTCAGAAATTATCCTCTAGGAAATGTATCATGATTTTTGAATTCTTATTCAAAGGACTATGTGAGAATTTATATTTAAGTGTTTCCCCAGAGGAATGTTTGCAGCCTACCAAAACGTTTTCCATAACCTCCCCATAAAGTCCATTTGATTGTAAGCATTTTTAAATGTTCAGGTAGTAAACTAAAGGAGAACGAGGCATTTCTACTTCTCCTAAATACATTTTCCATAGTAGTACAATAATCTGTTTTCCAGGATATGTTCTCCATGTACACAGTCCTCGGTTGTGTGACTTTTAAATAAGGAGTTTGGGTTTTATACAAATGACAGTAGACCATGCTGTCAGCCCAACTCTTTATAACCAGGATACATGAAAGCCTTTTGGTCTGACATGAATATCAAAGGTAGAATCAAGATGTGAAAGTCTTGTGTTTGATGTTATAACTGGCATTTTATTGAGGTTTGTTTTATAAATGCATCTCATTTTATTCAGAAAGACTGCAATTGAAACTTTCAGTCTAAAAGCCCATGAATGTTTGTTCTTTCAGTAAATATCGAGTGTGTAGTCTATCACGAATGGGGCTGGGTCCAGCATACGTCTGCCTTTTCTGCTGTCATTAAAAACATCACACTTGTGAGCATTCCAAGTCTGTGGAAACAGGTTTGCATGTGACAGATGCAGCAGCGTTTGGTGTCCGAGTGCCAACCACAAGCATTAAGCAGTTAGATTATTGTGTTTCCTTACAGATGCCTTGCTTTGTGTGGGGATTCTTAAATTCGTTCCAGGGGATATTTCTTCGTGCCACCCAAACCAACGTGCTGACATTGTGCAATTCACTTTCGTGGGTTTTTCAGGTGGAAGACACAGGAAGATACACGTGTGTGGCGTCCAGTCCCGCAGGAGATGCCGATAAGGAATATCTAGTGAGAGTGCATGGTAAACTCGGCAGCTTGTTCTGTGGCCTCGTACACACAGCTCATTGGACGCCAGGATTGTAGGCCGTGGGGCGACTTCAGAGCACACATAAGATATGTTTATAAGTCGGGAAATATGTACTTTGCAAATATGATTCTTAGCTTTGATCAAGTATTCCTTGGGGATAGATTGATGGATTTTTTTGAGTTTTGTTCCTGGGCCAATAATTCATTGTCACTGATTGAAAATAGAAGAATATAGGGAGTGGGTGTGTAGCCAGCAGTTAAAACACCTTCATCCCACAGTGGGGGGTTTGGATTTGATTCCTGGCTCTGGCTTCTGATTCCAGCTTCCTGCTAACAGATCCTGGGAAGAGTAATTGGTATCCTGCCACCCACGTGGGAGACTTGTATTGCATTCCTGTCTTCTAGCTTTTGCCCTGGCCTAACCTGGGCCATTGCCAGCACTTAGGGAGTAAGCCTGCAAATGGGAACACTCTCTGCCTCACTGTCTCTCTCTATTTCTTTCTGTTTCTCTCCCTGTGTGTCTCTCTCTCTCTCTGCATCTCAAAAAAAATTCATAAATAATTATATTAAAATAAAAATAATCCATAATCTCACCACAGATATTTTAATGTGTTTCATTACAAAAAATACCATACAGCACATAGATTTTAAACTTGTTTTTTATTATGCATATCAATAAATATATTTATGACATTTCTAGTGATTGCATAGTGTCCCATTGTACCTCCTAATTTTGGATATTTAAGCTCTTCCTCTGCACCAATTTAAACAATACTGTCAGACTGTTTCTTTCGAGAAATTTCTTTAGTTTGCTTAGTTACACAGACTCAACACGCACACACAGATGTTTGTATACACATACATCTAAGGATTTTGAAACTTACTGCCCAGTTACCTCCAAGCGAGCTGACCCGTTAGACTGTCCAGCACTGTTTGGACATCGAAACAGGAATTGCACTTCCTGGGGAAGAATATTTGACAAAATCAAGCAGAAGATCTTTGTTTCATTCTCGTCCTCCAAATGACCAGGTGGTTGTGCCAGCTGCCTGGCGTGGAAGTGTCCTCCCCACGCCGCTCCCAACTCCCAGATACAGATTGGCCGTGCCAGTAATTGACATACAAGTTTTGTAAAGATTCACAGAAAAGTATATTTATTTCTGTATATCAGGAAGAATATATGCATTTCTGTATGCTATGAAAGCTGTCTGCTTTGATTTTTTGTTTGTTTGTTTTTTATTATTATTTTTGACAGGGAGAGTGGACAGTGAGAGAGAGAGAGACAGGGAGAAAGGTCTTCCTTTGCCGTTGGTTCACCCTCCAATGGCTGCCACTGCCAGCGCGCTGCGGCCGGCACATTGCGCTGATCCGAAGCCAGGAGCCAGGTGCTTCTCCTGGTCTCCCATGGGGTGCAGGGCCCAAGCACCTGGGCCATCCTCCACTGCACTCCCTGGCCACAGCAGAGAGCTGGACTGGAAGAGGGGCAACCGGGACAGAATCCGGCGCCCCGACCGGGACTAGAACCCGGTGTGCTGGCGCCGCAGGCAGAGGATTAGCCTAGTGAGCCGCGGCACCAGCCTTGATTGTTTTAAAATCAGATATTCAGGGAAAATGATTACCAACTTAGAGGCTGAACCAGGGACTCTTTCTTTGTGCCTCAGTCTCTGCCTATCAAATGGTTATAGTAATGTGATTACAGTGCTAATCCTGCCAGTGATGTAGCTGTTGGGAGGATTTCACTTCTCAATGTGAGATTGTTGAGTAAGATAAGAGCCACTCCACTGTTTTTTGTTTTTTAAAAAAATTTTTTTTTATTTATTTGAAAGGCAGAGTTACAGAAAGGGAGAGGCAGAGAGAGAGAGATGTCTTCTATCTGCTGGTTCACTCTCCAAATGTTCGCAATGGCTAGGGCTGGGTCAGAAATGCCAGGAGCCAGGAGCTTCCTCCTGGTCCTCCACGTGGGTGCAGGAGCTCAAACACTTGGGCCATCTCTGCCGCTTTCCCAGGACATAAGCAGGTAGCTGGATCAGAAGTGGAGCAGCTGGGACTCGAACTGATACCCATATGGGATGCTGGTGCTACAGGTGGTGGCTTAACCTGCTGTTTGCATGATTATCTGGACTACAGGTTAAATGAGTATGGTTTGAAGGTTATGCCTCTGACTTTGAGTAACAGAACTGACATTCGTGGGACACCTGTGAGAATCCAGACCTTTCGACACCGCAGCTACTGAAGGTCTTGCTGTGTTTGCTCTCATACCCAGTGCCCCCTAACATTGCCGGAACAGATGAGCCTCAGGATTTCACTGTGTCACAGAACAGACAAGTGACACTGGAGTGCAAATCGGATGCGGTGCCCCCACCTGTAATTACGTGGCTCAAAAACAGAGCACACCTACAGGTAAATCTCTTCCTAAACCCCATGGATTCATATTGAAATCATAAAAAAAAGCTGTGAAGCCATTGCTTGTAGACATCTTGCTGCAAGCCACTCAGCTCTGCACGGTGGGCGTGGTGTGCTTAGAGCAGGCCAGATGATGGCGCTCTGGAAATTGGGCCCCGCATGCGTCTCCTGGAGCTCAGGGATTCAGTCTGACTCGAAACACTTGCCTGTCTCTCCTTTTTTTTTTTTTTTTAAGATTATTTATTTGAAAGAGTTACATGGAGAGAAGGAGAGGCAGAGAGAGAGGTCTTCCCTCTGTTGGTTCACTCCCCAGATGGCCACAACAGCTGGAGCCACACCATTCCAAAGCCAGGAGCTAGGAGCTTCTTCCAGGTGCAGGGGTCCAAGCACTTGGGCCATCTTCTGCTGCTTTCCCAGGCCATAGCAGAGAGCTGGATCAGAAGTGGAGCAGCCAGGTCCCGAACCAGTGCCCATGTGGGATGCCGGCACCACAGGCAGCAGCTTTACCTGCTACGCCACAGCACCGGCCCTCGCCTGTCTCTTTATGAGAAAAGAAACCTTCAGAGTTTCAAAGGAACAGACCTGCTCTCCCAAGTCTCCAGGGCCGCCTGCCACTGAATTTCTCGGTCTAAACTTAAAGGGACTCCAAAGGGTACGTGGTGCCGCTAGGGATCTGAGTCTGGGCCCAGAATCCCCGAGGAGATTTGTCCTTAGCACTTTTCCTTTGTTCTTCCCCATTCCGTCAGCATAGCCATTGTGCCATACTGTTTCTATCAGTTAATTATAAAGGGGGTGTTGTCCTCTTAACACCTCATACCACCACCAAGCGGCACAGCCAGCATGGCCGGAGCCAGGGATCCGAGTGCCACTCATCTGCCGCACAGCACGCACGGCCCTGAGCCCTGCAGTCCTCTGGTGTGCTCGCTGAAATGACCGTGTCTGGGAAGACAAAGGTAAAGCGAAGGGTGTAGACAATACTGCGGATAAATTGAACCTTGCAGGGAGGGACGGCGTTTCACAGAAACAGGAGAAGCCGGTGTCCCAGACTGAGGAACCAGGAGCAGCCCGGGACGCCTCCCAGAGGTGGATTGGGATGTACTGGCGTGTCTGTGCAGTGACTGAGAAAGGACAGGAAAGGGATCCCGGCCGTCGGCCCTGGTTGTGCAGAGCCTCACAGGGACAGGAGTGCTGCTAGGACAGGAGCTGGAGGCTTGGTAAGGGTGCAGTAGAACTGGATTACAATCCTGTGTGGAGGAGGCGGCTGTTTGCCCGAGCGGTTAGGCTGCCACTTGGGACACCTGGATCCCTCCTGTACCAGTGTGCCCGGGTTCGAGTCCCAGCCGCACTGCCAGTTCCAACTTGCTGCTGCCGAGCACCCTGGGAAACAGCAGGTGATGGCTCAAGAACTCGGGCCCCTGCCACCCGCATGGGAGCCCCACATGGAATTCCTGGCTCTCCTGGCTTTGGCCTGGAGAATATTGCAGGCATTTGGGGGAATAAACCAGTACATGGAAATTCTCCCCCTCCCCCTCCCTCTCTCACTCCCCCTCTGCCTTGCATAAATAAAAATAAATTAATAATTGAAAATTCTCTGACTGCCCCCCATAAATTTCAGGATTGTGGATAAACCACCCGCTGAGCTCACAGGGCCCTTCGCGCTCTGACTTGGCCTCCGTGCTGCCTGTCTCCCCATGCGCTTTTCACTGCGGTCCCTGAGGTGTTAACGTGGGGACTGAGTGGATGTTGACAAGTGGCTCAGTGCAGGCTGATACCAGATGTGACCAAGTGATATCCGACTGGGAAAGGGCGAGTTCACCAGTGGGGAAAGCAAGTTTGGGCTTAGAGATTTTTATTTAAACTACCTGTATATTAACTACGTAGAATCTAGAAAATGTTAAAAGTAGGGTCTATGTTTCTTTAAAAAAAAAAAAAAGGTTTCTGATGTGCTGCTCGTGGTGTAAGCTGCTGCTGAAGTTGTAAGTTTTCGTGGGTTTAACCAGAAACCGCAGTGTCAGAGCAGCAAGTGGGAACAGAGCCGGAGAGGCGTCAGAGCACGACGAGGCAGCGACAGGACTGCGGCAGCAGATCTGGTGTCCCGAAAGCCGAGGACGGGGCGGAGGGACCGAGAGGCCACCCGAGTGCCAACCTGCTTGTATCCGTTGGCTTCGGCAATAAGTAGAAGTGATTAAAGATTCAAACAACGGTTCTCCCATAGAGCGGACATAGGTTATTGTTTGGAGAGTTAATAGAAGAAGTTGCAGTGAGCAGGTTCTGTTGTATTCAGAAGCGCGAGTTACAGGACGCCAGTCTCAGGCCGAACTCCGGAGTCTGTTTCCGAAAGCCGGCAGCTGCGCTGGGGCGTGGGCTCTGCTAATCACGCAGCCCCGGCAGAGCTCCGGGCAGGCGTCTAAAGGCAGAACCACATCTTGTTGGAAGTTAGTTACAGAAGCTGGAACAGCCAGGTTATCAAGGTTGCTTAACTTGGGAGGCATCGAACACATTTCCCTGCACTTAATGTAAACAAACCTTACAGATAACATTCTTTTTATTTTTAAAAATTTATTGGGGCCGGTGCTGTGGCACAATGGGTTAAAGCTCCAGCCTGCAGCACCAGCATCCCATATGGCCCAAGTCCTTGGGCCCCTGCACCTGCATGGGAGACCTGGAAGAAAAAAGATTTATTTATTTATTTGAAAGGCAGAGTTACAGAGAGGCAGAGGCAGAGGTCTTCCATCCGGTGGTTCACTCCCCAGATGGCCACAATGGCGGGAGCTGCAGTGAGCCAAAGCCAGGAGCCAGGATCTTCTTCCGGGGCTCCCATGCAGGTGCAGGGACCCAAGGACTTGGGCCATCTTCCACTGCTTTCCCAGACCACAGCAGAGAGCTGGATGGAAAGTGGAGTAGCCAGGACTCGAACCAGCGCCCATATGGGATGCTAATATTGCAGGCGGTGGCTTTACCTGCTACACCACAGTGCTGGCACAGATAGCATTCTTACAAGGTTAGTTTTTGACTGGTTAGAAAAAAAATAGAGAATACTCAGGGACAAAATGGAGTGACTGGTCAGCCACAGCTCACTGGCACCTCACTATTTAAACATTAAACAGTTGCACAGCTTTTTGCTGAAAGAAGCAGCTATAGAAGGTATGGGAGAGAGGAAGAGAAATGTCCAGCACAGGTACACAGGGGAGGCCTGGGACCGAGGTCAAGGGTAGGAGATGACCTTGGCCACGAGGGTGAGGCCACAGAAGGGCAGAGTCACGTGTAGGAGGCAGGGGGGAGTGTGGCCGGTACAGAGGTGGGGTGTTCTCGGCGCAATAGGGAGCAAGGTCATCAGCTGAGAAGGGGGTCCATCTGAGGGCAGATGTCCAATTTGGAAGGAATCACTGGTGCTGAATAAAACTGTAGTGAGGCTTACTAAGTAGAGTTTACTAGTTTTTAGAAGATACACATTATGAGAAGGCGCACTGAAAACTTTCATCACCTAAAGCCCTGCTGTGCCCGTACATTAACAATTGAAACATTTCAGGGTGGACGTTGGCCCTAGCAGTTAAGACTCCATTGGGGGTGCCAGCACCCCTTATCAGGGTATCTGGGCTCAAGTCCTGGCTCCATTCTGATTTCATTTAATCTGGGAGGTAGCAGGTGATGGCTCAGGTACTTTGGTCCTGACACCCACGTGGGAGACCTGGACTGAGTCCAGCTCCAACTAGCAGATTGGAGATCTCACTTTGTCTGTTTCTCTGTCTTTCTGCCTTCCAAATAAAATAAATTTTTAAAGAATTAAAATGTATCACAAAACTTAACATGTTTAAGAAACCATTTATTCTCATTAGAGCTAACATTTTATTATGATTACCAACAGCAATGAAAGGCCTAGAAAAATGTGTGGACTTCTAAAATAATGGACTGCATATTTTAGTATGAACAGTCTGCATCTACATGGCAGAGAAATCTTATCTTTGATGCATTTTAAATGTATATGAATATCAGACACTAGGCTGTACACCAAGATTACTTGTTTGCTCTCTCTCTCCAATTACACTTGATAGCAGCAGCCGGGTTTCATTGTCACTGTATTTTTATAATTCTTGGTCCAGTGCATGGGCACAAAATAAATGCTTAAGAAATTTATATACTGAAATTGTTTATGTTTCTTTTAAGGTTTGTTTATTTTTGACAGAATTACAGAGAAAGAGGGAGATCTCCCATTACACCCCCGGTGGCCACAACAGACAGTGCCTGGCCAGGCAGAAGCCAGGAGCCAGGTACCTCATCTGGGTCTCCCACATGGGTGCAGGGGCCCCAGCACTTGAGCCATCTGCTGCTGCTTTTCCCAGGCCATTAGCGGGGAGCTGGATTAGAAGTGGAGCAGCTGGGGCCCACTATGCCACAACACCAGCCCTTATCTGCTTATTTGTAAAATGTTAGGAGATGAGGGCCGGTTTTGTGGTGCAGCAGATTACACCTTGCTGTGACACGGGCATCCCATATCAGCACCAGTGTGGGTCCCAGGTATTCCACTTGCATCCGGCTCCCTCCTGTCGTGCCTGGGAGGGCAATGGAAGATGGTTCCTGCCCTTGGGCCCCTGCCACTCACATAGGAGAACTGCTTGGTGTTTCTGGTTCCTGGCTGGGCCTAAGCTGTTGTGGCCTTTGGGGAGTGAGCCGATGGGTGGGAGACCTCTCCCTTTCTCTGTTGCTCTGCCTTTCAAATAAATAGAATTTTTTTTTTTTACTCTTCGGATAATGTTTTTCTGAATTTACCAGAGTAAATTTGTTAGGAAACTCTCCATTGTAAGGGACAGAATTCAGACTGAAACCAACTTAAATGAAAAAAGAAAAAAACATGGCCAGAGTAGTAGGTGAATTGGCAGCTGGCCCTGTGTGGGCCAGAGGCTCTGCCACGGGTGGAAGCAGCCCTGCGTGTGCTCCGACTCTGAGCTCCTCTGCTTGGCCTTTGTTCTGCCAGGGTCCCCACCTGGTAGCACTGCCCCCAGGCCTATGTCACCCCGAAGTGGCTCCAATACAAAGGTTACGCCTTTTCCCCCAGCACTTCCAGCCAGAGTTGTGAGGAGGGCTCTAATGGGCTTGGCTTGAGCACCTGCCCTCCATACTGGATCCCTGTGGCTCTCGCATCCACCCACTGGTTCACGCGGTTTCCTGGGAACTTCTGGTCTGCAGGGATGGTAGGGGAGCAGCTTCCCAGCTCCCTGTAGTTGCTTCCGGTGATACGAAATCAAACTGAAGCATCTTCTTTTGGCATTTAAATAATACATTTGACTTGCTGAATCCAGGCCTCGCCTCGAGTGCGAATCCTTTCTGGAGGGAGATACTTGCAGATTAACAACGCAGACCTTGGAGATACTGCCAACTATACCTGTGTTGCCAGCAACATAGCAGGGAAGACCACAAGAGAATTCACTGTCTTTGTGAATGGTAAGAAAAATGGTGCCCTCTTTCACAGTGTAGACGTTTAACCCAGGGCATGCATGTGAGCATACTAGAGAGATCCTTGTTTGTGGTTATCTCATTTATTTTGAAGACAACAAAATAGCATTTGTACTAGCATTATGCAGTATTGCAAGTTAACTCAATATAAAAAAGTACAGAAATATTACTATATCTTAAAGGATGGTGTATGTTCAGTTGTTGGCATATTTTGACGTTTTGTGTTATTTGTATGTGAGCTGATACACTGAATCTCGAATGGCAAATGGCCCATCATTTAGTCCACATTGTTCATAGTTGGAGAGTATAATATATGTGCTAGATGGAAACTGATATAGGACTATGATTTCTTATATACAGTATCTGAACATCAAAATTCAGGAGGATAATTTAGACTTTCCCCAAAAGAGTCCCTTTGGACTTTTAGTGTATGAAATTTTTTAAAGGCTATTGGGTCACCCACACAGTCAGTATCTCTAATACTGAAATAAAAATGCAGGCTTTGTATTCCCGCATGAGCTCAGTGATTAACAAATGCTTGTTCTGAGCTGGGCGTGATTAACCACAGATGTGCCTTTCGCTAAAACAGCCCCTCTCTGCTCTTTATTTAGAGTGAGTTACTCCAGTGTTAACATTCTCTGACCATTATTTGGCCAAACAGAGTAAGAAGTATCCTCTTTAATTTGCATCAGACCAGAGCTGCTTTGTGTTCGGTCTCTTCCACAGATCCAGATTTACGCACCACACCAGCATTTAACCTGCTCTTCCCCACCTACTCTTTATTTTTAAACACAAAGTAATTTGAGTAAAACTACAGGAGTTAAATCACAACTCTGTTTATACTAACCTAGATTAGTGTAGACAAAGCCATACATTTGCTCAGATTATGTCTTCAGGGTCTTAGTCAAAGGCTATGCTATGTAGTAAAGCTGAGTTTTCTTACGTGTGTCTCTTGTTCAGTTCCTCCAAACATAAAGGGTGGCCCCCAGAGTCTTGTCACTCTCGTCAATGTGTCAGCTGTGCTGGAATGCTCAGCTGATGGCGTGCCCACCCCAAGGCTGACTTGGAGAAAGGACGGAGCCGTTCTAGCCGGGAATCAGGCAAGGTAACGGTTCTGGAAACAGATGAAAAGTCCAAACACAGATCTTTAAGTCTTCCTCCCAATGCATTATTTGGATCTTGCATCATTTAGAATTAGTTTTTCATCTTGATAACGAGCATGGAAATTTAGTATTTTAAAGCGTAATCCCCTATGGCTTCTATCTCCACAATGATTACAGGCATTTGCAATTGCAAGCCTACCTGCTAAGCACCTTCATGCCGTACCCTCTTCCCACCTGCCTCCCGCCGGGAGTATGGTGACTGTGCATCTGTGTGAAACAGGAGAAACCTGCCATGACTCTCACTAGGTCTTTGAAGGGGTCCTGAAACGTAAGTGATCAGAACAGGCCGAATCAGGAGGCCACTCGGCATCTTTCTTGCAGGTACTCCATCTTGGAGAACGGATTCCTTCGGATCCAGTCGACACGGGTCACCGACGCAGGCCGGTATTTGTGCATGGCCACCAACGCTGCCGGGACAGACCGCAGGCGGATAGATTTGCAAGTGCTCGGTAAGTCCACTTTTATACACAGCCTGGAGGCTTCCCATCCAGTCGTCTTTGACAGCCAAAACCAGTGAGGTCACGAAGACTTTGACATCAAGGCTGTTTGAGTATGAGTGCAACTGCCAGCAGGCAGCCCCGTGTTTTCTCCTCACTGCAGCCAAGTTGTCACAGCGCTGTCAAATTCGCAGAGCCTCTAACCGTGCGTGAAGGTGCCAGCGGCCAGTTTCAGTTCAGCAGAAACGTCTCAGATGGCACAGGTTGCTGACTTTCTTCCCCGCTAACTTGCTGACCTTGTTCCAGTTCCTCCCTCCATTGCTGCGGGTCCTACCAATGTAACTGCAACGGTGAATGTCCAGACTACCCTGGCCTGTGAGGCGTCCGGCATCCCCAAGCCATCCGTCAAATGGAGAAAAAATGGGCATCTTCTTAACGTGGATCAAAATCAGAATTTATACAGGTAAGGAAGTCTTAATTGAGAATTTATACAGGTAAGGAAGTCTTAATTGAAAAGTCTCATGAGTAATTTGGAAACTTTTTTTTAATAAGAAACAGCATTTTAAGTGTGTCAATGGGGGCAGCAAATACATGAAGTATGAAGAATTGGCTAATGCAGAGAGTATGTTTTTCTTAAAATGAGACCCAGTTTTGAACCTGAAAGTTTTGTGTAGGTGCAGCTTTTCCACACATAAGCTCCACGGTGACTCTCAGTGAGGCCTACAGGCCTGGATTTGTAGCCTGAGTTTAGCTCTTACTGGAATTTCATAAAGTAGAGGATAAAACACCATAAAATAAGAATGATTCTGTAAAAATAAACGCGAACTCTAACTGCAGGCCCAGTGTTACCTGGAAATCCCACTTAGATGTTTGGCAGCACGTGTGAGGAAGAAGAGCGGCGTCCACTACAATTTTCACCTTCCTCCGGCTTTACCTCGATGGCTCACACGTGGCAATATGTGGTTTTGACAGCTAAACTTGAAGTCACTAAGAATTTATGATGCTTTAGATTACGCGTACCATCACCTCTGTCTCAGATGAGTTAATGGTTATCCTGTCAGAGGACTGACCACAGTACTAAGAGCAAGTGCTCTCATAGATCTTCTTTGGCAAAAATGAGTTCTGGCATACCAGGAAATGGGAAAGTAGGAGCTGCAGGGGAAACTGTGTCATTTCCTCTTCTCATCTTGCTAACCTTTTGACATTGGGAGGTCAGCGACTTGAAAGTATGTGCTATTTAGCAAATGTACAAAGCTCCTGAAAAAGAAAGAATATGGTTGCATTAAACCAAGTCATTTCTATTCAGTCAGTATACAGTTTGCAGTAAGCAAACAGGCATTGTAATTTAGATTCACTGAACATCACACATGACTGTTCATTCTGCTTCCTAAACATTTGAAGTGACCCAGATTGCTTCAGTTTAGAAGTCAAGGGAAAGTGTTCCAGGTGCAGTATCTGTCTCCAAAGTAGCCCTCACGTGTAAGGAGACCTGTAGTTACCCGTCTGTCTGAGAAGAGAACTCAAATGGCAACCTGCAAAGTGACTGAGAAATGTAGAGATGATTTTTATAGGCAGCATTTGAGATGGCTCCAGGCATGGATCCCGTGCCGCCATCAGGGTGCTCACTGCCCTGGATTCCTCCTAGGAAACCAGGGTTGGTCATGCTGTGAGTATCAGACAATGCAAGATTCCCACTTTAGACAGCCCTTCAAATGAACTGCTTCCTGTCACTATCAAGTTTAAGCCCTGTTAACCCATCAAACCCCTACAAATGTAACATCCAGTGCACAAAGTTCGCATCAAAGAAATGAAGCTCATGTTAACTGAGGGAGGAGACCGATGGCCCTCAAGTCACCACATGAGCCAAGTGGAAAGATGTCTGAAACCGGCACACAGCATCTCGTGCTCTGAACTCTCTCGTAGGCTCCTCTCTTCTGGTTCTCTGGCGATCATCTCCCCTTCTGTGGATGACACCGCCACCTATGAGTGCACCGTGACAAACGATGCTGGAGAGGATAAGAGAGCCGTGGGCCTCACCGTCCAAGGTAGACTGGCTTCACACGCAGTCCAGGGTGGCCGCGCCAACCATCCCGCTGCTGCGCACAGGCCTTCTTTTCTGCTTACCGAGTGTTCCCTTTGAGAGCAGAAAGAGGCACTAGTACAGCAGGACATGCAGCTCACTTTCTTCCTCTTGTCTCAGTTCCGCCCTCCGTAGCTGACGAGTCTGCGGACGTGGTGGTGACCGCCCGGGCTCCAGCGGTGATGACCTGCGCTGCCACCGGAGTTCCATTTCCTTCCATTCACTGGACCAAAAACGGTGTCAGACTGCTCCCCAGGGGAGATGGCTACCGAATTCTGTCCTCCGGTAAGACCCAGCTCGGGGATTTCACATCTCTTGGTTGCATTAGTTATTAGCAAGGGGCCTTTGCGTGGCCTTCTGTTGTACCGAATAAAGAATAAAATGTGCCTGGAAAAAATTGCAGTCAGACTCAGAAGGGGAGAAAGGGAGAGAAAGGAAAAAGTCTGGTTGCAGAAAATAATATGTGTGACTAATCTAAATATAATAAGCTTATATTAAAAATAGTCTAAATAGAATAAGCTTGTATTAAAAATAGTCTAAATAGAATAAGCTTGATTGCTGGTGTTTCTGTGCATAGGTACTAAACCTAAGGGTTTCAGCGTCTGTTACCTTTTTGCCAGAGTGTGCATTTAGCTAATAATTACTAAGACAGTCTGTCTGCTCTCCTAAGCTTCTGAAACTACAAACCTAATGCAGGGTTCACACTTCTGAGGCTTTTTTTTTAATTTAGCAGGGAAGGCTGTTTTAAATGCTATACTAAACAGATTTTTAATAAAGATTTACTTAATTATAATTAAATTACAGTTAGAGAGAGATCTTCCATCCACTGGTTCACTCCCTAGATGGCCGAGGCAAGCCTGGACTGGGCCAGGCTGAAGCCAGGAGCTTCTTCCGGATCTCCCACGTGGATGCAGGGGCCCAAGCACTCGGGTCATCCTTTACTGCTTTCCCAGCCATAGCAGGGAGCCGGGTTGAAGTGGAGCAGCTGAGACTGAAGCAGGCACCCATGGGGGACCACTGCGCCACAGTGCCAGCCCTGAGCGGTTTTTGAATATAGTAGCGACCATCATTTATGCAATGTGTAGTACTGAGGAGAAAAAAATAATTCTCCTAAATGAAAGTATAGATTATTCATACTGGTGTTAGTGAAAACTTACCCAGCGTTGATATTGTGGTGCCTGGGAGTAAGCTGCCGCTTGGGGCGCCTGCACCCCATAGCAGAGCCAGTTCAAGTCCTGCCGTTCTGTGTCTCATCCAGCTCCCTGCCAATGGCTCCTGGGAGGCAGCTGATGATGGCTCAAGAACTTAGGCCCCTGTCACCACGTGGGAAACCCTGATGGAGTTCCTTGCTCCTGGCTTTGGCCTGGCCTGCCCCTGGCTGTTTCAAGAATTTGGGGAAGTGAACTAACACACAGATTGTACCTTTGCCTCTTGCTCTCCATTGCTCTATATTTCCAATAAACAAAAGTAATTAAATAAACCTTAAAAAAAATAGAAATCGGGGCCCAAGCTGTGGCCCAGCAGGTTAAAGCCCCACCCTGCAGTGATTGGTGATTGAATCAGTGGTGGCCTAGGGCAGGGGTGCGATGGGGAGTGACTGTAATTGAGTACCAGGTTCTTTTTGAGTTGATGGAAAGATTCTAAAGTAAGACGGATGGGCTGGCGCTTAGGCTTCGCATGTTAAGCTGCCATCTGCAATGCCAACATCCCATATGGCCACTGGTTTCAGACCCAGCAGCTCCATCTTTGGGCCAGCGCCATGCTAATGCACCTGGGAAAGCAGTGGAAGATGGTCCAAAGGAACTCTGCGCCCACATGGAAGACCAGGAGGACGCTCCAGGCTCCCGGCTTCAGCCTGGCACAACCCCGGCTGAAGCGGTCATTTGGGGAGTGAACTAGTGGATGGAAAATCTCACTATCTCTCTGCCTGTGTCCCTCACCCCATAACTCTATCTTTTAAATAAATAAATCTAACAACAACAAAAAAAAACAGGTGGACAAACCTGCTCTTGATAAAAACAGCATTTTATGAAAAATCACACTGTGATTGCTCTTTGTAAATGTGCTAAGATTATTGAGTTGAACATTTTAAGTGGGTGACTTTCTTGATATGCAAATTATGCCTCCATAATGCAGTCCATAATAAAGGGGCTGGAGTTGTGGCATAGTAGGCTAAATTGTTACGTGCAATGCCAGCACCCCATATGGGCACTAGTTCAAGTCCCGACTGTTCAACTTCCAATCCAGCTCCCTGCTAATGAGCCTGGAAAAGCAACAGAGCATGGCCCACGTCCTTGGGAGCCTGCCACCCACACGAGAAACTCAGAGGAAGCTCCTGGCTTTGGCCTGGCCCGACCCAGCGCTGGCTGTTTGTGGCCATTTGGGCAGTGAGCCAGCAGATGGAAGATCAATCAGTCAATCTCTCTCTTTCAAGTAAATAAATAAACCTTAATGATAATAAAAGAGTACTGTGCCCAGCTCTTCAGGGATACAAGTATGAATATGAGCCAAGTACCTGTGTGCTAAGTGCAGAAGACATGAAAATGAGAGACATGATTAACTGAACCAGAAAACCAGGAAGGCGTACTATACCTTAAACCTTTTCCTTTTTAGGAACAATTGAAATCTTCTCCAGCCAGCTCAGCCACGCTGGAAGGTACACTTGCGTTGCTAGGAATTCAGCCGGTTCTGCACATCGCCACGTGACCCTTCATGTCCAAGGTGTGTGAGGCTGTTTGCTTATTTAAAGCTTGCCAGCTTTGGGTAATTTTTTGTTTATTATTATGTTGTCTTTTTTTGGAGTGTTTATTCTTGAAATGTGACCCTGTCTAGAGCTATGGACCACAGTATTATCTTGGGGGTAGGAGAGCCTCAAGCTGTTTTTCAGTAGACTAAAACAGACACACACGGCAAGTCACGCAGAACTACCCCACGATTATTTTGCTTCTTGGATTTTTCCCTCCATTCCTGCATGTCGGCTGCCGGTAGAGCTCCTCTAACGCATGGTGTCTACCACCGTGGGACTCAGATAACAGTGCGGCGACATCCCCTTCTCTCTGGGGCAGTGGCATCACCCTTGTTGTGGAGTTTTGCGTTTGGGCCTGTTGAGGCTCATCCTGTGCCGCCTGTCTGCCCTGAGCCGGTGCTGTTACTTCCTGTTGTTGATTGGCTTTGACAGAGCCTCCAGTCATTCAGCCGCAGCCCAGCGACCTGGATGTCATCCTGCACAATCCCGTTCTGTTGCCGTGTGACGCCGCAGGGACACCCAGGCCTTTCATTACGTGGCAGAAAGAAGGCATCAGCGTGCTCAGCTCAGGTACCTGCCCCTGTGTCCGTCTAGGGACGTCTGGCACGTTGGGTGTTTTATAAACCACGAGTCAGTACGGTTTTCCCAAGCCAATAAAAATCCCCCTCTGCTTTGTGATGCTGACGTAGGGCAAAGCCGTGCGGTGCTCCCTGGCGGCAGCCTGCAGATCTCCAGAGCCGCCCGCGAGGATGCTGGCGTTTACGTGTGCGTGGCTCAGAACCCAGCCGGGACGGCCTTGGGCAAAATCAAGTTAAACGTCCAAGGTACCTGAGTCGCTCATCCCTGTCTTCAATTCGGTCTGTCCCAGTGTGTGCCTCACATGCGGGCATCTAAGGTGACTGCTGCCTTGCTCCTGCCGTTCTCAGCGGGCTGAATTTCCACTGTCCTGTTGTCTTCCTCTTACCCTGAGGAAACAGTAAGTCTAGTGCGTGTTTTTCAACTGTTGTTTCTGTGAGAAAACAGGAGCCCTTCAGATTTGGAACTCGTGTAGTCCTGAATGTGGCACGGTAGTTCCCACGGACCGATGGCTCCGTTCCCGCATTTGCAGTTAGCCGTAGCGAACTGCAGTCCTAAAATACGAAGTGGAAACTTCCAGAAATAATTCCTGAGTTTCAGCTGCACACCACTCTGAATACCTTGAAGAAATCCTGTGCCGCCCAGCTGCATTCCGCCCGGGATGTGAAGCATCCTTTGTCCAGCGTATCTACTCTGCGTACACTCCTACCCATCCATCACTTGGTGGCGATCGGGATTCTCAGATCAGAGTACCGCAGTTCTTGTGTTCAACAGAGCCTGATTTGACTTAATAATGCCCCAGGGTGCGAGAGTAGCGATACTAGCAGAAGATGGCTCAAGTGCATGGGCCGCTGCCGCCCACATGTGGGAGTCCAGGATGGAGCTCCTGGCTTCGGCCTGGCCTAGTGCTGGCTGTGGTGGGTCTTTGCGGAATGAACCAGTGGATGGAAGATCTTTACTCTGTCTCTCCCTCTCTCTCTTTACTCTTCCTTTCAAGTAAATAAGACAAAGCATGGATTTTTTGTGTGTTTTCATGTTTAACTGTGGGGCAGTGCATTGTTTAAAGGTCCAAGAAAGGTGAGGATAAAGGAAAAGATGACAAATGAGAGGGCAGAGCTGTCCAAGGAAAATTGGATGGCAGTCAGGCGAGGACGGCACGCCAAGAAGGGAGTGGACAGCCTCGTTGAATGCAGTCAGGTCAAGTGGGTCAGGACCCAAAGTTATCATTGGTGTCAGCAACATAGAAGTCATAGAAAAGAAGTTTCCAGATTTGAGGTTTTTCGCATTAAATGATTAAAAGTACCAATACAGGAGCAGTAAAGAGACAAATACATTAAACAACTGAAAGCGTTTCAATATTCACAAAGTAAAGGCAGGCGCTTGGTGCGGCAGTTAAGATCCTTCTTGGTGTACCCTCCCATCCCAGATGCAGTGCCCGGGTTCGAGTCCTGGCTGTACTTCCAGCTCTAGCTTCCCGCTAAGGAGCACCGTGCAAGGCAGCAGAGGATGCCTCAGGTGGTCGGGCCCCTGCCACCATGTGGGAGACCTGAATTGAGTTCTGAGCTTCTGCCTTGCCCAGCCCTGGCTGTTGCAGGCATTTGGAGAGTGAACCAGTAGATGGAGGAGTGTGTGTGTGTGTGTGTCTGTCTGTCTTTCAAATAAAAATTAGTTAATAAATATTCTAAAAGTAATCAGAAAAATATATATTCTAGGGCAAGAGAAGTTCTGAATAGGCTGTCTCCTTGCAGGTACATTATGTAATAATCATAAGCACAGATGTTACCAAACAATTTTGGTAGCTATAAATAGTCTTTTTTTTTTTAAGATTTATTTATTTGAAAGGCAGAGTTACAGAGAGGCAGAGAAAGAGGTCTTCTATCTGCTGATTCACTCCCCAAATGGCCACAACAACCAGAGCTGTGCCAATCTGACCAGGAGCCAGGAACTTCTTCTGGGTCTCCCACATGGGTGCAGGGGCCCAAGCACTTGGGCCATCTTCTGGTTTTCTAGGCCATAGCAGAGAGCTGGATTAGAAGTGGAACAGCTGGGACTCAAACCAGCGCCCATCTGGGATGCCGGCAGCACAGGAATCCTACGTCACAGGGCCAGCCCTGCTATAGTCCTTGCCATGGTTATTTGTAATTACTTCTTGTGCCCTTGTACAATGGATTCTTTAAGACAGAGTAGAAAATCTAGGCCCATGTCTGAGCAGGGACCCTGTGCCAGTGCTTGGAAGGGAATCCTTATCCTAAGCCCTCCCACAAGTTTCTAAAGAAGTTGGAAGAGTTTTTCCTATATAATTATTTTCAAGGATCTATTCAGTTATTCACTCATCCAAATAATACTTTATTAAACATGGCCACTGTTACGCGACACCGTGCTGAGTTCTGCAGCAGATGCATGAGTGGCAGTATCTGAGTGGTTGAATATTTTCCAAAATGCTAAGGCTCTATTTTGAAAGTTTCAGTGCCTGAATTGAGTCACACAATTCATGTCTGTTGAGGAAAATACTTTCATTGGCACCGCCTCCATTTTCCAGACATAGAAACCTTCATGGATATACTCACCACCTCGTTTAAACAGACTTCTCTTATATTTACTTGTTAGCTGCATTGAGGCTGGTTTTCTGCAGTGATCTTAGGAACATGAAGTACGGGTTCCTTTTGGATGACTTGAGGGCTTTGTTTCTGATCATTTGTCAGAGCAGGGTCGCAAGGTGTCCTTGTGCAGCCATGCCATTAAGATGAGGTTTGAACCCCCTCTCTTGCAGTCCCTCCAGTCATCAGCACGCACCCACTGCAGCACATCATCGCGGTGGATCAGCCCATCTCACTGCCCTGCGAGGCCGATGGCCTCCCTCCGCCTGACGTCACCTGGCACAGAGACGGCCGTGCGATTGCAGAGTCAGTGCGCCTGCACGTCCTCGCCTCGGGGGCTCTGCACATAGCCTTCGCTCAGCCGGGCGACGCTGGTCAGTACACGTGCGTGGCGGCCAATGTGGCCGGGTCGAGCAGCAGGAGCACCACGCTCACTGTCCACGGTAGGTCAGTTCCCGTGAGTTATTTCCGTCTTCCCCATGACCGTGGTGATGACAAGAGACCACCTAGAGCATATATAATGGCAACGAAACCTGGTGAAATCGGCAATCCAAAGATTGTGTACATACACCCGCTTTCAGATGTCTCTTCTGTGGGCCCGCACATGTATGTGAGAAGAGCTTTGCATTGCCGAGGTCACAGGCGTGTTACCAGTGATCCCCTGCCATGATCTGCGCTTGGGTTTTGTGTCTCTTCTGCCTTACTCCCCGAGCTGCCAGCTGTCTCTTCCACGGGACCTCTATTATAACAGAGCTGAGCCTAATGGAAATTGGAGATCCGTCTGACTCCATACAGCCATACCTTGCTGCGTGATGGAGGTCCGCTCTGAGAAATGAATAGTTCGGTGATTATGTTGTTATATGGGCACCACAGAGTGTGTACCGACTGGACAGCTCACAGAAGCTAAGACGTCACTGGGCCACAGAATCTGTGGGACCACTGTCATATGCACAGCCTATGCTTGACGGAAACATTGTGTGGTGCATGACTATTTCAATACAGCAAAATACTTACACGCACATTTTTATAAAAAAGATATTTATTTTTGTATTGACAATGAAAAAATCTAAAGTTCAGCATTGAAATATTTTAGTTTTATTGTGTATTTTAAGACTAAAGATAGAACTCCTATTAATCATAGTGGTAGGAAACAATACCAAATTAAACTATTCCCACTTAATTATCTTCAGAAATAATTCTTATTTTAATAGAGTTTCTGCTAATTTTTTCAAATGTCTTTGAAAGCTGTTCCTGTGTTTTAACTGTATTGACTATCTGACAGTTTCAGTTATTGAGACAATTTCAAGTGGAGGCATATTTAAAACAATTTTTTTTAGAGAGGCAAAGTGATAACTCCCACGTGCTGACTGATGATCCAGGTGCCTGTCGTGGCCTAAAACCAGAACAGGGGCTGAATCTGAGAGGCAGGAACTCAGTCCAGGTCTCCTGGGGATGGCAGTGGCCAGTCACTTGGGCCATCACCACTGCTTCCCAGGGTCTGCATTAGAAGGAAGCTGGGGTCAGGAAGAGAAGCCGAGTGTAGAATCCAGGCACTGTGATACAGTACACTGGCATGTTAATCACTAGGTCAAATGCCCACCCCATAAGTAGAAGCGTTTTTAATTAAAAAGATGGTAATTTAGCCAGTATTAAAAATCATCATTTATAGGTTGCCATTGTGTTACAAGTTAAGCTTTGCCTGCAGCACCAGCAACCCATGTCAAAGCTCCAGTTCAAATCCGGCTGCTCAGCTTCTGCTCCAGCTCCCTGCTAATGTGCCTGAGAACGCAGCCCGAGGTGGTCCAAATATCTGGGGAGACCCGGAATGGGGTTCCTGGCTTTGACCTAAGCCAGCCTGGACAGTCAAAACCATTTGGGGAGTGAAACAGCAGATGGTTCAAAACTGAGTGTCAGGCCGGCGCCGCGGCTCAATAGGCTAATCCTCCGCCTAGCGGCGCCAGCACACCAGGTTCTAGTCCCGGTCGGGGTGCCGGATTCTGTCCCGGTTGCCCCTCTTCCAGGCCAGCCCTCTGCTGTGGCCAGGGAGTGCAGTGGAGGATGGCCCAGGTGCTTGGGCCCTGCACCCCATGGGAGACCAGGAAAAGCACCTGGATCCTGGCTCCTGCCATCGGATCAGCGCGGTGCGCCGGCTGCAGCGCGCCGGCCGCGGCGGCCATTGGAGGGTGAACCAACGGCAAAGGAAGACCTTTCTCTCTGTCTCTCTCTCTCACTGTCCACTCTGCCTGTCAAAAAAAAAAAAAAACAAACAAAAAAAAACTGAGTGTCAGGGTGTTCAGTACATTCAAACATACTAGAATTCTTGCTGGCATCAGAAATACTGATTGCTTGCATAGTAGCAAACAAATGTCTTAATTTTTAAAAATAGGTCTTACAAAGTTGTCCTCAAAGAATCTTCTGTGTGTGAATTTCCAGTGTGTATGAGGTATTGTTGAACTCAACTTCCCAGATGACTACCACTTTAAACCCTCTGTAGTTCCTCCCAGGATCCGAAGTACTGAGGAACACTACACAGTCAGTGAGAACTCGCGAGCCATCCTTCCCTGTGAGGCTGATGGGATCCCCACGCCAGCAATCAGCTGGAAAAAAGACAGTGTTCCTTTGGCTAACTTGTTAGGAAAATACACGGCCGAACCATATGGAGAACTCATTTTAGAGAATGTTGCGGTAAGTTTAAGGACATAAATAGATAAAGCCAGACTACTAATTCACCTTCTTAAAAATTTCATAATGTAGCTTGGAAATGTATTCTTCAGTGATGAAAGAAAATATGCTTGTAAATTCAGGTCACAATATCAAATTAATGGACCAGGCATTTGGCGCAGTGATTAAAGTGCTTGAGTTCCAGTCTTGGCTGCCAGTCTTCTGATCCAGCTTCCTGCTCATGCACACTTGGGAGGTAGCAGGTTGTGGCTCAGGGCTGCGTCCTGGCTTTGACTTGGCCGGCCTTTAGGAAGTAAACTAGTAGATGGAAAATCAATCAATCTCTCTGTGTCTCTCCCTTTCAAATAAAATGAAAATAAGTAAGTTTTTGAAAAATTAACTTTACATCTGCAAGGGCACTATGACAAGTGTGAGGGGAACGAGTTTGGGCATGTAGACTTGTGATAAAGGTGACTGCCCCCACACCTATGGTTTTGACACTGGGAATACATCAGGGAACAAAAGAATCAAAAGTCTGCCCTCATGGAGCTTTTTTCTAGAGGAAGAAGATAGACAATAAAAACTAAACCTAATAAACAGTGTATGTAACAAGCCAGAATGGGTGTCAGGGGTTGGAACAATGCAGGCTACAGTTTGAAATAGAATGTTCAGAGTAAGTCTCTTTGTGAAGGGGACATTTGAGAAAGACCAGAAGAAGTGAGCTAGCCAAGCAGACACTTGGAGGAGGAGCCTATCAGGCAGAGAAACTTGAGGTGGAAATGTGCCTGATGAAGAAACAGGAGGCCAGCAAAAGCAAAGAAAGAGAACGAGTAGAGAAAGATGGCGGAGGAGTCCTGCGGGTCTTGTTGGAACAGTGGCACCACTTTTGCCCAAAAGTGAAAATCTAAGTCCATTTTTAAAATTGTTCACATTATTGGAGACACAGAGATGACAGAGAGAGAGGGAGCTTCCATCCACTGGTTCACTCCCTAGAATGCCCACAACAGCCAGGGCTGGGCCAGGCCAAAGCTAGAGCTTAGAACTCTATCCAGGTTCCCCACATGTGTGGCAGGAGCCCAGAGACTTCAGCCATTGCAGGTTTTCTCTGTCTTGTGTTTTTCAAAGATTGCGTTGGCCATGATGACGAGAATAGATGGTAGGAAGTAAGGACACAGGCAGAGAGGCCTGTTGGGAAGAGTCTAGGGGCAGAGGAGACGTGGTAGAACTCAAAGTGGAATGTATGTGGGCAGAGAAGGAAGAAGTGGTAGGATTCTGCATGTTACTGAAGCTAGAATTACCTAATGGTTGCAAGCAAGTGGTGAGAAAAATAAAGAATAACTAATGTCTGATATGTTGCACGAACAGCTGGTAGAACGCAATACTTGTCAGCTGAGGTGGTGACATCTACAGGGACACAGCAAGGGGCAGATCGGGGGGCTCCGTCTGGGGCATGAGTTTGAAATGTGTCTCAGGCGTCCGAGCAGAGTTGGAAGAAGTTCGCTGACGATCACCAGCCTCTCTAGAGCGAACTTGGAGCCAGAGCACAGGATGAGAGTCACCCCGGATGGCGTTCAGAGGCCATGCGCCCGTGACAACGTGGTTGTTGAGGGGAGGGTGGAGAGGAAGCAGCGGGGTGGGGGAGGCGGGGTATGTGTCCTGGAAGCCAGGGGAGACACCACACGAGGGAGAGGGGAGAGCTGCTGCCAGTGCGGCAGGTGAGCTGAGCGAGGAGCGCTGGCCGTGGGATCCAGCAGGTGGGCCAGAACTGCGGGTAAAATCTCCTCACTGCTGTTGCCATTCCTCTGTGCTGTCAGCTTTGGAAATCTGTGCAGTGCTCTTAGGTTTAGTCAACTCTAGCGTATTCTGATGTTTCTGAAATCTCACGGTAATGAAGTGATCCCTTTAGTTCTGTACGATTTGGGCTAATGTTTAAACCCTTATGCATTTTAAAGTATATTATGTAACAGGAAACCTGATGATTTAGATGAAACGGTGAGAATTTGAATAGTCTGTAAGTTTGTTCTTTGGGGACCAAGCTGTGCAACTCTGTGTAGAATGTCATGTAAGGTTGGGTAATTTGAGTCACTGTGATTTCTCTTACTTTAGTTGGAGGATTCAGGCGTCTACACCTGTGTCGCCAGCAATGCTGCAGGTGAAGATACGCACACTGTCAGCCTGGCTGTGCATGTTCTCCCCACATTTACAGAACTCCCTGGAGATGTGTCACTGAATAAAGGAGAACAGCTCCGATTAAGCTGTAAAGCAACCGGCGTTCCATTGCCCAAGCTGACGTGGACCTTCAATAACAATGTCATCCCAGGTTGGTGACTTTAATTCTTTTTTTAAGATTTATCTTTTTATTTTCAAAATGAGAGTTACGAAGGGAGAGGGAGGAAGACCGAGAGAGAGAGAGAATGAATCGATCTTCCATCTGCTGGTTCATTCCCCACAGGGCTGTTAACAACCAGCACTGGGCCAGGCTGAAGCCAGGAGCTTCATCCAGATCTCTGATGTGGGTTTTAGGGGCCCAAACACTCAGGCCATCTTCCACTGTTTTTCCCAGGCCATTAGCAGAGAGCTGGATCGGAAGTGGAACAGCTGGGACTCAAACTGGTGCCCATATGGGATGCCAGCATTGCAGGTGGTGGCTTTACTCGCTATGCCATGGGACTGGCCCCAGTGACTTAATTCTTAACACATGAATAAATGTACCCATATGGAACATTAGACTTGTCTATTTCCGCAGCTGTGGGAATTGATCGAAAGGTTGTAAAAGAAGAATTTATTGTTGTATGTTCTATGATCTGTGTGCATCTGCTTGGCTTTTCCCCTCTACCCAGTATATGAGGGTATTTCAGAAAGTTCAGGGAAAAATGAAATAGAAAGATAAGTTTATTTTTGTGAAAAAAAAATTTTGAAATCCACGTATAATTTTTTCATGATACCTATTTTCCATGACCTTTTTGAATACCCTTCATATATGTTCTGGTATATGATTCTTCATATATGTTCTTCGTATATGTTCTCATATATGATGCTTTGGAAAGGATCAATTGATAGCAGGGCCATACACATTACAAGTTGTAGGTGAATTTTTTAACCTAAAAATAATCTATCTCCCCCATGAGAAGACAGTATTGTATGAGAGGATTTCAAAAAGTTAGTAGAAAAATTTAATTGGAAGATAATTTTATTTTGGTGCAAAAATTTTTTGAAGTCCATGCATATTTTTTCCATAATCACATTGTCTGGATTTTCTAAGGATTCCTCATTTGTAAAGGTATAAACCTATCCCACCTGACATCCCTCCTCAGGGCTCAACAGACAGAGGTAGCCTGAAGACAAACTCAGGTTTACAGACGAGAACGCTGCTCCTCACTGTGCGAATCAGGCCATGCCACCGTGCAGGGCAGTGTATGTAGGAAACACCCACTCACAATGGGTGCCTGAGGGTAGGGGAGCGACTGGAAGCCAAACACCCGCATCCCTGGGGAGACAGATATGTACTCACCAGTAGCTTTTGTCACATTAGCATAAGGACATTGTTAGCACTAAGACGTTATCTGTCTCAAAACTGAGTTCTGGAGCATTGGACAGGACGATGGTGTGACTAAATTTCATGCTAGAAAGGTAGTAATCCACAACGAGTTTTTTCCCTATAATACAGACTTTTGTTATCTGTAACTCATCAATGATCTGTTACCTGAATAATCACAATGAGACACCTCACTAAGGAAAAACACTCTAAAACTCAGCACTACTATCTGAAAGTATAGTACTCATTTAGCTATGTAAAACTGAAGACTTAATTTCCACTTAATATTTAGCAGCATGAAAGTTTCCATAAAGAAAAGCAGGCACAGTAAACCTGCGTCACATAATTAGATACTGCCTGGTGCAGTCAGAATCTTATTAGTGTTAGTTGTTTTAGGACTAGCATGTTTACCCGATGTTCTATTCCAAATAGCATAACTGCCTTTGTAAATATTTATATCTTCTCCATTTATGATTTGTGGAGAAGTTTAAATTACTACAGATTTGATCTTGTTGTCATTATTACTAACTAGCGTGTGTTTTTCATGATTTCCCTTCTGACTGCCAAGTCAGCTGGATTATAGCTGCAAAGGTTTTCTTGTTTTTGATGTAAATTGTTGCGGAGGAAAAGTGGTGGTGATATAAAAGAAATGGAAAATGTCACATTTCTGAATCAAAGATCTTTGAAACCCAGAAAGTCTGCGAGCCAGCTTTGAGCAACACATTTAGATGAAAGGTGTGCTTTAAATCTAAAGTAATTTTTTAAAGATGTTTATTTTCCTTCCCTTTTTCTGTTCCCTCTGGTGTTTTTCATTCTTCAGAAAACTGTCTATAGACATAGCAAATAGCTCGAGGGCAGGAGCCGTGGAAAAGGCTCTCTGCCAGTGTCATGATGCGATCACGTTGGTTCAGTGGCTGAACAACTCATAAATCCAACCTGCGAAATCCTGAGCTGACGTGACACTCGCTGGGTTACTGAGAGGTGATTGTGTTGACGCTGACTTGTTTCCCTCAGCCCGCCTTGGCAGTGTCCACGGACACAGCGAACTTGTTGTTGAAAGAGTGTCCAAGGAGGACTCGGGTACTTACGTGTGCACCGCAGAGAACAGCGTTGGCTTTGTGAAGGCAATTGGGTTTGTTTACGTGAAGGGTAAGTAAAAGCGCTCTGTTTCTCATTTCTAATCCATGTACGGTGAATGCTTTGTGTTTGACTCCTTGCTATGTAGTAGGACAATACAACTTCGGTTTATTAATCCAGTTAGTCTTATTTCTCACATGCAATTCATATGGGAGAAAATAGGAATTTTCAACTCAAAAGTAGGTGAGAAATAAGTCAAGAGGTCATTTCACACAAAATGGAAGCATCCTCCGAGAGCTGAAATTGACGAACTTCTCTGATGATTTAGCAGGAGCAGCTGGTTCTGGAAAACTCATGAGTTTTTTTTAATATAATTTTTATTTATATAAGCTGAAGAAATTTCAAATATTTCATATATACAGACTTAGGAACATAGTGATGCCCCCGCCCTGTTCTCCCTCCCACACTCCCACCCTCACATTTCTAAATTACCCTTCTAACTGGGCTAAAAATACAAAGACATTGTTGGCTCTTACGTGTGCTTTGTCCCTGTCTTGTGTTGTCTCTAGAACCTCCGGTCTTCAAAGGTGATTACCCTTCAAACTGGATTGAGCCACTCGGAGGTAACGCAGTCCTGGACTGTGAGGTGAGAGGAGACCCTGTCCCGACCATCCAGTGGAGCAGAAAGGGTGTGGACATTGAAAGTAGCCACAGAATCCGGCAGCTGGGCAACGGCTCCCTGGCCATCTACGGCACTGTGGTAAGTCACACTGGAGTCAGTGCACACTGGGACTGCCTCCGCTCGAATGCCCTCCATGAGAAGAGATTCTCGGGTTTACAGATCTGAAAATCTGAGTTACTGAGTTCTGAAAGACTGAAGCAGTGGTTGAAGTTGGCGTAATTAGCCCTGGATGTGTGGGCAGTCATAAGATAATTCTGTTGCTGCATTTCTGATCCTTGATCTGTTATTTTAACTTTAGGAAATGACCTCCTTCAATCCGTTTTAGAACAAGGAAATTGAAGAATTAAAAGCACACAAATAAATTATGGGGTAAATTTCATCAGTAAGCAGATAACTACTAGACTTTCCCAAGGCTTCAGGAATCTAGAATGAGTGGTGCTTTGGGTTATTGTTCAAACTGTGGGACGGGGTGTCTCGTGACCCCAAAGTGAGGTGTTCTATCCAAAAAAATTTTAAAATAGAATACCTATCATTAAACTCAACATTTGGCAGTCCTCTTAGGTGTTTCATTGTTTAATTAATTGAAATAATAATTAAAATATATTATGGGGCCACCCAATCCAGGGGACCTCTCATTTTGTTCTCCTTGATTTGCCTCCAGTGTTAGCTGTTGTAATTGGTCCTTTACTTCTGAGGCTACTTCCCCCTACAGTTGCTGTGACATTTGTAAGACTCAACATTTCTTCAGTGTCACATTTCCTCTACACGGATATGACTGTTACTGAGGTCCTTGGTACTTACTTGAATACCAGTATTAATTTTCATCTCATGACTTCAGATTCCTAGCTCTGCAGCTATAGTCCTGGAACCCTTCCAAGCTGCATTCCCCACTGCCTGCTAGAAACTTCTATGTGATGCATTGAACCCTCGTCTAAGCCAAAATCTGTCTTCCCCTCCCCAGCGTTCTCTACCTCCTGCACATCAGTTCCCCTTTACTGATTGAACTGTTTCTATGACGGAAGCTTGAATTCTGCTATTCACAAGTCCTTTAGAGAAACTATGAGTCTAGTCAACAAATCTGAATTCGTGTTACACCTGTTTTTCTATGCTTCATACAAGGTTACTTCAGAAGTTCATGGAAAATGGAATTAAAAGATAACTGTATTTTGGTACATAACATTTTGAAATCCACGCATAATTCTTTCATGATATTCATTTCCCATGAACTTTTGTAGACACCTTCATCTGGATTACTTTATGATTTGCATTCTGTGATTCATTATGATGAGTAAATTTGTTTTTCACTTTTTCTTCTACATTTGAAATTCTGTTGACAGGCCCAGTTTAAAGTATTTTTAATAATCTCCCTTTAGGACTCAGTATTTATCCATTTATACTGATTATTTTAATGCTTCTTAGATATCTGTAAGAATGGTATTGCTATTTTTCCTTCGTAAGGTGATTTTAGATAGAAGGTCATAACATGTTATGTTTACTTTGGTTCTTTTATTCCTAGAGATCAATGATAGGCTGTTTTGGAAAATTTTAGACTTGGAAGTTATGTTTCTCTTCCATTCTCCCTCCCCCTTCTCGTTCCCCTCCTCTTTAAACCTAGATATGATGATTTTATATATTTATATATTATATATATATAATGTATATATGTAGGTGGTTCTATTTTTGTTCAAAAATGTCTCCTCAAAAATTAAATTTCAAATAGGCTAGCATCGTGGTGAAAAACACATTGTTTGACTCTGTGGGATCGTCCTTTGGTAAAACGTAGTCTGTTTCTGTAGAATGAAGACGCCGGGGACTACACGTGTGTGGCCACCAACGCTGCCGGGGTGGTGGAGCGCAGCGTGAGCCTGACTCTGCAGAGTAAGCCGCTTCGTCCGACACTGTTTAAAGAGTGTCACCCACAGGGTGGCCAAGGAGTGTCACCCACAGGGTGGCCGTTTGCTTCCGCTTCAGAGCACGCATGCAAGTGGTAGCTTTCAGAAAGTCTTACTTAGTGTTTGACTTAGGATGCAGCAGATGTCATGGAGCATAAAAGTGATCATCTTTTGCACAGATATTCTCTGTGGTATCTAACATAAGCAATGTACAGTTGTAGTTGGAGGTAGAGCTTTTTTGAACGACATATTCAGTGGAGTCCTGTTCTTATAGTTTGCCATGGTTCTTACAGTATGCTTACAAAGATGCCATTTTATGGCACCATAAATATCTACTGAAAAATAAGACTAATGTGTGGGGTGGTGTTTGATACAGCAGCTAAGCTGCTCTTTGGGCTGCCCAGAGCCCGTGGTTGAGTGCTTGGGTTTGAGTCCTGTCTCTGCTCTCAACTCTAACTTCCAGCAGTGCACTTCCTGGAAGGCTGCAGGTGATGGCTCGAGTACTCGGGTCCCTGCCTTCCAGGATCTGGTTGAGATCTGAGTTGAGTTCCGGGGTCCTGGCTTCGGCCTGCCCCAGCCCTGAGTGTTGCAAGCATCTGGGGAGGGAACCAGCAAATAGGAGATCTCTTCTCTTCCCCCTCTTCCTCTCCCTCTCCCTCTTCCCTGTTGCTCCATCTTTCAAATAAATAAAATAATTTTTACTTTATGTTAATGTGGTGCTAATACAAAGAAAGCAGACTCAGTGTAGTTCACAATTCTAAGATTAAAACTTAAAAAAAGAAATAGAAGTCGTGACTATAAAAAATAAATAAAAGCTAAATGAGTTCAAAAATAAATGTTCCAGGTTCATTGCAGTCAGCCTTCCAGGAATTAACTGTGTGTTCTGAGTGGGATGCTTGTCATGATGACCCTCAGAAAAAGATGCTGAAAAACCAAGGTGTCCTAATTAGGAAAGCGTGAGCAACGCCAGAGGCCACAGGGGGTCCACAGCGCTGCTACACAGGCTGCCCAAGACAGCATCGTTGGGTTCACATTGAAGCCAGCGTGGTGAATCGGCTCAGTATTTAGCAGGACAGACTTGGGTTTTCTTCATTCGCTATTGAGAGAAGCCTGAGACTGGTATTTCCTAACACCTGGACCCCAAACCACGATTATGTAAGGTTTGGAGAGATGATAGACTTTAATGAAGATCTAAGGCAGTGTTTCATTAGAGAATTCCCTGGGTGAACAGAAGACGGCACACGATCAGTCTCTCCTAGAAGACGGCTCCACTGGCCCGTGTAAGAACGAATGTGTTAGATCAGCCCAGCTACATGTACTGACAGGAAATTCATTTTACCAAATAAGGTATATAAAAAGCCAAAAATGTAGTTTTTCCCAAATTAAGAGTAAAGCACCAGAAACTGTGTTTTCATTTAGATAAAATACTCATTTTTTTAAAGATTTATATTTTTTTACTTGAATGTTAGAGATAGAGAGAGGGAGAAGCAGAGGCAGAGAGAGAGCTCTTTCATCCCCTGGCTCACTCCCCAAATGACTGACAGCTGGAGCCGGACTAGTCGGAGGCCACGCACCAAGAACTTTTCCAGGTCTCCCACATGGTGCAGGGGCCCCAAGCACTTGGGCCATCCTCTACTGCTTTCTCAAGCCATGAGCAGGGACCTGGATCAGAAGTGGAGCAGCCAGGACTCAAACCGGCGCCCCTATGGTACTGCACCCCTATGTGCTACACCACAGCACCAGCCCCCAAAATACTCAGTTTTGATTGATAACTGTGTGAATGGCAGAATTAATTCTACCTTAGAAGATGTAAATGTGGAATTTTATTATTGTTATACTTTTCAACCTTGTGTTCATTTGGAAATGTTCAGTGGTATCTAAATTGAGGGCTGAGTTTTATTTGACACTTTCTCTGGCCGTAATAATATGAGCAGACATTAGTCATGTTGTTGTTGTGTGGTGTTGAGGGTAAATCTGAGGTATTTACTTTATTCTATGGCCTATTGAATACGTAATACTAGGAGAGAGGTGAAAACGCTGGCGCTGAAAGTTTCTTGAACAGGGTGATATGAACATGAGAAGAAAGCAGGTGTGTAGGACGATGCTGGGAATTATAATGCGGCCTTGGATTTCACCTCCGAGAGTCAGACCTCCCGCGAGAGACTGATCTTGCAAAAGACAGCATCACTTAGACCTTTACGGAGGCAGCAGCACTTTAACGGCACACTGAACAGACATTTCAGTCCTGGTTTTTGATTTATGTTCTGCTGATTCCAGATACGGTTTTCCACCCAAAATCTGCAGCACCACCCTGAATTCTGACAGTTGTCACGTTTCCCTGTGCAAACCACAGCAGTTTCAGGTCACCGAAGCACCACGCAGCCCACGGCGCTGCTTCTCCGGAATGGGCCCCCTGCCCCGTGCTTGCCTCTTACATACATGTGAACCTTCTGACTCTTGCGAGTGTAGCCCATGCTTGAGGCCACGTGTGCCGCCACTCACTGTCCGTGGTTACTCATGCTTTCTCGTGTCTTCACTGTCTAAAAAAGAGAAAACCAGATCTGTTTCCAAGTGATCTTGCCTCTCCTCCCCGCCTGTAAATCTCTCTGATTTTTTGAAAATCCAATCCACGTCTGTTCTCCCCGTGGTCTATTGTGTGTCGTCTTCTTGGCACTGTAGACCAACGTGAAGGCCAGCGTCCAGCAGCAGCCGCACTTGGCTCCTCTAACCTTTGTTCGGGCCTGACTTTGCACAGCTGCCATCTGCAGGAATCACTTAGCCTCTCCCTCCCCCTGAACGCCTTCCTTTGGTTGTCGGGATACCATTTCCTCCTGAGTTTCTTTCCACCTCAGTAATCAGTTCTCAGTCTCATTTACAGGCCTGCTTTCTGTCCAATAGTGCTATTGCGGGGTGGGTGTCCACAGCGGTCAGGGTGCCACTTGGCCACATCTTGTATCAGGAGCCCTGCTCCCAAGTCCAGCTTCCTACCAGTATATACTCTGGGAGGCAGCAGGTGGTGGCCCGAGTACTTGGGTTCCTACCCATGTGATAGGCCTAGGTTGAGTTCCCAGTTCCTACTTTCAGCCTTGCCCATTCCTGGATGTTGAGGGTATTTGGGGAGTAAACCACGAATAGATCTTTGTCTGCTCCCACCCCCAGTCTGTCTTTCTGCCTTTCATTGAAATAATGAATTTAAAAAATAATGCCATTGAAATTGTTTGTGTCTTTGTCCATCTTCCTGTCCTTTAAGACTTTCTTCTGAGGCAGTCTTAGCCACTCATGAAAGATACACAAATCTATGTTTTGTGCCCATATTTCTACTCTGGGCTGCTGACAGGAATATTCACTTGCCAGTTGTCATCTCTATGAATGACCCACAGATAACTGAAGCCCAACAGACAGTCCCCAGTGTCTGCACATCATCACTCCTTACTCCCACAAACCTGTTCTTCCTGTGTTCTAGTGAACTGCCCAGACATAAACCACATTGTCCAAACCAAAACCCTGTGGTCATCAGTTCTTGCCCTTGATCCCTGCCACTCAATGGCAAATCCCTGTCATTCCTGCTTGCATAATAATTCTGGAATAAGGCTGGCGCCGCGGCTCAATAGGCTAATCCTCCGCCTAGCGGCGCCGGCACACCGGGTTCTAGTCCCGGTCGGGGCGCCGGATTCTGTCCCGGTTGCCCCTCTTCCAGGCCAGCCCTCTGCTGTGGCCAGGGAGTGCAGTGGAGGATGGCCTAAGTGCTTGGGCCCTGCACCCCATGGGAGACCAGGAGAAGCACCTGGCTCCTGGCTCCTGCCATCGGATCAGCGCGGTGCACCGGCCGCAGCGCGCCGGCCACGGCGGCCATTGGAGGGTGAACCAACGGCAAAGGAAGACCTTTCTCTCTGTCTCTCTCTCACTGTCCACTCTGCCTGTCAAAAAAAAATAAATAAATAAATAATTCTGGAATATGTCTTGCTTTTTCCCTCCACTTCCAGGGACACGTTTTTGTTAGATCTCTTCTGATACTGCTGTTTATGCCCCCATATTAGCCTGCATTTACCTATTCCGTAGATATCTGCAGCACAGGTAACTAATTAGTGTCCATCTTGTTAGTGGACTTTGAGTTCCTTGAGAGTAGAAGTGTCTGCTTTCTCTGTACCCTCAGCACCTCGCACAGTGCCTGGCGATTCTAAAGGAATCTTCATTGGGGTGAGAGAAGGAGTTAACGATCACTCTTTAGCTTCAAAATGACTAAAGGCAAGAGGTGAATGCCTGCCCTGTAAAGCACAGCCAAAAGCAACAGTAGAAGCCAGTAATGTGTGCTTAGAAGCTGTGCTGCAGGCCAGTGCTATGGCACAGCAGGTTAAAGCCACAGCCTGCAGCACCAGCATCCCATAGAGCACTGGTTTGAGTTCCAGATGCTCCACTTTCAATCCAGCATCTCTGCTGATGTGCCTGGGAAAGTGGTGGAGGATGGTCCAAGTCCTTGGGCCCCTGCACCCACATGGGAGACCCAGAGGAACCTCCTGTCTCCTGGCTTTGGTCTGGCCTAGCTCCAGTCATTGTGGTCAGCAGCTGGAAGACCTTTCTCTGTCTCTTCTCCTCCCCATCCTCCTCCACCTCCCTCTCCTCCTCCTTCCCTTCCACCTCCTCCTCCTCCTCCCCCCCATCTCCTCCTCCTCCTTCTCCCTCTGTTACTCTGCCTTTCAAATAAATAAGTAAATCTTTTAAAAAGGAAAGGAGTGTGCTCTCATCCTCAGAGTTGAGTCTAACAGAGACTGAGGGAGGCACCGCGTTGCAGCACAGAGGCTCGGGGAGGTGGTAAGCAATGGAAGTAGAACACGCGTCCCGAAGGTGTGACTGGCAAAGCCCACGCTCCGGGCTGATCTGCTTGGGGATTTTAATTTTTGATAAAACAGAGCTAGGAAAACTTTATCAATGGCTATTACAGCTGTTTTGCTTCTACTAAGGCTGTAAGTTATGTTTTATAAACAAATCAAAAAAAGTTGTCATATGGTGTCTGACCAACAGTTACTGTAGCTCCACAAAAGCTTGGGAACTGTGCGCGTTTCTCTAGGTGCTCCTGTTATCACCCTCGAGCCGGTGGAAACTGTCGTCAACGCCGGTGGCAAAGTCATACTGAACTGTCTGGCAGCTGGAGAGCCGCCTCCAACCATCCTGTGGTCCCGGCAGGGGCAGTCCATCCCCTGGGACGACCGGGTTCGGGTGTTGTCCAACGGCTCCTTGTATATCGCCGCCGCTAAGAAGGAAGACAGCTCTGAGTATGAGTGTGTGGCTCGAAACCTCATGGGCTCTGTCCTTGTCAGGGTGCCGGTCGTCGTTCAGGGTGAGTGTGATCAGAAGGAGGTCTGAGTTAAACAGTGCCCGGGGCAGCTTTTGATCCGAGTCTCCTTTAGCCTTATCCTTTCGCATGGTGAGCGTAGAGCAAGACACATCACAGTTTTCAGACCAAAGGACTAAAACAACACAGATGAGAGCTTTAAAGCGCCAAGTTGATAATTCCAGATCCCAAACGAGATTTTTTTCCATCAAAACTGAGTGAAGTTTATTTTCAGAAATCAGTGCGTATGTTTTCCTTTAAAGAATGACTTACATCCTTGGCCGGCGCCGCGGCTCACTAGGCTAATCCTCTGCCTGCGGCGCCGGCACCCTGGGTTCCAGTCCTGGTTGGGGCGCTGGATTCTGTCCCGGTTGCCCCTCTTCCAGGCCAGCTCTCTGCTGTGGCCCGGGAGTGCAGTGGAGGATGGCCCAAGTGCTTGGGCCCTGCACCCCATGGGAGACCAGGATAAGCACCTGGCTCCTGGCTTCAGATCAGTGCAGTGCGCTGGCCATAGTGGCCATTTGGGGCGTGAACCAACAGAAGGAAGATCTGTCTCTCTCTCTCACTGTTTAACTCTGCCTGTCAAAAAATAAAAATAAAAAAAAAAAAGAATGACTTACATCCAAAAAGTAATGAGTGCATTAACTCCATGGCCTCTAACTCTTCCTTCAGCCTCCACGTGAGGCAAGAGGGGATCTGCTAAGAACTCAGTTACCTGCAGTCCTTCTCCCACTGTGAGAGTTAGATCTGACATTGAAGGAGAGCTCCCATAAGCTGTTCTCAGCAGTTACCCCGTGCAGATCTGTAACGGAGTCTGTTTAACAAAGACTGACGCAAGCGCAATGCTTTCTTGGCAGTTCACGGTGGATTTTCCCAGTGGTCTGTGTGGAGGTCCTGTAGTGCCACGTGCGGAAGAGGCATCCAAAAGAGGAGTCGTCTGTGCAACAACCCCCTTCCAGCCAACGGGGGGAAGCCGTGCCAGGGTTCGGATTCGGAAACACGGAACTGTCAAAACAAGCAGTGTCCGGGTACGTCTGCCCATCCCACTGATAGACAGGCGCTCCAAGCTAGGCTCTCCCGCTCACTGCATCTGCGTTGCCTCCGTGTTAGTGCTCTGAGTTGAGCTCTAGCTGATGGCTCCTGGTTCACCTTTGTGTAGTGGATGGCCACTGGTCAGCGTGGAGTCTGTGGGGAGAATGCACAAGGAGCTGTGCACGCGGCAACCGAACCAGGACCAGGACTTGCAGCAACCCGCCAGCTCAGCACGGCGGGCGGCCCTGTGAGGGGGCTGCCGTGGAAGTGGTCGTGTGCAACATGCACCCTTGCCCGGGTGAGAATTTTCCGTTTCTAACTCCTCTGAAGGGTGTTTGGGGGAAGAGTGTGGGAATGTTCATAGCAGCTTTAACAGTGGCCAGAAATAAGGGGGGGAAACCATCCGTGTCCATTGATAGTGAATGAACACACTGTAGTATGTTTGTTGTACAGTGGGATACATTTAGATGTTCAAAGGAAAGAGCCATGTGGTAACGGGTGAACTGCAGAAATACCGTCCTCAGGGAAGCCTAGTCGGGCTTCGTGTACGTGACAGTCTCGGATGGGCAGCAGTACAGGTCCCTTTAAAGGCTTAGGACTGCTTTTTCTTCTTCGTGGTGAAAACATTTACGGTCTCTGACCTTGTTAATATGTTCCTGCTCTATGTCCTTAGTTCTATTTCGTGGATAGACTAGCGAGAGTTATGACATTAGTCACTGTTAGGTAAAATATCTGGTTTAATTGCACATGAGAAAATTTGCAACCGTGGTGTTTTACAAAGTCACAGAGTTTTAGAGGGGATCGGGGCCTCGGGTGACACTGGGTCTAGCTGTCCATTTTCCAGAGCAGTTTAAGATTTGCCGAGGCACACACAGCTGGTAACGGTAAAATGCTAACGGCTTCCGTTCTCCTAGTCTTGTCGCTTGACGGGACCAGGTGAGTGCTTTACATACATGCTGACATTGACTGTGTTTTAGGGCTCTCTGAGATTAAAGTAACAGAAATCAGGCTTTGACAAGCCTAAGTAGAAAATTCCTCTTTCAGGTATGATGGAGTCCAGAAATTTGGCGTGATTTGACTCGCACGTTTTCCCTCTCCCATCTCCACATTCCTCCTTGGCTTCATTCTCTGTTGACCTCGTTCCGTCTGGTAGGGGAGGAAACAAACAGAAGACTTCTGGCAGCTACTGGATGACAGGGGCCTTGTAATCTAAGGGAGGCCCCAGAGGAAAAGGCCTGAGCTCTCTCTCTCATAATTCCTACTGACCTCTGAAAAAGAAGCCTACTTGGTTTGGGTTTGGGTCACTCACTCACCCCTCAACTTATGTGAGTCCAGGACAAGGGTACTCTGACGGCCCTGGCTGCTTTCTGCATGGCGTCCAGGGGACTGAGCTCCTTGTTGGCAGCCCAAAAGGAGTCCTGTGGAATAGAGGATTTGTTCACTAGCTACTGACTGAGCACCCAGGCTGCGCTCAGGCATTGTCCCGGTGCCAGAGCTAGAATGATAACATCTTCCAAATACTGGCTGCACAAACTCAGAGGGTCAGCGTTATGGAGCGCAGCTGGGAGAGATCCCTTAGCTGGACAACCAAGAAGAGTAAGCGCCAGCAGCAACACGTGTTGCATCCTGTTGTGTGCATGCGGGGAGATTCAGAAAACAGCGTTAGGTTAGCCACAAGGTTACCCAGCTCGTGAAACATGGGGCACGGATGTGCGCCCTGTGATCTGATTCCCAAGCCTGTTCGTTTAGTGCTGACCATCTCGATTTGCAGTCAGAACTTCCATGATGTGGCAAAACCAACATGGTCCTGAAAGCTTAAAGGAGAGAAACCAAGAGCTGGAAATGCCCTTTTAATTTTCGTGCACATTATCAGCTGTGACAACCGCACAATTGAAAACTAAATGATACTTGCAAATGTCTTAAAGTGAAAGCCAGTTTTTCCCTCCATGCTGGGTAACTATCTGTAGGATGTAGTTTTGCTCACTGTCCTCTTGACTTACTGTTTTTGAGGCTTTGGCTGTTCCCCAAGCTCCTAAACCAGTTGCATTTAGTTATTATTATTTTGTAATAGTGGAGCTGGACAATGAGAGCACATATTTATTGCCAGCTGAGAGTTCACTGATGCCACGTGGGTAGGCAGACATGAGCCACAAGTGGGAATATTTGTACCACAGAAGTCAGAAGACGCCAAAACACCTGGTTTCCTCCCTGACCCCAAGAGGGCTTTTTTTTTTTTTTTTTTTTTTTTGACAGAGTGGACAGTGAGAGAGAATAACAGAGAGAAAGGTCCTCCTTTGCCGTTGGTTCACCCTCCAATGGCCACTGCAGCTGGCGCACCACGCTGATCCAAAGCCAGGAGCCAGGTGCTTCTCCTGGTCTCCCACGGGGTGCAGGGACCAAGGACTTGGGTCATACTCCACTGCACTCCCTGGCCATGGCAGAGAACTGGCCTGGAAAAGGGGCAACCGGGATAGAATCTGGTGCCCCAACCGGGACTAGAACCTGGGGTGCCAGCACCACAGGCGGAGGATTAGCCTATTGAGCCACAGCGCCGGCCTCAAGAGGGCTTCTTAAGCCTTTGTCAGCTTATTCCTGCAATGTAGGCAGATACACCAAGGCAGACTTCATCACCTTGCGGGTATGTAAGCATCTTAGGGGGCAGGGAAACGGTCCTTTTTTATTTTTATTTTTTAAATATTTATTTATTTGAAAGAGTTATAGAGAGAGGTAGAGACAGAGAGGTCTTCCATCCACTGGGTTACTCCCCACATGGCCACAACGGCCGGAGCTGTGCCGATCTGAAGCCAGGAGCCAAGAGCTTCCTCCGGGTCTCCCATGTGTGTCAGGGGCCCAAGGACTTGGGCCATCTTCTACTGCTATCCTAAGCCATAGCAGAGAGCGGGATCAGAAGAGAAGCAGCCGGGACTAGAACTGGTGCCCATAACAGATGCCGGCGCTTCAGGCCAGAGCTTTAACCCACTGCACCACAACGCCGGCCCCCGAAACTCCTTTTAGTACAAACTTACTTTTAGTAATGTTGAACTTGAAGAAAAACTACAAGAACAGTACAAAGGACTTACCTTTACCTAGATTCACCAGTTGTGTGTATTTCCTTAAAAAAGCACATTCTGTGTCATAAGCACAGTATAATTATCAAAATGTGGAAATTTGCATTGATACAATACTGTTGTCTAACCTCGTTATCCAATCCACAGTCCATATTCCAGTTTTGCCCATTGTTCCAGTAATATCCTTTATTGCTTGATTTCTCATCCCAGCATCCAATCCAGGGTCACGTGTGAGGTAGCCATTCTACCTTTCAGAATCATTGTCATTAAAAACACACGTGTTGTTACAGATCACTTAAAAATAGGCATTTGTCATGCATCGTTCTGAAAACGGTTGAGAACTTTGACGCTCATTAAAGCTCTTAGCTGACACACAGGATTTACTGTGTTCTGTGCTATTGTAAGCACTTCCATCCATAAACTCATTATTCCTCTCCCCACCCCTAGTAACGGATAAGTTCTTTTATTATCCACAGCATGGCAGATGATGGAACTGCACACAGAAGCCAAGTCACATGTCCACAGTCGCACAGCCAGGAGGAGCAGAGCAGGCCTTCAGACCTGGGGTGCCTGTTCCTAGCCCCAGACTCTCCTGCTCTTACAAAGTCACAACTGCACCCTGGAGTAGCAGCAAATTCACCTTTTCCCATACTCTTTATTTTTCTTGTATATTAATACCTCCATGGTTGTGTTTTGATGGTGGAGGTGGTGGTGGTATTTGGTTAGTTTGGGTTTGACTTTGAATCATCTCGATACTGTGATTTTTTTAATGCCTTCTCTGGTTTATATTGTCATTCTTCCTTTTTTCTTCTTATCCAGTTCATATAAAAGAAACATTTTAACTATATTTTATGTCATAAAGTTCAGTTCTGGTTAAGTTTTTTTTGCATTGATTAACAATAAAAAGCAAAGAGATCTTCAAATGGAAACCCCTACTTATATAAAGTAGAAACTAATCAGATCTTGAGTGCATAAATGTTGCCCAGTTGTAGTTGTCCAAAAAAAATTGCATTTTTCATAGAACTTTGTGTTGTCAGAGGTTTGGGCTTTTGTCAAACAGTACCCCTGCAAGTAGGATGTGTTAACATAATGGGAACTGCAGACATTTTGAAACCACATAGTGATAAATGAGAACTATTCCCACTCATAATCTGAATTAATATAGAAGTCATTTTTAGTGATAGCTGCTATATTCCTCTCAGGTTTAGTCAAGTATGCTTTCCTAGCAAGTTCTCATTGGCTACAGTAGATTTGTGCAACTGTGTTCCTTGTGTCTACAGAGTGCATGGACTGATTTTTGATAAGAAAATAGAAGATCTGTTCTAAATAAGAAAATGCAAAGTTTGTTTCTGTAAAGAAAAATGCAAGATACGTTTCAAGTAACGTAGTCTAAACAAAACAGAAAGTGTGTAGGTTCATGACTTGGTTTCCAGGTTGACGCTTTGGTGTCCTGTAGGTTAAGCTGAGAGTATTTAGACCCAGACCTACTGCCTCTACTTTAATTCCCGTCATGGTTAAATGAGGAGGCCAAACAGATACACTTGATGAGCCTCATATCTCAAGGGTTTATTGTAAAACAAAAATTGACCTGAAACTGACCTTTGCGTAGGAAAAGCATAATGTTGATTCTCAGCCCAGGCACCTGGTAGGAAACTGAGGTTGTTCCAGCCTTGTGGTAAGTGGCGTAATGTGTTCCTAACCAGAGGAAAGCCTTAATATCACTCCTTGGAAACCGCTGGTCGTTTTTTTCTGTTGTTTAGGAAGCAGGTGAAGTATGTTATTCAGAACATTATGTAATGGAGAAGTTTTTCAAAGTTTCAACTCTGCAAATTATCATGTTGTTGAAAGAACCGAGTACATGTGTAGTATGCAGCTGAATTCACTTCAGGATGGAGTCTCGCAGTCTGGGGTCCAGGTTATCACTGTGGAAGTACTGGCGTTATCCTAGCCACACGTGGGTCTGTGCACAGCTGTACTCCTGTGCTCCCGAGACCCCCCACTTTCCCGCACGACAGAGCACAGATACAGATTGTATTTACAGAGGGTAGTTTGAGTAAATTTAATTTTAATCAAATGGCCCCTTTGGATAATTTTAAGCATTTATTTTGGCATCGGGTAGGCCTTCTGAAATTCCCTAGACACAGATTCCTCTGAAAAACTAACCAGAGGAGAAAGGAAGAACATCATTTGTTATGCTTCCTTTGGTTCAATTTCAATTATTTTAGATTGTGAGCTAATTAACTCATTGCTGAGTTAATTTATTTGTATAAATTTGGTCTTCAAACAAACATGACTCTGACTTGAAACCTTGTCTCTTGGGGTGTTTAGTTCATGGAGCCTGGAGCACTTGGCAGCCTTGGGGTGCCTGCAGCACGAGTTGTGGGAAAGGCACCCAGACAAGAGCAAGGCTTTGCAGTAACCCCCCACCAGCCTTTGGTGGCTCCTACTGTGACGGAGCAGAAACACAGATGCAGATTTGCAATGAAAGACACTGTCCAGGTGAGAGAAATTAACCGACCGTACTTCAGTACCCCTTATTTAGCTGGTGTGTCACTGAACATTTGTTTCATTCTGACGGTGCCCAGGAGAGCATCCCTCAGCCGAGCACCGCCCAGATTGTAATCTGGTCACTTTTAGGTAGCAACGAAGCCCGTGTGTTTTCTCCTTAATCCAGTTGATGGCAAGTGGACAACGTGGGCCAGTTGGAGTGCCTGTACCGTGTCCTGTGGTGGAGGTGCCAGACAGAGGAGAAGGGACTGCACTGACCCTGCCCCCCAGTATGGAGGAAGCCGATGTGATGGGAGTGATGTCCAGAGTGATTTCTGCAATACCGACCCTTGTCCCAGTGAGTGTCGGAAACAGGGAGTCGGCATCACGCTCTCCCCGGGGTCTTTGCAGGTGTAACCTTCTGTAACTTGGTCCTTCAGCCTCTGGTTTAGGATGTCAACGTGTCACGTGGCTGCTGCTGGTTCCCTCTCACTCCGTCAGTGTCCCTGATTGACAGGGGCAAGGGCGTGTCCTCGTTCACTTGCTCTGTATGGGATCGACTGTGAGAGGGCGAAAGTGCCCTACACACTAACTCTGCTCAACGCTTGTTTTCTTTGTGGAGGCAAGCGGGAGGCGCCCCGCCTCAATGCAGTTACCAGGCAAGATTCTAGACCCTGACCCTGCACGTGCCAGCATCGGCCTGTCACGGGCAGAGGCGCTGTTTCACTGTCCCCGGGCTCAGTAAGTGCATGTGAAGTGGACTCACAGTCACTGGGATATACTCCCATCTTCTAGTCAGACAGCTACAGAGCCAGTGCCGGGGAAGCTGCCGGTTTACAGATTTGTATGTTTCTGTTCATTCCCGAGGAGAGGTTTTCCCGGACTTTTTGGATGAGTGTCACTGTTCAGAGCTGTGTTTTGATGGTGGGTGATTCTGTGTTGTAGCCCACGGTAACTGGAGCCCTTGGAGTGGCTGGGGAGCGTGCAGCCGAACGTGCAACGGAGGGCAGATGCGGCGGTACCGCACGTGCGACAACCCGCGTCCTTCCCACGGGGGACGAGCTTGTGGGGGCCCGGACTCCCAGGTGCAGAGGTGCAGTGCTGACGTGTGTCCTGGTGAGTTCTGCGTTCTGACATGGAAGGCCCGGAGCGTGTCACATAGTGCTTACTGCAGCAGCCCCACTGGCTCAGGCCTTGCAGCGAAAGCCTTGTCGGCACGTGGGTGGTGATTCTAAAGCCAGTTCTCTGTGTTGACCATTCCTTCCGTTCTGGTTCACAGTGGACGGAAGCTGGGGAAACTGGCACAGCTGGAGCCCGTGTTCTGCCTCTTGCGGAGGAGGCGAGAAGACTCGCAGGCGGCTCTGCGACAGTCCAACACCAAACAAAGGTGGCCATCCCTGCGCTGGGGACACCACTCAGGTGTCCCGATGCAATGTGCAGGCGTGTCCAGGTAAGCACCTGACTTGCGCTTGGCAGGACCACTGCACGGCGTACAGAGCCTTTCTGGAAATAGGGCACCAGTGCCACTCGAGCCCAGGGATGGCACCACAGCACACACTCTGGGAGGAGAAAGAGGAAAGAGGTGGGCTGTAGTCCACCACGTGCATCTGGGTTTCAGCCTCTGCTGTCTCCTCTCAGGCTTCCTTGTAGAAGGCTGCACTCTGTGCAGCCGGCAGCTGTGGCTGGGCCCACAAGGGGAAGATCCTGAGACTGCCGGCTAACGGAGGGGTAGGCCAGCAGCTCAGTGTCCCTGGAGGCCATTCATTCCCACATGGGAACGTGGAGAACCTGAGTCAGGAAAGAATAGAGGGAGGCCAAGTGTGCTGGAGTGAAGGAGCTCAGAATTCTAGCACTGCCGGCCCTCAGAGTTTCCTGGGGGTCAGCGGTACTGAAGGCCTGCTCTCAGGACGGACTTCTGCGTCTCCTGTTGCTAACGTGTCAAGATACCGTTGGACTTGCCCAAGCTTGCAGGTAGCTTTAGAAGTAAAATATCCCTGAACATCAAGCAGGCCTGTGTGACAGAGTGGAGATTCATGTGGGAAGATCTGCAGGGCTCACAAAAACGGAGAGGGCAGGTGCCTGCCGGCCAACTGCTCAACAGATCCGCGGGCTGCCGAGGACTCCGCGTCTCCCGCCCGCGGCACAGGCCCGGTTCTGGTGTCGGGTCCATTAGGGCCTTTGGTGCTAACAGGAAGTCCAGACAGGAGGACAGTTTGGATTCCAGAGTCTGGCAGAGGGCATCAGGGGGTCCCGGCCTTGTGGCCAGAAGTAGGAGACATCTGTTAGGCACCGGTACTCAAATTCCTCCATGAGACTGAAGAGCCAGGTTCCCGACGGTCAGCAGTGACCCAGAGACTTCGATAAAGTAGCCACCCTCCCTCCTCTCGTGCCCCCTGCTTAGGCCTGGGAAAAAGAAGCACAGCTTGCCCCCAGGTCCAGGATCTCGCTGCGTGCTCCCCATCACCTCTTGGCTTCTCAGATGTAGCATCTCACCGGCCGCCCGCAGAAGGAGCCCCACCACTGTTGCCTCTGCCCCGAGTCCGTCTGCTCCGCCAGGTTCTCTTAGGACCTAAACTTTCTTTAGATGTCCACTCTTTCTACTTCCTTCTGAGATCTCAGTGTGCAGGAAATACCCGGTACGTGAGGACGTTCCACCCTCACGCTGTGTGGGATCCCGGTTCGGATCTCACCCCTGTCCAGACATAAGCGTGCTGAAGGCAGTACTCAGATGCCGTCCCCTGATTGTTTTCCCCTCAGTGCTAGAACGAGTGTAGCCCAGAACATGAAGGCTGGATCGGTGTGGAGAAAATGTTTTCTCTCGCTGATGCAGTCATGCGAATTACAGTGGGGGAATTCTACTTTATGATTTTGCTCAGGTTGAATACAACTGTATTCTGGTGTATGGTACATGATGACATATAACATCAACTGATTGCATAAAACAAATTGAATTACATGACATCAGATAATGAATATTTATTAACTTCAGTATCAGCTTCTTCCCAATGTTTCCATCTCTTGCCAAAGCATATACATTATTTTTTTAAGAAACACTCATTGACTACCCATTCTGTGCTAGTAACCAATAATTTTGTTGAACAATGCACAGAAGGCCTAAAATTACTGCAAAGATCATTTTTTTAAATGTATAATTGTTTTACAGCCAGATTATATTGGTCTGAATCTTAGTGTACTATCAAAATATGATATCCCGAGGCCAGCGCTGTGGCACACCAGGTTAATCCTCTGCCTGCGGTGTTGGCATTCCATATGGGCACCAGTTCTAGTCCCGGCTGCTCCTCTTCCAGTCCAGCTCTCTGCTGTGGCCTGAGATAGCAGTGGAGGATGGCCCATGTGCTTGGGCGCTTGCACCCACGTGGGAGACCAGGAGGAAGCACCTGGCTCTTGGCTTCGGATCGGCACGGTGCCAGCCGTTGCGGGTATTTGGAGAGTGAACCAACAGAAGGAAGATCTTTCTCTCTGTCTCCCTCTCTCTCACTGTCTGTAACTCTACCTGTCAAATAAATAAATAAAAATCTTTAGAAAAAAAATGATATCCTGCTTTAATTTTTCTCAAGTCAAGCATTTTCCAATCTAATAAGGAAAACCTTATAAGCTCTCAGTCTGAAACCCAAGCCCGAGCAGCTGTTCCTTGGGACTGTTGTGTTGTGAGAGCTCGCCTGCCCCTCTGCGTGCTGAGGGAAGCAGCAGATGGAAGAACCTGGGCCTCGTGGTTAACTCTGGCCACCAGGCTCCGTGGCCCTCTTGACCTATTCTGCTGCCCTACTGAAATGGCAGAACCTTTGGCCAACCCTTCCCCCCGCTTCTTTCCCTCACCCAGCCCCTGGGGGTCAGCTTTTCTGCACTCCCCAATATGTATTGTATTCTTGAAAACTGCTGAGGGGTCAGTGATGTGGCATAGCAGGCAAAGCCACCACCTATAACACCAGCATCCCAGATTGGCACCAGTTCAAGTCCCTGGCTGCTGCTCTTCCAGTTCAGCTCCCTACTAATGGCCGGGAAAAGCAGTGGAAGATGACCCAAGTGTTTGGACCCCTGCCACCCACTAGGAGACCTGGATGAATCTTCTGGCTTCTGAATTTGGCCTAGCGCAGCCCTGGTGGTCATCAGGGGAGTGAGCCAGTAGATAGCAAAACTTTGTCTCTCTCTCTGTCTCTCGCCCTCTCTCCATAACTCTGACCTTCAAATAAATAAAAATTTATCTTTAAAAAAAGAAATTTGCTAGCAGAGTAGCTTTTAAATGTTCTCACTACAAAAAAAAAAAAAAAAAGTACATAGCCATCAGGGAAATGCAAATCAAATAACCCCAGTTAGAATAGCTTTCATACAGAAATCAACAAACAACAAATGCTGGTGAGGATGTGGGGGGAAAGGTGCCCTAACCCACTGTTGGTAATGTAAACTAGTAAACCACTATGGAAAACAGTTTGGAGATACCTCAGAAGTGTGAATATAGACCTACCACATGACCCAGCCATCCCACTCTTGGGAATTTACCCAAGGGAAGTGAAATCAGCAAATGAAAGAGTTATCTGCACTCCCATGTTTACTTCAGCTCAATTCACAATAGCGAAGACATGGAATCAACCTAAATGCCCATCAACTGAAGACTGGGTAAAGAAATTATGAGAGGTATACTCTATGGAATACTACAAAGTGGTAAAAAAAAAAAATGCAGTCCGGTCATTTGCAACAAATGGAAGGATCTGGAAAACATCATACTTAGTTAAATAAGCCAGTCCCAAAGGGACAAATACCACATGTTGTCACTGTTCTATGATAACAGGACACCTACAAGGAAACCTGTAGAAGTGAAATTGACACTTTGAGAAGCAGTAACTTGAACAACACTTGCCTTCACTGTTGAGGAACAGTTTTTGTTGTTTTCCTACTTAATACCATTGGTTGAACTCTTTACCTAGCATACAATTAATCATATGTATGTAAAGTCAATTGATAATAGATCCCAGTAAAAAATAAGAGTGGGAATAAGAGAAGGAGGAGAAAGTTTATAACTGTAAAGCTATATAGTTCTGCATACATTCCTTTGGACTTACTTCTAAGGGTACAGCTAAAAACTTGCCATGGGACTCCAAATCCCATTAAGCTGGGTGGTAATAATGCCATCTTAAGTGTTAAGTGATCATATTAAATTGATCATATAGATATAATTAAGTGTTAAAATGATCATATAAATAAGATCAAGTGTCTGGTAATAACAGTAGATACAGTTAAAAGGAGAGAATGTTCCAACCTAGGAAGCAGTTCACACAGCAGACTCATAGAATGACATTTGCTCTAAATAGCACTCTGACCTCAGAATCAGCCCTTAAGGCAGCCCAATCTGGCTAAAAAGCCCATGAGAGCATTTCAAACATGGAAAGCCAAGACACTGTGGCAAAAAAAAAAAAAAAAAAAAAAAAAAAAGTCCTACATGAAGGATCTCTATGAGTGAGATCCCAGTGGAAAGAAAGGGGCCATCAAGAAGGATGTACTTTTCTCTGAAGGGATGAGAGAACTTCCTCCTTGCTTATGGCCTTGTCTAAATACTGAATGGAGGACTGAGAGACTCAAATTGGATTTCCATTCCCTTGACATCTCAATGCTCAAGAACCAGCGGCTGAGCACTGACAATCATCATACAAGAATGATTAAGGGAGTTATTTTTTGAAGATTTATTTTATTTATTTGAAAGACAGAGTTACAGAGACGGGTAGAGATGGAAAGAGAGGTCTTCCATCCACTGGTTCACTCCCCAGATGGCCACAACAGCTGGAGCTGTGCCAATCCAAAGCCAGAGCTTCCTCTGGGTCTCCCATGTGGGTTCAGGGCCCAAGGACTTGGGCCATCTACTACCGCTTTCCCAGGCCATAGCAGAGAGCTGTTTCAGAAGAGGTCAGCCGGACTAGCCGGGACTAGAACTGGTGCCCATATGGGATGCTGGCACTGCAGGCCAGAGCTTTAACCCACTGCGCCACAGTGCTGGCCCCAAGAGTGTTAATTGTTAAATTAACAACAAGAATCACTGTGCGCTTCCTCCCCATGCAGGACCTCTGTCCTCAATGATTTGTACTAAGAGAATTAACTGTAAAACTTGTTCTTAAACAATTTTTTATATTTCTTGTATGTAAACTGTTGTCATCTTAGTATAGATTTGGTCTTCTGTGTATAAAGTTAATCAAAAATGAATCTTAATGGAGAATGGAACTGGGAATGGGAGAGGGAGGAGGAGAGTGAGAGGGCGGGTATGGTGGGAAGAATCACTATATCCTTAAAGTTGTATTTAGAAAGTTTGTACTCATTAAATAAAGAGTTTCTTAAAGAAAAAAAAAGTACATGAGGTAATTAATGTTGATTCACAGTATATACCTAATTCAGAACAACATGTTATACATAGGTTATATAGTTATATGCAACTTTCTGTCAATTAAAATAAAAAAGAAGAACATTGGTTTAGATTCAAGCCAAAGGCTTTTCAGATCCTTATTCCACCTTCTAACTGTGTGATGGTGGCAAAGTCGCTGGGTTTCCCGGAACTGTGTTTTCCTAATCTACCGCCTCTGGCTACGTAAAGTCCCTTCTAGGACGGGTGATAGAGTCGGAAGAGTTTGGACTTGCTCGGTGTTTGCTGTTGGGGGGACGTGCTCAGTGAGCTCCATTGTATCATGTCCTTGCCGTCAGCAGACACTTTATTTTGGTCTTGGGACTGGATACTGAGTGTGTTCTTTGGCTAATGAAATAGTAGAATGTTGTGTATCGATTGGAAAGATTCTAAATTTATGAGGGTGATGGGTGTTCTATGAAAGTAGAATGTTTTAAAAGCTTGTTTATTTCACTTGTAAATTCAGATGGATCTGCCCTTTTTGATGTTTGAGAAGAGATTTGCAGCATCTCTAAAACCATGTAATATTGATGGAATTGCTTCCTTGCCCTAACAGGTGGGCCCCCACGAGCCAGAGGAAGTGTCATTGGGAGTATTAATGATGTTGAATTTGGAATTGCTTTCCTTAATGCCACAGTAACAGATAGCCCTCACTCCAATACTAAAGTCATACATGCCAAAATCACCAATGTGCCTCGCAGTCTGGGTAAGTCTGCTTACAAAAGTTGCTCATGCAGCCTCTTTTTTTAAAAATGTATTTTTCTACCATGTATATATGCCACATTTTCTTTAGTTATCAGTTGGTGGATATCTAGGTTAATACACACGAAGTGAATATGGCAAAATGCTAAAAATTGTTAAATCTTGAAATTAAAAACAAGAACAGTAAAAAATGTTATCTTTTATCCTATTTCCATTTACGTAAAGTTCCTAGAGGATGCTACTCCTGAATCATCAGTGTAGTAGTCCTTGGCTCTTCCTGATGATAAGCACATAGGACCTGTGAACACTAGTGTGTATTTTGTGCTTAGGACTCATGTTGTGAATAAAGTACCATGAAGACAAGAACAATAAGCTGTGTTTTCCTTTGTCATATTACTGGTTTTTTTCTAGGTCCAGCAATGAGAAAGATAGCTTCTATTCTAAATCCCATTTATTGGACAACAGCAAAGGAAATAGGAGAAGCCATCAACGGCTTTACCCTTACCAACGCAGTCTTCAAAAGAGAAACTCAAGTGGAATTTGCAACTGGTTAGTGTCAGCTGAACGGCATATCTTGCTACTATTTTTTATAAAAAAGAAAAGGAAGATTGTTAACAAAGCTTGGAAGTTAAGATAAACATGTTATTTGTTCCCATATAGTTTTTGACATGGTCTTATCTCAAACAATATAAAAGGAGTTTCTTGTTATCTGCAAACATAACTGCCATGAATGAGGACTATAGAAGGCCATGTGCTCTCAGAGGGTCTTTCCTTGGCCTACTTGCTGTACTTGCTGTAGCCCTTTTACTATTTAAGATTTTTTTAAAATTTTATTTCGAAAACTTTAACAGACAAATATCTATGGGGTATTTGTGATGTTTCATCACATTGCCGGTGTCACGGCTCACTAGGCTAATCCTCCACCTGCGGTGCTGGCACCCAGGGTTCTAGTCCCGGTCGGGGTGCCAGATTCTGTCCTGGTTGCCCCTCTTCCAGGCCAGCTCTCTGCTGTGGCCTGGGAGTGCAGTGAAGGATGGCCCAAGTACTTGGGCCCTGCACTCGCGTGGGAGACCAGGAGAAGCACCTGGCTCCTGGTTTCGGATCAGTGCGGTGTGCCGGCCTCAGCAGCCATTGGGGGTTGAACCAACGGCAAAGGAAGACCTTCCTCTCTGTCTCTCTCTCTCACTGTGCACTCTGCCTGTCCAAAAAAAAAAAAAAAAAAAAAGACGTTTCATCATATGTACACATTATATAATGTCCAATCAGGGTAAATATATTTATCTCTCAGCACTTACCACTTTTTATAGTGAACACATCAAGTCTCATCTTCTGGTTTACATAGAGAAAGTACGTGAACGTCTGTAGTCACTTGTGTGCATAGACCTCCAGAGCTTCTTACTCCTGTCTAGCTATAACCTAGCACCTGTCAGTCAACTTTTCCCAATCCATCCATCTCCACATTGCTCCCCAGCCTCTGGTCACCACCGTTATATGTTTCACTTCTGTGGGGTCCTGTAGTTTTTAGATTTGTCTGAGTGAGATCCTGTGTTATCTGTCTTTGTGCTTGGCCTGTTTCACTAACAGAATGATCTCCAGTTCCATCCATGTTGTGGCAGATGACAAGATTTCATCCTGTTTACAGCTAGGTAGTATTCCACAGTGTGTATACACCACAGTTTCTTAGTCCATTCATCAGTTGATGAAAACTGTGTTGTTTCTGGCTCCTGGCTATTGTGTGTAGTGCTTCAGTACACCTGGAAGTGTAGATGGCTCTTCAACAGATGGATTGCATTCCCCGTGGATGTTTTCTCACTGGGAGTGGGCTGCTGGGTCCCACGGTGGTTCTAACCGGGAGTGGGCTGCTGGGGCCCACGGTGGTTCTAACCGGGAGTGGGGCTGCTGGGGCCCACGGTGGTTCTAACCAGGAGTGGTGCTGCTGGGGTCTATGGTGGTTCTAACTGGGATTGGGCTGCTGGGTCCCACGGTGGTTCTAACCGGGAGTGGGGCTGCTGGGGCCTACAGTGGTTCTAACCGGGAGTGGGGCTGTTGGGTCCCATGGTGGTTCTAACCGGGAGTGGCGCTGCTGGGTCCCATGGTGGTTCTAACCGGGATTGGGCTGCTGGATCATACTGTAGTTCTCTTCTTAGTTTTTTAAGGAACCTTCATGCTGTTTTCCACCATGACTCTACTAATGTACATTCTCACCACCAACGGTGTGCAAGGGTTCCCTTTTCTCCACATCTTCACCACTTGCTATCTTTTGTCTTTTTTGACCCCCCCAAAAAAAAGACAAAAAATGAGGCGATTTGCATTTGTTGATGATTAGTGCCTTTCACAATTTCTGAAGCATCAGAAAGAACAAAGCCTTGCCCCAGAATCAAGGCTCCTCCCCATCAACCTGATGCAAGCTGTCCCTTCTCACAGGCAATCCTGTTCTCTCTCCAGAACCTGGTGCGGGGGGTTAAAGTATGGAATCCTTCACATAGTCATATGCTATGTTTGTGCCTCACAAAAAGAAACTTTAGAAGGAACAGTTCAATAAGCCTAACTCTTCAACTCAGGCAAAATGCTGATTTAATTCTCTTGTCTATTTGTATGCGATTATGAGCTGCAGCAGCAGTGGAACTGCAAGGGAAATCTGCCCTGTGCTTTCAGAAACCGCATTTTTCCTGTTCAAATGAATGCGTTGTAATCCCCAGGAGAAATCTTGCGAATGACTCACGTTGCCCGGGGCTTGGATCCCGACGGTGCTTTGCTGGTGGACATTGTTGTGAGTGGCTACGTTCTGCAGCTTCCGTCGCCTGTGGACATCAACATTAAGGTAGAAGCCAGGATACCCTCCTTCATGTTTGTTAGAGTAATGGTAAGAGTGTAAGTCAAAAATCCATGGAAACTGCACAGAGAACCTGTGCATTTTCCCGTATTTGTGTTGGAGAATAAATCTCGGCTACAAACGATTTTCTGGACTTTGTTGCAAATATTCAGGACCAGGTCCCAGCAGCTTTACTACTGAGCCCGTCAAGACCAGGACCTCTGCTGTGATTAAAACCATTTGTTTAATTTTCTTCAAAAAGAGTAGTGATTCCTGCACAGTGTTTTTTGAATGCCATCCACAGGAGTGCTTCAGGAAACAATGATAACAGTCATCCTTCCACGTATTTCTTTATTCTTGACCGCCAGCTTTGAGTCGTTTCTTAAACTATGATTTATGAAAGTAGAATTCTGAAGCTAATGCGGTCACAGGGCAAAGGTGCAGAGGTCAAGTTAATTCCTGAACATCACTGTACAATTAAATTTTATGTAGAACTGTATGTTTTTATCTCCTAAGGCCTTTTTTCTCATTCTGCATCTCCTAGTGCACTTAGGAGGGGAAAAAAGCTAGCATGAGCCATGTTGATCTTCAAATGCACGCTGTCCTTCCTAGGATTACATGGAGGACTACATTCAGACGGGCCCCGGGCAGCTGTACGCCCACTCCACCCGGCTGTTCTCCATCGACGGTGTCAGTGTTCCGTACACCTGGAACCACACGGTCTTCTACGACCAGGCACAGGGAAGAATGCCTTTCTTGGTAGAAACGCTCCATGCATCCTCTGTGGAATCTGACTACAACCAGTTGGAAGAGACACTAGGTTTTAAAATCCACGCTTCAATTTCCAAAGGTAATGTGATTGAAACAAAGTTCATAGCTTTGTGCCAGCTACTCCTTTCCAAAGGGTAAAAAGAATTGCATTGATGACTTTCAGAATAAGGATATTAAGGCCTAGGCCTGACAGGACAGTAGCAGGGTTTTCTTGTGTGGTGTTTGTTTTGTTAAAGGTAAATCCTGTGCTAGGCTGGAGTCCTGGTAACATGTTGGTCTTCTGATGTGCTTCATTAACTGGTAGTAGAGATGGTACTGCTCTATTATATATACGTGAAAGGATAAAATAATCCATCAGAATGACGTTTCTTTGGATTATAAAGTCCATTTGTTGTTCTGGATCTAATATTTTCAAGGAATTTTTGAATTCCATAAGCATAATGTAAAGGTGTGTCTTACCCTAAACTGGTTAAAAAATCATATTTTCAAAGAAGCTTTTGAAGCTGTACAGCAATAGTCAGGATTCCAACTGTCATTTCTTGTTTCTGAAAATTGAGATCTTCAAGGCACTTTGTATTTCCCAGACGTGGTTCTGTGGCCTTGATCCACTCAGCCCCTGCGTGTGCGTCCCCTGACACTGCCTTTCCAGGCCTAGGAGCCACCAGGGGGGTTGGCACTGCATGTGCCACGCGCTTCAGTGTTGAGAGACACCGCATGTGGTTACGCTGTTGGCACAGCGTTGGCATGACTGTATGACTCTGGCTCTGAACAGCAGGCTTCCGTGAGTACGTTCAAATGGGGTCACGTGGGCCTGTGTATGCCTTGCCTGGTGCTGGCTTTGCTACAGTAGACTAAAGTGGATAGTAAACAGCACCATTTCGGCTCTTATGCTTCGCAAGTAAATTAAAAACTCATTTTCAGTGTTTACTCTTGCTTTCATCAGTCGAGCGTGTGACATTTTCTTCGGCATCTGCAGAACTGTATCATTAATCTCAGACCGTGGTGATGTGGGAGAACAAGTGCCTGTCTTCTTCCCTTCATCACAGACGTGTGAAGTCTCGTACCCGTGGGGCCCACGGCTCCACACCGTCGCGCTGCCGCCTCATCTTACCGTTGTCATGTGTGCTTACATATGATTTTACCGTTGTCATGTGTGTTCACACCACCTGGACAAAGGAGAGAGCTACTCAGTCGTGCCTCCTTTCCCAGTCTCACTTGTTTCTCTTTTCCGTACTCCAGCTCATTGAAGAAAGCTAACGTGGCACCAGGCGTTGTTATAAATGCATTGATACCCCTTAGGACTAGAGGGTGGAAGGTTATTTGGGGGAAGTCACATGTGCTTCCGGCCCAGCCGTGTACATGCTTGGAGGTCTCAGGGCGTCTCTGAGCGGGGTGGTGGGGGGACACGGGGAAACACACCGCAGCCCCTCGAAGGCCCCTTCCTGTCCTCGCGTACTAGAATCCTGTGAATTAACATCCAGTACAAGGCGTGTGCCATTTGTCGTTGACACTGTTTCTGGGACTTTTAAAAATTGTGTACCTGCCACCTTTTTTTGAGTGAACACCAGGGGGCAAGCTTGTATTCTTAGCAGCTTGGGTCTAAGCTGGAGCTATGCACTGTGCAACTAAAGTCACCTGGACAACTTGAGGAAAGTTCAGATTTTGGGCACAAAGATTTTGGATTTGCAACTCTTGAGCTATTTCAAACACAGATCCTAAATGATTCTAATGGATCTGGTCTGTCCGCTAGCATTTGGAAAACCGCTGGTCAGGATAACTAACAAATATAATTAATCTCACCAAAAATATTTTTATGTCACTAAATGAATTTTAAAAATATAAATATAAAAAATATTTTACAAATTAATCAGAATAAAATAACTATAAAAAAGTAAATTTATGTAAATTTTTTAAAATTTCATGGAAGAAAACAAAATGAGATGATTAAGTACCAAGAAAAAGCATTAGATATTGACAACTATGATTAACCTATATATATATAGGTTAATATATAGGTTAATTTTTAAGAACCTTATATATATAAGAAAGAGGCAAATACTCCCTATTGAAAAATACATAAAGACTGTGGACAGGAGACTCGTGGAAGAATAAATAGAGGTGACAATTAGATGTGAAGGAAGTGTTTGCCCTCATTAATAAGCAAAGAAGCGCCAATTGAAGCACCCAGGCATTCTAACTGTCCTGTCAGAGCTTAGCAAGTGTGTTACCACCTTGCATTGCCTTGTGCCCTGCTGGCAGAAGTCCCAAGGGCCCTGAGTCAGGAAGATGGGGTGTGCCAGTAGCCTCCCACTGCTGGGTCTTTGCAGCTACCTCATTCTAGGAGTCTGTACAAAGAAAATCACAGAAATAGACAAAGATAGGTGTTCAGGAGGTTTCATCCATTGTTATTTACAATAGAAAATAATGATAGTCCTGGAAGTGGGAAATAAATATGAGTACCTCAAAAAGTTCATGGAAAATGAAATTTGAAGATAAGTCTGTTTTAGTGCAAAAATTTTTGATATTAATTATAAAGGGTCTTAAGAAACTTAACAGAAAATGCATATTGTGAAAAAAACTGCATGGCTGGCGCCGGGGCTCACTTGGCTAATCCTCCACCTGCAACGCCAGCACCCCGGGTTCTAGTCCCCTTTGGGGCGCCGAATTCTGTCCCGGTTGCTCCTCTTCCAGTCCAGCTCTCTGCTGTGCCACAAGAGGGCAGTGGAGGATGGCCCAAGTGCTTGGGCCCTGCACCTGCATGGGAGACCAGGAGGAAGCACCTGGCTCCTGGCTTCGGATCGGCACAGCGCGGTGGCCATTTGGGGGTTGAACCAACAGAAGGAAGACCTTTCTCTCTGTCTCTCTCACTGTCTATAACTCTCTGTCTCTCTGTCTCTCTCTCTCTTTCACTGTCTAACTCTGCCTGTAAAAAAAAAACCTATGCATGGATTTCAGAACTTTTTGCACCACTTAATTCCATTTCCACGATCTTTTGAAGTATTCTTGTATGTAAATTACAGCAGAACTGCACGATCAGCTTACGCTCTCGCTGAGACAGCATTTTAGAGAGATATGACTCACTTCACAAACATTTGCTGAGTGAGTGCCACGTGGAAGACGTGTTCTAAGTGTTGACGTAATTGTGAGCACGTGACGGGAGAAGAGCGTGTTCACAACATCATTAAAGAAGAAAAGCCGGTGCAGTGCGCCGCAGCCTGGGGTGCCCACACCTCAGTCTCTGGTGCTTAAACAGATCCCCGGTCTCTTCCTTGTACTTCTTAAAAGAATGGACTGACAGAGCTGTATTTTTAATAAATTCCCCCAAATTTTATGATTAGCAAAACTTGGCACTCATTAGTCTGTTTATCCCAACTTAATATTTAAATACATATTCATAAAAGTGACTTGGTGGCAAAACATCAAAACGTCAGAAATAATTTAGCCAAGTGACAAAAGTACGGAAGCTTGTGTATTTTTCAGTTTCTATTAACTGTGTCGTTACAAAAAATATTTAATATTACTCCTACCTTGAAATGAAAATCATAACAATCAGAATCACATCAGAATCACCTTGTATCTAGAGTAAATGAAAAGAAATAATAAAATATTACATATTTTAATATAAAAATCTTTGGACAGAGATAAGTAGTTATATGCCCGAGTCTATAGGTAGAATCCTAGTGTGCTCTTTTCTTTTGGAAACATTAAGTAATTCGTAGTAAAGATGCTGAACAAAACAAAAGATAAGTAGCTGTCAATTTATATGGTGGTGGCATTCTAGAGAATCCGTTTTATATTTAGATCGTGTGAAAAATGCTTACTATCTGGCAGACGGGCCCAACGCTTAGTTTTCCACTTCAGTGAAAATCTTGCAGGCAGGAGGCAAATCTTCGTTGTGCAAGACTCTCCCACGGACCACGGTCTCGTCACACTTCCCCCAGGGCCTGCCCCTCCCACCAAATTTTGGTGGGCCTCCTCATCAAAATGACAACCAAAGTGTGTCCACGATAACCTCCCAGATGCCACCCAGTGGGTGCTCTCTCTCCTGTTTAGAGCCAAAAATCTGAACCTACTATCAGATGACAAGTTACTGTGTTTGTGGGACTTCCCCCACAACCGTGTCTTCAGCACAGTTCCCACCCAGCGAGGTGTCGGAAGGGCTGTGTGAATCAGTGAACACATGGAGCAGAATCACGGTCACCACCAGCGTTCTGTGGAGTGCAGCAGGTCAAAGCCAAATGGACAAGCATCTAAATCTTGCCCCAGCGTTTCTCATCAGCTTTTTGACCACAGACAACTTACATAATCTGTCTCAAGTTCCTCATTTTATTAAAAATTGGATGCCATGACAGTAGGGGAGTGGTGAGGTCTCAGTGAAATGAAGCACGCGGTGCTCACAGCACCCCAGCGATGCACAGTACTCGCGTGGCACTGTCGCTAGGCCGTTCATCCCCATCCGTCCTCGGCCTGTCCCCTGGGGTGCTCTCAGCAAGGCGGCTCCTTAACCGTCGTGTTCTTGGTGGCGTGTTCTTGTGTGACATCTAGCTTACGCCTGTTTTAAGACTGCACACCTGTTCCCTTCTGCTTTGTGTGGAAAGGGAAGACTGTCACACATGGGAAACTCTGGCCCAAATGCTCAACCTTGCAAGTGGAGGAGATCCACAGAGGGAGGTGGTGTCTCCATGGAGTCTGTTTGAAGGAGTCTCTGTTTTATTTTCACATATAATTTTAAGTTATTTGAAAACGTATTCCTCCTATTAGAGTAAAATGCCTGCCTGGAGGACTAGGGCTGCCTGTGGTATGGCTGGCTACACACTCATCTTGGATCCTTGTAAATCGTCACAGAATGACTCCACTTAATTTTCTTTGGTGGGTGGAATAAGCAGAAACCTGGCTGCGGTGGCAGCTCTGCAGCGGTCTCTGGGCGCTGGGCTGAGGGATGGGATGGGTTCCTCACTCCTGCCCGTTTGCCCACATGGACCGTCTTCAGCTCATGTTGCTGGGGAGAGTGTACTCGGAAGAAACCAGGCCCGAGTTCTAGCGGGCATTGATTTTGCTCCCATCTCTGTGGCAGGCGATCGCAGCAATCAGTGCCCGTCCGGGTTCACCTTGGATCCAGTGGGACCGTTTTGCGCTGGTGAGTACAGAAATACAAAACACAGTTTTTTATTTAAGAAAAAACACCAACAAGGGCTATCATGTGGTGGCTATCTGTTGCCTGTCAGCGTCCCAGCTGGCAGCTGAGGAAATTCAGAGTGCAGAATTAAAGTAAATGCCAACAATGACTCAGCCTCGAGTGACCTGAAGCTAAGTTGGATCCTAAAGCCCATGAACTTTCCATGTGACCAAATGATGTATCAGGGACAGTGACCGAGCTCAGAGGGGCTGAGCAGAGACTGCCTGAGGGCCAGGGAGCAGGGCCTGGCCCTGGGTCCCCTAGCCCTGCGATTGCTCAGTCATGGCATAGGGCAGGATTTGGACCCGTGACTAGTGACTAAACCCGCGTTGTCTCTCCGAAGCACCAGCGTGAGAGTCACAGATAGGTCAGCAGCTAACGAGACGGCTCGCGGAGCTCCGGGTGCCTCCCCGGGCCTGCCTTCCACTGCGGGCAGTGTGATGTGAGCTCACCGGGGAGAGGTGGTCTGTAGACTGGCCAGGCCCAGATCCCAGCTCTGCCAGAAACAACCCATCACTGCCCTCCTTGTTCCTCAGCTTTGTCGTGTAGCATGAGGACAGCAACAAAAATACCACTGTGCTAGGAAAGCTGCAAACGGTGACTTATGACAGCTGAGAAGGAGAGGCAGAGAGAGAGAGAGAGAGAGAGAGAGATCTTCCATCCGCTGGTTCACTCCCCAGTTGGCAGCAGTGCTGATCAGGAGCCAGGAGCCAGGAGCTTCCTCCAGGTCTCCCACACGGGTGCAGGGGCCCAAGGACTTGGGCCATCTCCTGCTGCTTTCCCAGGCCATAGCTAAGAGCTGCATCAGAAGTGGAGCAGCCAGGACTCGAACCAGCGCCCACATGAGATGCGAGCACTGCAGGCGGCGGCTTTACCTGCTATGCTGCAGCACCGGCCCCTCTCATCACTTTGTTTTAGAATATCATCTAAACATCTACTCACTATCAAAGATAACCTGGAGACTCCAAGTTAATTTTTATTAACTACTCATCTTGGGACGTTTGGTGTATTTTCTGTTAAATTCCATCCAACTCATTGACCTCTGTGAGCCGCTGTGTAAACCAGCTGTAGTAACTGGTAGGAAGCAGGGGTTTATGTAACCACTGGGCCCTCTGTCTTGCAGATGAAGATGAGTGCGCGGCGGGGAAGCCTTGCTCCCACACCTGCCACAATGCCGTGGGGACCTACTATTGCTCCTGCCCAGAAGGCCTCACCATAGCTGTGGACGGAAGGACTTGTCAAGGTATCCACAGCTCCATCTAACAGACAGTTTAAGCAGTGGTCGAGGCAGCCTTTGGCCTGGGGAAAAGAAGGTAGACCCGCGATCCCCTATCCCGATAGCCCTGAACACCTGTTGGGAGCAAGCAGCAGACCGGGTTTGATTGGGTTGAGAAGGTAAGAAAGGGAACACTGCCAGGCCCTGACTGCCTGTGGGGGACTCTAGAAGCAGGGACGACAGGTGTGACTCACTCACGGTCTCAGGAGAAGCAACTTAAAAAGGTCACGTAATTTACAGGTGAGGGTTCTCGCTGGTTGGTGAGCCTGTGCGGACGTCACCCCATGCTGCTGTGAGTTTGTCAGCTGTGTATATATGAAGTGACTCGGTCGGCCAAAGCATCCGGCACCTCGGGTGTTTCTCAGCTGTTGCTTTTCTCATCCCCATTTCACAGCGGTTCTTAGCTCTGTTTTCTGCGCCCTGCCTCAGTCGCACCCTTCGCTCTGTTGCAGACGTTGATGAGTGTGCTTTGGGTGGACATGCCTGCCACGCCGGCCAGGACTGTGACAACACCATCGGGTCCTATCGCTGTGTGGTCCGCTGTGGAGTCGGCTTCCGAAGAACCTCCGACGGGCTGAGCTGTCAAGGTATAAAGATGGAGGCTTGCTCTTTGCATGGCACTAAGCGTTAGAAAGCCTTTTTGAATCCTTTAAAGGAAACTCACTTACTACACTCCAAGCAGTAGGGACCCAATAAAGAGGAGAAAGTGACAAAATACCCAGCAGGTGGGACTCTGGTCCGTCAAGAGAACCTAAAGCAGAACTTGACTGTGCCTGTTCTAGATCTTGGGAAGATCTCTTCTGGCTGTATTATTCCACAGGTATTCTTTGAATAACACTTAAGAGAGGAGATATTACAGCATGATCTGTTTCATAAAACTACCAGAATATTTATTGAAAATTTTTAAAAATAGACTATTTTTAGAAAAGTCTTAGGCTTCTAGCAGAACTGAGCCCAAAGGACAGAGTTCCCCCGGGAGCCAGCCCGCCTCCCTGCCAGCACCCCGCCCCGCCAGACGTGTACCTTTGTCCTGTGGACCTACGTGGACACTTCGGTGTCCCAGAGCCACTAGTTCACATCAGGTTTCACTCTTGCCGCTGTACATTCTATGGGTTTTGACCAATCTGTTACGATGTGTTTCTGATCTGAAAGCCCTGTGTGTCACAACGCCTACTCTTCCTCTCCTGCCTGCAGGCCTGGTGACCACTGACACCTTAGTGTCTCCATAGTTCTGCCGTTTCCTGACTGTCCTGTCGCGGATCCGTACGGCACATAGCCTTTCAGAAAGACGTCTTTCACCTGATAATGTACACTTAACCTTCCTCTATACCTGATAGCACATTTCTTTCTAGCACAGAACATTATTCCATGTACTTGCATGAACGTCTCACCATTTATCCACTCATCTGGTATGTTAGCTTTCATGGGGATGATGAAATACTTGAGGCAGATGATGTTAAAGAGGTTTATTTAAGGCACAGTTTAAGTGCAAGGGCATGGCACTTACACCTGCTCGGTTCTGGTGAGAACCTCGTGGCAGATGGCAGAGCCCAGAGCTCATGGAGAGGAGGGATCACACTGCAGTCCAGGACCCAGGGAAAGAGAGCAGGCTGGGGTCCCACAGTCCCTTTAAGGCTCAGCTCAGTAGACCCCAGGAGCTCTAACAAGACCCCACCTTGACCCCACAGCACTTTCTAAATGGACTGCACCTGAACTATGGCCTGTGGTGGGGGATGTACTGGTTGCTTGCAAGTTTGGGGAGTATGAATACGGATTTTCCAGAGTCAAAAACAATGGCTCCACACTGAACGTGAGTCAGGAGCAGAAAGCATGAGTGATGCATAGCACACCTACAGCGTGAACCATTATGTAGCCCTTGAGAAAATTCTGATGTAGGAAACTGTGGTCACTTTTACAGAAGAGAGTTTGCAGCTAGAGAATGCTCCCCCATGAAGGAGGGAGAAGTACCTGTGAGTGGAAGAGACACTTGGTTGTTCTCAGGAGATCCTCAACGTCGTCTGCCTTGGAGGGCAGGGAGAGTGAAAGGGGTGAGGGAGATGAGCAAATGATGAGAGGAAGAAAACACTGCACTAAGCGAGTGTTTTCAAAGTGTCTGGTCGCATTGATACGTCTATACAAATCAGCATATTCTGGTTCTGAACAGGTAACATTAGAAGATCTCGAGTAGGAGATGAGAGTTTGGGGAGTCAGGTGAGCACTGGGGCGCCCAGGTCGGTCCCCGTGCCCCTGGAGGGTTTGGAACAGCACAGTGGCACAGTGGCAGGCGCTGGAAGTGAGTACAGGCCTGAGAGCGGAGTGTGTGGCTCGGGAGGGCTGGGTTGTGTCTGCGCCGGGAAGAGGGAGGGCTTGGGAATTCACCGGGGGGAGGTCCCTGTATACTTCCTCGTCTTGGTGAGGGACAAGAGGGGCCACAGAGCCCAAAGCTCATAGAGCAGGCTTTGCTGTGTGGGAGAAGAGGTCTCTCTTCCCGTGAGGCTGGTAGGAAGGAGAGGAGGGAAGGTGCCAGACATAGGCCTGGGCACGGGGCTGGGGAGCCTGTGCCTGCACTTGGCCCAGGAACAGGAGGCACTGCTCAGGTTGCTGCGGGCCGGCAGGCCCGAGGGGACGGAGGACCGAGTCAGAACGGGAAGAAAGGCCATCGGGCAAAGACGCTGTAGGAGACCCTAGCGCTGTTCTTCCTCTGCCTTCAGCGTGCCAGTGCCGCAGCTCCAGGGCAGAAGCCTTCTAGAAGCAGGACTGGGGCCACGTGGTGACAAGCTCGCGTGGAGGAGTGTTTGACCGCCGTGGTTTTAAACCTTTAGCAAATGTCCACAGTTAAGGAGTCTGTTGATGAAGAAACCCTCTCCTGCAGCTAATTCTCTGTTTGGCAGGTTATGTAAGAGCAGATGTTTGGGATTCCTGTTAGAGAAGCTCTTTTAAAAAATTTATTTGTTTGAAAGGCAGTGTAGAGAAACAGAAATCTTCCATCTGCTAGTTCACTCCCCAAATAGTCACAGCACTCAAGGCTGAGCCAGAGATGCAGGAGCCAGGAGCTTTCTCCAGGTCTCCCACAAGGGTGCAGGGGCTCAAGGAGCTGGACCACCCTCTGCAGGCTTTCCCAGGTGCACCAACAGGGAGCTGGATCGCAAGTGGAGCAGCCAGGACTCCAAGTGGCGCCCACATGCGATGCCGGAGTTACAGGCAGCAACGCTACCAACTATGCCCGCACCTAGAGAAGCTCTTAAATGTGACATTGCTGAAGATCATCAAGATGTTACACTTTTGCTGTAGATTACCTCAGGTTTCCCAGCAGTGTATGATGAAAGTCATACTTTGTTCAACAGATGTTAACGAATGTCAAGAATCCAGCCCCTGTCACCAGCGCTGTTTCAATGCCATAGGCAGTTTCCACTGTGGATGTGAACCCGGGTATCAGCTCAAAGGCAGAAAATGCGTGGGTAAGCAAAGGGCTTTGGGTCCCGGCAGTGGGTCTCTAACTTCTGTCTGAGCTGGGTTTGTATGTTGTCTCCTGGGTCTGATCCATGGATGGCGCCAGCCTTGCACCAAGTCCGTAATCCATGCCGAAGCAAGATGAACTTGAATGCCACATTTTGCAGGTCTCACTTTCTAATCACATAACCTTTCCTTTTGACATTTCCCCTGTTTACTGGATTTTCTGCAAAAGTGTGTTATAAACTTCATGTGTGTTCACATATGTGTGATTGTGCATATATGGTATTAGCGTTATGTACATGTGTTAATACAGCATTATATACATACATAATTTCTCTAGGAGGAAGAAGTGATTATTATGTGCCAGCTCTATGAAGCAGTATATTTTTAAATTTTTTTTATCATTCTGTTTTACAGTAGTGTGTTTGTTATCTTGTCGGATTTAATCATTTTACCCTTACATGATTACCATGCAGTGAACATCTGTATTAGTTATAGTTTCTCTGGAAACATGGAAGACACCGTCCTCTCAATCTGCATCCCTTTTGCTCTCTTGTCAAGATGTGAATGAGTGCAGGCAGGGTGTGTGCAGACCGGATCAGCACTGTAGGAACACGCGTGGTGGCTACAAGTGCATCGATCTTTGCCCCAGTGGAATGACCAAGGCAGAAAACGGAACCTGCATTGGTGAGTGTCTGGCTGTCCCAGTGACCGAGGTCTGTTTCCCGTCAGCAGGGGACATAGGGCATCCGTGTCAGAAGTGAACGACGAGAGTCCGTTTACGCTAACAAGGAACTCTTCCTTGTTTTCACAGGTGCTCTCAGCTTCTGGTAGGGTTGGGCTCTGGGGTCCCAGGGTCGTGGCTGTACCAGGAGATGGAAGCTCACGATGGACACCAGTGACCACTTAGAGCTCCCTTCAGTCACACGATTGATTTACTTAGTTTAATATCCACATGAATTACTTTTATCTCCAATCACTTCTGTTATAAAATTGTGTGTGTGTGTGTGTGTGTGTGTGTGTGTGTGTGTAGACTTTCATGGGTTGTGGTCAATAAAAAATTTTTAGAGAGTTGTTCAAAGTTCAAAAAATAATTAGTTTACAACTGATTACTCTTGGAATGTCAAGCCAACATCCACGCAGTAGATGGATGATACTTCCCCCTATACTTGTTCTTTCTGAGCCTGTTCTGCGCCAGCCTACCTGAGTTCGCAGGGCTGGGAACAACAGTGTCTGAACAGACAAAACTGTTGCTGTCTGTGCTCTCAGGTCTGGCTTATTCCCCAGCCTCCAGCAGAATGGGATAAAAAGAAAGCAGTCTGAAACACCATGAAAGTGACACACAGAGAATTGTGCAAGAGCACCCAAGAGAGTGATTGTATCTAATAGAAGAGAGTGTCAAGGGTGCGTGGGGTGATCACACTCAAATACAGGCCTGAATGGAATGATAATCTGTGGAGATTCTAGAAAAGGAAACAAAGTCCTGTAGAAGGAGGACAAGAGCCAGACTTGGGGCTACACTGTTAAAATGTCTCTTTCCTGCCAACTCTCCGATCTTGGATGAGCCTAACAATCACATGAAAGTTAAGTTTCGTACTGCAAAAATAGCACCATTTTTCTTAAAATTTATTCTCAAATATACACTAGTAAGGCTAAGCTGTATGTTGGATTTGTTTCGGAACATGATAGGAGGAGGGAGTATATGCACAGATGAAGGAATATGGACCACCTGTTGACCGTGATTACGGTCCCTGGGGTTTACTGCACTAAACAAATAGAGCTGGGTGGGGAGATGAGACCGTGAGGATGAAGACCCTTTTCTCTCCAACATACGGCTGTAGCTGTTTTTCTCAACTCTTACGAGTGACAGCCAATACAGAGCACCATGTACAGTTACATGCAGCTGTAAATATTTTTAAGAACATTGACTGTAATTATGCATGCGCTTAATTAGAAATGAGATGAGCTTAAAGATAAGACTTTTTAAGAACCTACAGCAAAAAATCCAGCTAAGTAGGAATGGAAATGTGAAGTCATATGGCTTATATGGTTTCAATTGAAGGAAGTAGAATTACTCACAGTTGGCAGTGGAGGAAATAAATTGAAGGTGATTCTGATGTTACCATCTTGGTTGACCAGGAAGACAGGAGTCCTACTTTTATGAATAAGGAAAAGTAGATAAGACATTGAGGAGGTGCTGGACTTAACATTCTGGTGAGACATGCAGCTGGACATGGGGCTAGAGAGCAGAAAGGCTGTGGCACTGTTGCTCTAAATCTGCACGACACTACTCACACATGTATGTAAGATGGCAAGAGAAGGAAGGAGTACAAAAGGGAATGAGAAACAAAGGAGCTGACAGTAAAACTCTTCCGGTAGTGGGAAGCAGAAGGAGGAAAAGGAACCAGTAACTAAGTGGCGGGGCTGGGCCTTGAACCCAGGTTTTCTGACTCCCCAGTGGTGAGTCAGCGGGAGCTCAACCACACGGTGAGGAATGCTGCTTTGGCGGTGCTGCAGATGTTAATTTGAGATCTAATGACTTTGACTTTTGACAGAGGATTTGACACTACTGTTTATTGCCTCCCTGTCTGTAGATATTGATGAATGTAAAGACGGGACTCATCAGTGCAGATATAATCAGATATGTGAGAATACAAGAGGCAGCTACCGTTGTGTGTGCCCAAGAGGTTATCGGTCTCAAGGAGTAGGAAGACCCTGTGTGGGTAAGTTAACAGGAGCCCTTGTTGAGTAGTAACATCACCAATGTAGGTGTCTAACCTGACCAACTTGCTTTGGGGCACTCTCGCCACCCTCAAATGCTCTCTGGCTGCAATTACAAGGTATGTAAAATGGATTAAGTGATTCATAACATAATTTGGATACATTGGCATCTCTAGTAATAGTCACTGATGCTTACTGTGAGCGTGACAAAGTGCTGATGTAATTGATAATTGCCGTGGCATCTGTCAACAGTGCCTCTGATTCTCTGTACACGTAAGTGTTTGCATAGATCCATTTTATTGAGTGTGAAATATACTTATATGTAGTGTGCAGATTTGTGTATGAAAGAGAAAAATCTATAGGTGCACACAATTTAAACAAATTAATAATTATGACTGTTTGCTATATATTAAGTGCTATCTATATGCCATTCTGTGTTCTAAAAAGACCTCATTCAATTCTCCAAATTGCCTATTTCTTTCTTAGTGATAATAAAATATAAACTAAGACAGATAATAGGAAATATTTATAGGGAGATAACCATATACTTTTTAAAAATTAATGCATTTATAGCCAATAAACTAATCTATCAGATTATATTCTTCCTTGGAATACTTAAGTACACTAAAAAAAAAAAGTTTTGAACCTTTAAATACTAGCATCTGGATTTCATGCTGATTTTGTTGCCCGATTTTCCTACTTAACAATTATTTGTAGCAGACTCTCCCAGAAAGACTTGGTCATGTCTCCGGACATCTCCGCGACATTCATTTCCCATGTTCCCTCTTGGCCCTGGCACGCAGGGGAACGCGGTCGTGGAAAGAACGAGCTGGTGTGGAGCTGCCGTTCCTCTTCCCATCTCTGTGCCTCTCACTGAGCTTCCATCAGCGCCAGGCTGGGCCGGAGCATCCAGAGGTCACAGCCTCTGTGCTCCGTAGGAGCCCCTGTGCTCAGGCCCAGGGCAGGATTTGCCATTTCAGTGGAAACCAAGTGGAGATTGCTTATGACAGTGACTCTGTGCTTTGGGTCTGGATTTGCTGCACCTTTCTTACTAGAATGGAACCAAAAGCTCAAGAAATAAGGATGCTTTAGGATATCCATTTCACAGATAACAAAGAGCATTTCAAGAGGGGCTGTCTCTTTGAAAAATGGACCAAACTCTTGAACCACAGCATACCAGATATGTTTGTAAATAAACATGACATAAAAAAAAAGACTTAGCTCTGTCCTACTGTAGTCCATAGCAAAGTCGTTTCACATAGCAAATGCTAAAAGTAATTCCATCATAAGAAACCCTTCCAAAAGATATGCATTTTGATAGAATAGGTAACATCATTTTAGTCTTTATTTAGATTTGTAATTTATATATAATTTACCATCCTGATCACCCTTAAGAATGACTTATCAGAAGGAAATGTATTTGTTTCCTAATTTGACCAGAAGCTAAATGCCAGACATTGGGCTAGGAAATAATGCAGTGGAATTGGTAGGACCATTGCTCTAAAGAAATTTAAAATGTCAGCTTTCCCTGTTAAAACAGTTTTTAAAACCAAATTTAATGCTTACACTTTATCTTTTTGTTATTTTCTTTCATGCCACTGTGGGTAATGGATTAAAGAATTTGGTTTTGGTTCATGGTTTTCATTCACTTTTCCAATTTATAGGAAGTGTTACAAGTATATATTCCATGTGTTAATCTAAAAATAACTTCTAAAAATATTATAATCATAGTGAGTTTATATCTGTGTTAGTGGCTTGGCATATCATATCAAGCCCATTGCTCATTAATGCAAAAAATGTCTACTGGATATCTAATTTATGCTGGATGCTGTCCTAGGTTGTGGGATTGGAAGGCTAAACAGGGCAGGCCAGATCCCTGTCCTTATGGAGCTTAAGTTCCTGGGGAGAAACAAGAATCATAAAACAGACATGATGAGAGCTATGGGGGAAGAGAAGGCAGAGTAAAGGTGAGAGGCGATACCATGCAGGCCACCTCTCAGAGAAGGAAGCAAAGGGGCAGCTGCGTTGGGAAGGCCTGAACACAGACGTGCAGCCGTGGGACAGACATCGACGTCCTTGAGAGAGGCACGTGCTGGTGGTGAGGCAGCAACCCTCGGGCCGGTGCTGGTGGAGCCTGGTCGGGCAGAGGGTACAGAGGCCATGGTGAGGGTTTAGGTTTCCTCCAAGTGTGTGTTGGGGAGATGCCAAAGGCAGGGCGACCCACAGTGAACTACAGCTGACATTTGGAAAAGATGGTGCTGGCCACAGGTGGGCAGAAATCACAGAAGGGCAGAGACAGACGCATGAGGTGCAAGTCCACTGACATAAAGTGAGCAGGTGTGCATAGGAGAGTTACAAGTTTACAAATTCATGTCTACACATACTCAAGTGTTTCCATCATGGGCCACCAGTTAGGAAAATTAGAATTGCCTCTCAAGCATCTATTTGTCAAAAAAAAAAAAAAAAAGCAATTTAAGGGAATAAATTTTGAAAATCATTGTGTAAAGAGGTGCTATTAAGACTTTTTTGTAATTTAGTTTCATGAAAAGCACATTAATTTGGGATTCCAGACCTTTTTGTGCCGTTTTCCCCAAACTTCAGTGATTTAGGGTGTCCTTACCTCGTTGAACTTGGAAAGCTGAGTGGAGTGTTTATGAGACCTAACAGTGCCAGTGCTGCACTCACAATAAGATGTACACCAAGGAGACAAGTCCAGGAGACAAGGCCAAGGCCAGTGTATCTGGTCTTGAGGTCAGGGCCCCTGAAAGCAGAGGGGGAGGTACATTTGCAGAATTGTCAGCGACCTCTCCGCGGGAATGTTCAAATAAAGTTTGCGTGAGGGAAGCGGTGTTAGGGAGAGTCGGAGTCTGCCCGTAGGTCCGGAGCTAAATGATTAAAGCCTTCTTGTGAGTTCACAACAGTCAGGGAGAATTTCCTGGATTCCTGGCTTTGGAGGGGGACATAATGTCTTCCGTGTATTTCACAGACTGATTCCTCATGCCTGTGTTTTTGTCTTCCTCTCTCTTTTATGTATCATGGCACACGAGCAGATATTAATGAATGTGAGCAAGTGCCCAAACCTTGTGCACATCAGTGCTCCAACACCCCCGGCAGCTTCAAGTGTACCTGTCCCCCAGGACAGCATTTACTGGGGGACGGGAAATCTTGCGCTGGATTGGAGAGGCTGCCCAGTTCTGGCGCTCAGTACAGTAGCTATCAGCTGGCACGGTCCTCCGCGGTGAGGAACAGCCGTCATCCTCCGCAGCGTTACAGACACCACTCACAGCTCTACAGCTCCTACACAGAGTATAGAAACAGCAGAGCCTCTCTCGCCAGGACTAGAAGGACTATTAGGAAAACTTGCCCTGAAGGCTCCACGGCGAGCCAAGACACATGTGTAGGTAAATGTCGGCCACGTTTCCTTTCCTTTGCTATCTGGGAGCTTAGGCGCTGGCCAGAGTCGGCGTGCACAGCACCGGCACTGTTGGGGTCCAGGGGACTACCTCTCGACTCTGGGTGGCCCACTCTGAGGGTAATTGTTTTGGCACCAAAACTACTACAAGTTTTATTCAAATAAGAGATTACTTGCATGTGTGCATTCTAATAGTTTGTGTTACAGTTCCTCCTTTTGATTACCCATAAATTGAATGCTATATGGAAACAAGTTTCAGTGAGATCTAGAATGTGGGTTTTTTTAAGCAGAAGGTCTATGTGTTACCGCATAATATTGCACTGTCGGATTATGGCTACCTCTGCCTTACGCAAAAGCAGCAGGTTCCAAGTGAAATCTTCACTCCTCAGGGACTGCTTGTTCTCTGACAGCCAACATCCCAGTGACAGCTGCCTTCTCTCTGTACGACACCTGTCACTGAGAGTGTGAGCGAGGACAAGATTAAGTTGCTTCCATTGCTCTAAAACATGTGCGTTCGATAGCTTTCTCTCAGTTCGCAGCACTAATTTCTTGTTTGCAAAAGTGAAGTGCAGTTTCCAGCTGAGACCCTGTTTTCCGTTAAGTTGCAAGCATTGCCACCTGCCATTCCTTTAACTGATGCTCTGTGAGTGTGCACAGTGTGTGTGTCATTGAGCTGGGCCCCAGGGGAACGAGCAGGCGGGAATTAGGCCCCGATTCGTGAGCTGCAAAACATGAGGCAGAAAGGGAGGCCGGGCGGGAAGAAACCTATTTCCCTCCATTCCTCTTTTGAGTTCTACACTGTGCTCACGCTTGCCCGAATGTGCTCTGATCACACACTTCTAGACCGTTCTTCTCTGACTTTGCCTGTGGCTGTGTCGCTGTCTGCCCTTCTCCTTTCTGGAAGTGCTCCCTCGGCCAGATTGAGGTGGACCCAGCTTGTCACACCACCTCCCCCTCCCTCTGAGAACTCAACCTTTACCCTGTGTGTTAGGGGCTCGTGGTTTTCTAGAACTTTGCTGTCTAGATGCCCAGATGTACCTGAGTCTAAGGATGACCAACATGAAACTTCTCTTGCGAGCAGCTTCCCAGAACTGTGAACAGTGCCGGTTTCTTACCTCTTTTTGCTGTAGACCTTCGTACATTCATGGCAGCTTTCTACATTTGGTCCCCTTTAGTCAAAGACCATTCAGCTACTGAGTCTGTGGACTCCACCATCTTTGCTGGTATGTCAAGTGCCAGCCTCAGCCTGCTCCAAGCCATTCTGAGTGTTGGTGATCTTCCAGCCCTACAGTTAACCTGACTCCATTAGCTAGAACTTTACATGAGCCTGTGTTGGTAGAATTCACATCTGACCTGTTGTATTTCCAAGAGTCTTTCAGACAGTCTTGCCCACTGGAGGGTTTTCATAGCCTGTTACCATCCAACTCTTAGCATTTATTTTAAACAAGTTATTTTTTTTCTTTTCTGTCTTTACCCTCTTGCCCCACAATATTTGCTTATCCTGTGGTAAAAGGATTAAACCACACTCCCCACACTATATACCACCTTGCTGGACTCTTGTAAGTTATCTGAAGATCCAAGTCGTGTTAGGAAAGTTTCCCAGATTATTAACCCAGTTCTCCATTTCTTCATCACTGTCTGCAGTTGCGTTTCATCATAGTCGTCTTTGTGTTTACATCATGCCAAGCTACTATTTATCAGAATGTAACAGTCATCTACTGTCTAAAGATGCTTCTGTTTTGGAGTGATGATCCAACTTAGATCATCTAATGTAGACTTCTAGAATTATTCACTTCCTGAATATTTCCTTTTATGCGGGGTCAATTACCAGGCTTAGATATCCCATAAAATATGAACTGTTACTGTATTCGGACTAATAAAGAAATTTACACCAAGACTGCAGACAGCTGTGGAATTATGTAACAACAGCAACTTGTAATAAATGCCAAATGCCTTTAATTAGCCATCTGGGAAAGACAAGTCACGAAAGATGTTAGTGCTATGGAATCTTGTTATACTTGGGCTATAATTTAGGTTTCGAAGATGTTGATTGCAAAGCTTAACAGGAAGAATGAATATCGTATTGCTTCTGAACACAAAAATCATCTATGGCCATTCCACTCTGAACATGCCCAATCTCGTCTGAACTCAGAAATCACATATGGGGCCTCCATACTAACTACTTGGAGTTCAGCATCATTTACTTATTTTTTAAGATTTATTTATATTGAGGGAGCTCCAAGATGGTGGAATAGGGAGGGAGCACACTGATAGTCCGGGAAAAGATAGTTTAATAAAAAGTGGAGATGCTGTAGTCTCAGAGAAGAGTTAGGGGAAAAAACTGCAGAGGAAACTCTTCCGGAACTAGTGGGACACAGTGAACCTATGTGGAGGGCACAGGCACCCACAGCTCTGGACCCCAGCTGCCGAATCTATGCACCAGCGCTGGAAAGGGAGGTGAGGCGAAACCACAGCAGCCCGAGACACTGGCGGAAGAGCGGCATGAAGAGCCTAGAGGGAACGAGGCTTGAAGCCCCATGGGGGAAAGTTCACCAGCCTAACTAGAGGAGAGAAAAAAATAAAAAAAAAGGGACTGGTACGGACACGATTCTCTCTGTCCCCTCACCTTACAAAGATGGGGAAAACAATACAGCTAGTGCCATTTTGGACATATGTTAACAGCTGCGCCAGCTCAGGGCTGTGCCTGCCCTCAGCCAAGCAGAAAAACCTGACTCTGATGGGGAGAAATAACGGGAGGTTAAGACCTAGTGAATGTGTGGAGCTTATGAACTGGGACTGTGAAAAAAAAAAAGCTGAGTGTTTGTGGGAGAACTCACAGTGTGACTGAGACGTGAGTAGTCTTGGTGTGAGACGCCACAAACTCGGTAACCTTGGCAACCCGGTGGGAGACACTGCGGGGGCATCTGAGCTTACACTGAGGACTGCACAGATCCTTTGTGTGGTCCTTGGGACAGAGCAGATGAATACTATACCCACTGGGGCTAGTGCTCAGACACTGACTGCCTTCAAGGAGAAGAGCTCAGCTGTGCGGAATTACTTCCCTTCTGAATTAAAAAAAAGAGAAAGAGAAGATTTACCACGCCAAACCTGGGTGTGTCACCTTAGGAACACCCTTAACCCTGAAGAACTGAACAGAGCTCTCTGGCCACACCCACCACAAGCCTCTAGAGATTCACCAAAAGCAGACAGTCCACTTAATCTAGAGTCATAGTATAACGAGAAAAGCCACCACAGCGAGGAAAAAAAAAAAAAGAAAGAAAGAAACCAAAGAATATCTCCACAATGCCAAACAAATGCAGAAACCAAGGAAACAAGAACAAGGAAGATATTATGATGCTCCCAAATGAACATGACACTCCAATTCAAGATTATGAAGATGATGAGAGAAGAAATGCAAGATACGAATTTCAAAAAATTTATGATAAGAACATCTAGGAGTTCTCAAAAACAAATTCATGAACTACAGAAATCCATACTGGACAGGACAGAAAATCTCTCGTGAAAATGAAATCTTAAGCAGGAGTCAAAATGAAATGAGGAATTAATAGAACATAAAATTGTGATATTGAAGAGAAATCTAAATGAAATGAAGAATTCAATAGATCAAATGACAAACTCATTAGAGAGCCTTAAAAATAGAGTCAGTGAAACAAAGAAACTTAGAAGACAGAGCACAGGAAAGTATACAGTCAAACCAAAGAAAAGAAGAGGATTTTAGAAATCTAAAACATATGGCCGGTGCTGCAGCTCACTAGGCTAATCCTCCACCTTGCGGCGCCGGCACCCCAGGTTCTAGTCCCGGTTGGGGCGCCAGATTCTGTCCCGGTTGCCCCTCTTCCAGGCCAGCTCTCTGCTGTGGCCAGGGAGTGCAGTGGAGGATAGCCCAAGTGCTTGGGCCCTGCACCCCATGGGAGACCAGGAGAAGCACCTGGCTCCTGCCATCGGATCAGCGCGGTGCGCCAGCCACGGCGGCCATTGGAGGGTGAACCAATGGCAAAGGAAGACCTTTCTCTCTGTCTCTCTCTCTCACTGTCCACTCTGCCTGTCAAAAATATAAAAAAATAAGAAATAAAAAAATAAAAATAAATCTAAAAATATTGTTGGGAATCTATAGGATACTATTCAAAACCCAACATTTGGGTTCTAGGAGTTCTCTCTCTCTTGAGAGAGAGAGAGATAAAGGATTAGACGGCCTTTTCACTGAAATAATAGCAGAAAACTTCCTGGGTTTGGAGAAGGACAGAGACATCCAAGTACAGGAAGCTCACAGAACCCCCAATAAACATGACCAAAAGAGATCCTCACCACGACACATTGTAATCAAACTCACCACAGTGAAACATAAAGAAAAGATTCTAAAATGTGCAAGAGAGAAACATCAGATTACTCTCAGAGGATCTCCAATTAGACTCACAGCAGAGTTCTCATCAGAAACCCTACAGGATAGGAGGGAATGGTGAGATATAGCCCAAGTACTAAGAGAAAAACTGCCAGCCCAGAATATTACATCGTGAAAAGCTCTCATTTGTGAAGGAAGGTGAAATAAAGACCTTTCATAGCAAACAGAAATTGAAAGAATTTGTCGCCACTCATCCAGCCCTGCAAAAGATGCTTAAAGATGTGTTACACTCAGAAACACAGAAACACGGCCATCAATACGAAGGAAGGTAAAGGACGGAAACCTCACAGCAAAAGATCACAGGAAGTTCAAAGCAAATATTAGAAATATCTTTGGGAAATGGCAGGGCAAAGTTACTACTTATCAATAGTCACATTGAATGTTAATGGCCTCAACTCTCCAGTTAAAAGACACAGATTTGCTGAATGGATTAAAAAACAAAACCCATCTATTTGCTGCTTACAAGAAACACATCTTTCCAACAAAGATGCATGCAGACTGAAAATGAAAGGTTGGAAAAAGATATTCCATGCCAACAGAAATGAAAAAAGAGTGGGTGTAGCCATCTTAATATCAGACAAAATAAACTTTAACACAAAAACTGTTAAGAGAGACAAAGAGGGGCACTATATAATGATTAAGGGATAAATTCAACAGGAAGATGTAACTATTATAAATGTATATGCACCTAATTACAGGGCACCAGTTTATTTAAAATATATTTATATTTATATTCATTTATTTACTTGAGAGGTAGAGTTACAGGAAGAGGGAGAGAGAAATCTTCTGTCTGCTGGTTCATTCCCCAAAAGGCCACAATAGCAGGAGCCAGGCCAGACCAGAGCCAGGAGTTCAACCTGCATCTCCCACACGGGTGCAGGGGCCCAAGCACTAGGGCCATCTTCCACCGGTTTCCCAGGCACATTAACAGGGAGCTGGATCAGAAGTGGAGCAGCCAGGACTCAAACCAGAGCCCATGTGGAATGCAGCATCACAGATACCAGCTTAATCCACTATGCCACAATGTGGCCCCTCAACATCATTTAAATTTCTGTTGTTATTCTAGGTTACATCATATTTTAGAGGAGAAAAAGAATAAGTTACACAAGTTGCATGATTAATACTTTGGTTAACTAGAATGATTCAGAAATATTGACAGATGTTCGATAAGTGTTTATCATTAAGATTTTGAAGCATTGCACTTACATATTCAGCACACACAAAACGCGCAGGGTGAACAGATCCTTTCTCTGAGTCATCTCCCAGTTCTCATCTTGTCGTCTTTTTAGTCCCAGCCTGAAGCATTCCTGTTCCTATTTCATGTCGTGTCCTCTCCTGTCTTCCACTAGTTAATCTTCACACGGTGACCCTTCACAGATTTAAATACAAGTTAGGCTTCACGCCCCTTATTTTAAAAGCAAGTATCAATTAATTTTGAATTAGCATGTATTTTCACTCTTCTTCCTTTTCATTCTTGGCTTTGTTTAGTAATAGCGCGTAGCCCTGTTATAGTTTATAAAATGTTTTCCCAGCTGGCATTGGGCCCCCTAGGTTAATCCTCCGCCTGCAGCCGGCATTCCATATGGGCACTGGATTCTGTCCTGGTTGCTCCTCTTCCAGTCCAGCTCTCTGCTGTGGCCCAGGAAGGCAGTGGAGGATGGCCCAAGTGCTTGGGCCCCTGCACCCACATGGGAGACCAGGAGGAAGCGCCTGGCTTCTGGCTTCAGATTGGCACAGCGCACCAGCTGTGGCGGCCATTTGGGGATTGAACCAATGGAAGGAAGACCTTTCTCTCTGTCTCTCTCTCTCTCTCTCTCACTATCTAACTATGCCTGTCAAAAAAAGAAAAGAAAAGAAAAAGAAAATGTTTTCCCATCTGTTCCTGCATACTAACCTTCCAGCTAACCTGCGAAGTGCATGGATGGTCTCGGTGTCCCCCTTCAGTGGGAGACTCAGCTGAGACCATAAGAAGCTGGGTGGGCTGCCCAAGGTAGCACAGCAACTGTATGACAGCTCTTCAAAATGTTAATGGAAAATAGAATTAAGAAGTTATTATGGATAAATAAATACATAAATGATAATTTTGAAATCCTTGCTTTTTTTCATAGTTTCCATTTCCATGAACTTTTTGACATGCCCTCATCTGTATTACTGTTAGTACTTTGCAATCATTTGAAAAAGTGAGTGAATATTTCTACCACAGAAATAAAAACATGTCTCTCTGATAACTACAATAGGAAAGCCATGCCTGGGTGTGGGAACAGGGATGAAGAGACACAGCCGACACTTGAAGAAAAACCAATCCTCCTTTTTCCATTTAATGTCCTCAGAAAAATCTATCTTTTAGGTAAATTCTGCCATTCTGTCAGGAGTGGTTTAAGATCTTGTATAAATCTGTCACCTCCATCATTTCCATCTTACTTATTGAACTGTTATTAAATTAACCATCTTGGAACCTCTGCTTACTTATGCTTATAAAAAGGCCTTGGAGACATTTGTGTTTCATGCTATAGTGCACTATTGTACTATATCTTGTACATTAAAGACAGATTGTACTGTGTTTAGTAAATTCAAGACCATATTTAGAACACTGAGGACAGATCCTGATATAAAACAGCTCCGAGCATTTTTAAACACATGAACATAACATCAACAAGATTTCCTGTTGTGTGCCAACAACTTTGTGCTAGTTGGCTTTGTCATAGCGTCTGCCCATATTGCCTGATTACTCTCTGCTTTCTTTCTGCACAGATATTGACGAATGTGAAACCAGAGACGTTTGCCAGCATGTGTGCAGAAATACTTTTGGAAGCTATCAGTGCCTCTGTCCTCCTGGCTATCAGCTCATGCTCAATGGAAAGACGTGCCAAGGTGAGAAAACGCTGGGGTGTTGACTGGCGCAACCTGACTTAACACGGTTGTTGGAGAGCATGAGAAGTGTCCGTGGTTTTGTTTGTTTGTTTTTTGAGTAATTGATTATTTTGCTGGTTGCACCCACCTCTTTTCCATTCTCATTGGCCAGACATATGTTTAGACCTTGCTTTTGCAAGTAGGAGAAGCAAGGAGAAAGCAAAGGAGAACCAGTGAGAACATGTTTGTGTGGTCTCACTGGAAGGAACAAGACTGCCTCAGCCAGTTCATACTATGTATTTTCAAAATTTAATGGGAATTTTTCCACAATTCAGCTGAGATTGAAGTAGGAATGAGAAGAGTACTCAGCTTAGTTTAGGGTTGGGCATTATTTTGTATTTTGTATCTCTCAGGCATATTTCTATAGTAATCAGTGGGTGATTGATTAAATTTTAGCAACAAACAAAATAAGATTAAAACTACCATTCATTCCTTGAGTCTACAAATAATATGGAACAATCAAGTGCCAAAAGAGGTAAATGAAGGTACTGTTACTCTTTTTTTAAAAGATTTGTTTATTTATTTGAAAGAGTTACATAGAGAGAAGAGAGGCAGAGAGAGTGAGAGAGGTCTTCTATCCACTGGTTAATTCTCCAATTGGCCGATCCAAAGCCAGGAGCCAGGAGCTTCTTCCGGGTCTCCCATGTGGGTGAAGGGCCCAAGGACCTAGGCCATCCTCTACTGCTATCCCAGGCCATAGCAGAGAGCTGGATAGGAAGTGGAGCAGCCGGGTCTCTAACCGCTTCAGGCAGGGTTTAACTTGCTGCACCCAGCACCAGCCCCACAGTTACTCCTTCTAAGACCTCCCAGTCCAGCAGAAGCAGTCATGTAAATAAATTGAAGTACCAGCTTATAGATTTTATAACAGTTTAGAGCAAAGTAAAGTGATGATGGAAACGAAAAAAAAAATATTTCAATAGATCCTTTTTTACATGTGGAAGGAGCCTTGCACTTTGGTGCAGTTTATTTTTTTTTTAAGATTTATTGATTTATTTGAAAGTTGGAGTTAACACAGAGAGAGAAGGAGAGGCAGAGAGAGAGGAGAGGTCTTCCATCCCGTTTCACTCCCCAAATGGCCGCAACAGCTGGAGATGCACCAATCCAATGCCAGGAGCCAGGAGCTTCTTCCGGGTCTCCCATGCTAATGCAGGTGCCCAAGGACTTGGGCCATCTTTGACTGCTGTCCCAGGCCATAGCAGAGAGCTGGAATTGAAGTGGAGCAGCTGGGACTCCAACCGGTGCCCACATGGGATGGCACACTGCAGACGGCGGCCTTACCCGCTACACCACAGTGCCGGCCCCTGTGCAACATGTCCTGGCTTACAAAGAAATAAGAAGACGTTGCATAGCCCTTTAAAATCCTCTGAGGAACCCTTCTATTTTGTGGTCAGCATCTAGGGGCATCATCTAGGTCTTACTAAGTTTCTGAATCCTACTAGTTTCATTTAGCAGAGCAAGTAAGATCCCTTAAAACAGAAAAATCAAATTTACCCTGAATTTGGCCTCTCCGGGGAATTCACTAAAGACTTCCTGGGATGCAGCCCATGGGAAATGTGCCCCAGGAGGCCAGACCGTGATGGACAGCGGCCTCCCCTCAGTTGCTGTGAGGCGCCCACCCCACCCCTACTTATGTGCCCATTCACAGTCCCTGAGAGCCTCACTGGACCCACGGGCTGGAGAAGGAACTGGAGCTGGGTAAGTTCCTCCGCTCCCAGCCATCATTCACCAAGCATTTATTAACAACCTACGCATGTGGAACATGTTACTGAGATTTGAAGTACACAAGCAACGCATTTATATGCCAGTGTTGGGTTTTTTCCAAAGCAGCTATTATTTCATTTTAATCAGCCATATAGCTATGTTAAAGCAATAATTTGTACCCCTGGTACAGATAATAAAACACTCTCAGAGGGATTATGTCAGCCTCAGTTTTCCAGAATTGTCAAAAGCCGGGTAAGACTTGGTCTCAGATCTTATGTCTCTGAATCTAGTCCTTTGTCCTATGATGCTGTGTACCTGGGCCTTGCCCTGTGGTAGCCAGATAAAGCAGGAACACTGCCTTTGTCCCTGTGTTGCGACTTGGCCCAATTCTGCAGCCCAGGAATCTTCCTAAAAGAACACTCCTGCACAGTGTGGGAACTACCCCTGTACATGTGCACCCCGTACCACAGAAGGAAACAGTAGATACCAAAGTATTTCAGATGACCAACCAAACTGCAAAACCTGTAGCCAGACATTAAAGGGTTATCTTGTGTTCTTATTAAAGAGATCTTTCATCTTTTCTAAATTATGTCAGTTTCATTTTTAATTGCTCCTGTCACTCATTAGTTCCAAACTTTTTCCGGTTTTGCTTCAGAGAGTGGAAAATAATGTGAACAAATCAGAAACAGGCATCATCGGAACTGTTTGCAGTTTAAATAGGTTACATATTTTTGTGGTTTTAAAAAGACATGAGAGAAAATAATTATGCCTTTTAAAGAAGCCTTTACTCCAAAGAATAACTTAGGGTCTTTTTATAGCTTTGGAAAATGTTTGAGGCATTTATGAGGAACAAAAGACCGCTTTTTATTCATGTGTGATTTTGTAAAGCTTTCTACATTAGTATAGAAATACCAGTAATAAAAAATTAAAGTGAATTTGACATTGAACACAGACTCTACTCAGAAGTGGAAATAACCAGACTTCAAAATGGAAAACAAAAAGTATGACCAATCAAGATTGGCCAAAGAAGCAGCGAGGAGAAACTCAAAGATCTTTTGACCAATTTTATGCCCCACTAAGCTAATTCTAAAAATTTTTGACGTATCACATTGGCATTACATTTTAAATAAGTAATTCGTTTCTGAAACAGAGAGAAAGAGGTCTTGCATCGGCTGACTCAATCCCCAATTGGCTGCAGTAGCCAGGGCTAGGCCAGGCTGAAGCCAGGAGCCTGCAGCTCCATCCAGGTCTCCCACATAGCTGGCAACAGCCCAGGCATTTGGGCCACCATCCACTGCTTTCCCAGGTTCATTAGCAAGGAGCTGGATTGGAAGCAGAGCAGCTGGAACTCAAACTGGCACGCCAGTGTGGGATGCCAGCGGCACAGGCAGGAGCTTAACCCACTGCACCACAACTCCAGCCGCAAGATGTTTATTGAGAATCTGAATTACTTCTACTTTCTAGGAGACAGATGTTTCAAATAGACTTACCCTAGATTACTTTGTACTATTCAGAAGTACCTTTTTTTTTTTTTTTTGACAGGCAGAGTTAGACAATGAGAGAGAGAGACAGAGAAAAAGGTCTTCCTTTTCCGTTGGTTCACCCCCCAGATGGCCGCCACGGCCAGCACGCTGCACCGATCCAAAGTCAGGAGCCAGGTGCTTCTCCTGGTCTCCCATGCGGGTGCAGGGCACAAGCACTTGGGCCATCCTCCACTGCCTTCCCGGGCCACAGCAGAGAGCTGGACTGGAAGAGGGGCAACTGGCACAGAACCGGCGCTCCAACTGGGACTAGAACTCGGGGTGCCAGCGCCGCAGGCAGAGGATTAGCCTAGTGAGCCGCAGCACCGGCCCAGAAGTACTTTTTAAAATGCATTTAAGTATTCTAAAGCTATTAATAGAAAAGTTTTCCAGCTCATTATGAGATTCTTTTCTTATAGTAATATTCATATTTTAAGAGACCTGTACTTTCACTTCTGCCATGGTTATATTCTGATTTGGTAAAACCCAGACATTCCTAGATTTGTCCATTACTAGAAGATAACAAATACTATTTTTGTGTTATCTTTCTGGGTTTTTTAGGAACAGTGAGAAGTTCAGGTACCTGTAGTTTCCTAATAGTGGCTAGACTGTAATAGACCAAAACCCAAGGAAGGCCAACGAGCCGGAAGCTCTGTACTCAGGAGAGGAGAGACTTGTGGGAACAGTGTACATTATTAGGCACTAGGATGAGCACTTTGTGTATTGGATTCTGATTGTTTGCTCGTGGATTCCTGTTCAGCCGGTATGTGACACCAGGGATGTGGGTCCAGACCTAACTCCGAGCAGCCATCATCCTGGGCCCCTGCAGCCCACCAGCCTCTGTGTTTTCTCATGAGTTCACTGTGAAAATTAGGCATAAAATGAGATTTGGATGCTGGGTATGAAAGCAAAACTTTGAGTGAGAGAAAGGAAGACAACCAGCTTCATTCCTGGAGTGGAGAAGGCTGCCCTCTGGCTTCTGGTCAGCCACTCCCACAGCGTCTGGCATCATGGTCTCCTTGCTGATGCCGCGTGTTCCCCGTGCTGTCCTAGATGTTGACGAGTGTCTGGAGCAGAGCACGAGCTGTGGGCCCAACCGCATGTGCTTCAACACGAGAGGAAGCTACCAGTGCATCGACACGCCCTGTCCTCCCAGCTACCGGCGGGATGCTGTGTCAGGGTAGGTCTCCACCTCTCGGTCCTGACCGGCGCGTGAAAACCCTTCCTCTGCCCTTGACCCTCACGATCGTGTGTGTGGCCAGGTGTGACCTGGGGGCGTAGGGCTACAGTGAGTTCCCCTTCCAGGGAGCGGGAAGAAGAGCTCATTGCACAGTAGCCACTGGGATGAGGCGGCCGTTCCTCCCAGCCTGTGTCCGTGGAGCAGCATCCGGCCTCGTGGCCAGCTCCTCATGGTGACAGCCTGCCTTTCGTGGGGATTTCCTGGCCGCCAGGTGTGTGGCCTCCGCTCTGGGTGCGATCCTGTCCTTGCGATCCAGATCCAGACTGCTCTGGGGGCAAGGGCATGAGCAGGCGTGACTCAACGTCTGCCCTCTCGTAGCCTTTGCTTAGTCCCTGCTGTCTGCAGTAGTCCCTTCTGGGCCCCGAGTGAACAGCTCTCTATTTTCTTGCTCCTCGCACAGAGATGCTGTACTCAGTCCAGGCGGTGAGTTCACAGGTGCTGGGAGACAGGCGACGCTGGGCGTTAGTAAGAGGGCGTCTCCCAACCAGGCTCTCGGGGGCGCTCACACTTGGTCCTCCCCGCCGAGACGCCTGCCGTGTTCCTGTGCCGGAGCTCAGCGCGGCTGCCCGGAATCCACCAAGAGGCTGCCTGTAACCGGCCTGGTGGGAATAGGAGGGGACGGAGCAAGTGAGAAATACAGACTGATGAAACCTAAAAACGCCGTGGCTGAAAAATCTGTATCTTCATAAAAATGACTCTCTGTGCGCTTTTTTCCTCTTTATTATCCGTGATTTCTGGCAAATAATTTAAAAGTCACGATGACTCAAAACACAGTGTGGGCCCTGGAGAAAGAAAATACAGTTTTCCTATAAAATAATGTCGATGATAATTACAAAGGGAAGTCCCTCCACAAGGATCTCAGTTGACCTTTTATTATTTTTAGAAAAATAAACCAGATGTGTCCTATTTCAGCTTTCAAACAGCATCAGGATAGATGTTAACATTTAAAAATAGCTTGTATTCTTCTCTAAGAAACGCTCGTCTCCAGTATATGTGCAGGTGCCTTTATTTCCAACACTGACTGCTCCTCTTAAAGCAAGCTCTCTCGTGGTACCCAGGCTTCTGATCTGGCAGAGCTGAGGGAGATGCGGGTGCAGAGCAACACACGCGCCTGGCCGTCAGCATCTGCCTTGAGTGGGAGCCACGGCGCGTGGCTGAACCCTCTTGCTCCTGCAGTGGGGCTGGCTGCTGTGTCTGCTGCCGCCCAGGTGTCGCGGCTCACAGACCCCGCATCACGCCTCTGCTTCCAAGATGGTTGACTGTGCGCGTTTCCTGTGTTTGTCGTCCTTAGGTTCTGTCTCAAGAGCTGTCCGCCCAATGATTTGGAGTGTGCCTTGAGCCCATATGCCTTGGAGTATAAACTTGTCTCCCTCCCATTTGGAATAGCTGCCAATCAGGATTTGATCCGGCTGGTGGCGTACACTCAGGAGGGGGTGATGCACCCCAGGACGACTTTTCTCATGGCAGATGAGGAACAGGCTGTGCCTTTTGCCTTAAGGGATGAAAACCTAAAAGGAGTGGTGTACACGACCCGGCCACTACGAGAGCCGGAGACCTACCGCATGAGGGTGCGAGCCCTATCCCGCAGTGCCAATGGGACCCTGGAGTACCAGACCACGTTCATAGTTTACATAGCTGTGTCTGCCTACCCATACTGAGGAGCCCTGCAAAGCTTGGTCCACATATGTAAATCACGGTAACCATGGCAACCACATCCCCTTCCAGATGACTGTGTCTTGCACAGTTGCAATCTTGGCAACTTGAAAATGGTGCTATGTTGTGTGTGCCCTCCCTGGTACCACCCAGGTCCTTCACGACCCCACCATGGCCATCTTGCAGTAAAGTCTGGAGAAGTCCCTTCTTTTTGTCTTTATTTATTACACTGGAGCAGTCACTTCCCAACGATTCTGAATACCTTTCAGGACACATCAGTGATACTTTAGAATACCACAGTAGCTGGGGTGATTTTCCTTAAAAGCAACTAATTCAAAGTCAAGATTTTTGAGCATCTGTCTTTAGAACAATAAAACCAGCTGTTCTGTGTTTTTATCAAACCTTATGCAATGAATTATGAAGCTGTTTATTAATGCTTTATAAAAGGACTTGGACACCCATTTCACTCTAAGGAAGAGAAGCACCCATCATTTCAGGAATGCACTGCCGCTACGAGAAGGTCCACCCCACGTGGGGCTTGCCTCAGCTGAACATCTGAGTGAGGGTGATGCCTTCAGTGATGCTGTGGAATCAGCTAACATGTAGAGCAACGAAAAGACGTTCTCTTGTCCTCCGATGATTTTCCTCAGACCTGGATCTTTGCTGTGACGTTTGATATAACCTTCCGTTCATTTAGCTCTGTAGCTTTTATATTCCAGATTTTTTTTTCTGCAAATGAAAACAATGTTTTAAAAACCAATAGGACAGGTTTCTTTTTTTATCTGATATACTCAAAATCACATAAATATTAAACGTCAACACACTGTACATGGTGGTAACAGGCTCTATAAGCAATTGGCAAGATGTATTCTATTTTTATTAAGTGTATATATGTATTACCTAGTGTGTATTTTCTATATAATATCATATAATATGTTGGACTCTTATAAAATTATTTTATAAAAAAACAATGTTACAGTAAAATCAGCTGAAATAAAATTTTCACATCCTTTTTCTTAACTTTCTTGAGCATCTACCATCTTTTCTCGTGCTGACATCAAGTCTAAAGTCTGCAGTCACGCATATGAGCGCATGCACACCCAGCAGCCTTTGAGGTGGTCAGTTTTGCGGTCAAGGTCCTGGACACGGATAACTTGAATAACTTTCTGAAGACAGCGCAGCTGGTGGGGGCAGAAATGACCTGCTCCCTCCCTCTCTGACATCAAGTCTACTGCTTCCTCTCTGGGTGATGGTTTCCTCCTCCTCAGGAGTTTTCTTATTCCCATCTCAAGTGAATTCAGCTCCCACCTGCAGTAGGAATTACCCTAGCAAAGGCCTAAGTGTGACCTCTGATTGTACCCAGAATGACATTGAAGGCCAGCATTGTCACACAGCAGGTTAGGCCACAGACTGCGACACTGGCATTCCTGATGAGCCCCAGTTCGGGTAATGGCTGCTCCACTTCCAACTCAGCTCCTTGCTAAAGTTCCTGAGAAGACAGAAGAAGATGGCCCAAGTGCTTGGTTCCCTTGCTTCTACTTGGGAGACCCAGGTAAAGCTACTGGCTCCTGGCTTTGGCCCGGCCCATTCCCAGCATTGAAGCCATTTGTAGAGTGAACCGGAAGATGAGAGATCTCTCTCTCTCTCTCTCTGTTTCTATCCCCTGTATCCCCTCTCTGTATGTCTTCCTTTCAAATAAATAAATAAATCTTTAAAAAGAAAAGAAACCCTGGAAAAATTGTCTAGTCTGCAGCCTGTTAGGCCAGTGATTGTCTTAATCAGTGGTTACCAAAGAATGTTCTGCAGAACGCTACATAAGAAAAGGTACTCCAAGCCTAGAAAACAGTGTGTAGTGTATCCCCATGGAAGATTTACTATGAACCTGACATATAAAGGATCCTAAAGTCCAGTAGTAAAAGGATTTCATTTATTCAAGCCAGCATTCCCCCAACTATTTAATCACAGAGCTTTTCCTGCCTGATGTATTACAGTTCCTCTCTGAACATTTGTAGACATGCTAACGCAGTACCATCAAGATCTCTTGCCTCACCCTCTGTCCCTAGATATGAGACACTTTATAGCCTACTCGGGTACCCAACTCCAGCACACGACCCTGACCATCGAGCTTCTTTCTACATTAAACACATTGACTTTGCTCATTTCCTTTGCCCTCTGTTCTCAAGTGTGGGCAGTGACCCGACGTGAGCTCCTACACAATCATTACTACAGTATTTGACTTGGAGATTATTATGTGGAGCCAGAAAGTCCAGCCAGAGCCAGCTCTTTTCATGCAGCTTCCTTGAAACTTCTCCCGAGCACCCCAGGTGGTCAGGCAGTTAGGCAAGAACAGCAAGCCCAAAGGTCCCTTCGAATGACGGGTGGGGCGGTGAAGTCCGCCCTCCTGGCATCTGGCGTAGCTGTGAGGACCAAGCCCACATCTGAGCCTGCAAGTTTCATCAGCGCTCCAGACGGAAGGAAGGACTCTCACAGGTGATGTTAGTCTCCAGTGTCTGTGTAGTCCCTTACGTGTCGTGTGGAGTCCACCTGCAGTAATTAGTTACTGCCTCTGTTGTTAAAGCAAGCAGCAGAGCAGTCTGCCCCAGGGGTCAGCAAACTCCCCCACAAGGGCCAGATGCTAAGTATTACAGGCCTTCGGTCATCTGGTCTCTTGCTCCTTCTATCCTGTTTGGCAAGAAAGCAGCCATAAGTAACACATAAATGTGTGTTTCAGCAACTCTGTTTACAAAACCAGGCTAGAGTAGGCCTGTGGACAGTTGTTTACCTCTGATCTACAAAGTGTTTATCACTCTGTCAGTCACATCAGCCAAGTCTAAGTTCAGACAAAGCCTCTGACAGTTCTTCAGCAGGATGGTGACCTCCTCGTGCACAGTGCTGTGGCCATCTACAACCCTGTCTCCTCCTCTACGTTCACCCAGCCTGCTGTGAGGTCTGCAGTTGGGTTCAAGCCCCAGTCTCCTTCATAAACATGCACATACATGCTTTGCAGGGCAGGCTCACAGCAAACACCCAAACAGTCCATCATCAAAGTGTTCCAGGTCAGCCAAAGATGCAACACTCCCAAGGCACATTCCATCTGTCCCACCGGCTGCCGCATGCTTTCATTTGACCTCTCCGCTGATGCAAACTTAGGCCTCCAACATAGGATTAACCCAAACCCCACCTACATACCGCCTGCTCTCCTGCGGCCTTCACACTACAGCAGTGGTGGGCCTCACTCTGTCCAGTGAGGCGGAAGCAGAAGCCACTTGGCAGGACTTCTGAGAAATCGCTCTGCAAGCAGATGGTCTTGGTGGCATGCCAGCTTGGTCTTTCTCCTTTTCCATCTTCCCGTGCTCAGGATATGGAGAAGGGTGAAGCAGCCATATTGCAGCAATGAAGCAGCGGCTCCAAGGATAGAAGACCATGTGCTAAAGATGGGAAGAAAGGAAAGGAAGGAGGGAGCACTTGGGACCTCAGGTTACAGAGTTGAAGCTCTCGATCAACACTAGAGCAGTCACCCCAGGATTTTGGGTTGTCTGGGAACCATAAGCTCTTGCTTACTTGAGCCATTGTTCATCGCAGTCTCTGTTGACAATTCAAGACATTCATGCCTTCAGATGGACCCTCCAAACTGGTCTCTCCTGGCTGTCTTAACTGTATAACCGTTCATCCAGTTACTCCAGCTGAAACCTGGATTGACTGATAATCTCTCACACCCCACCCCTCTGCCCACCTTCAGTCCACCTGAGTGTAACTACATCTGCACTGCTACCATCCTAGGCAAGGCCACCACAGACTCCCCCTCCTAGTTGGTTCCTTTGCCGTGCCTGCCCTGCTACGCCCCATTTCCTACAAGATTGAGTTCTTAAGAACATCTGTCCTATCAAGTCACTGCATCAGTGGTTTCCCGTTCCTCTGCCATGACCTAATGGTGTTAGGGCCTCTGGCTTCTCTCCAGGCTGTCTGCTTAGACGAGCTGGAACTGCACTAGCTCACTAGGCTGTTCAGAGTGCGGAGCACAGGAGATACTTGGCATGGGATTTGGAACGTGGAAGCGAGGCTCTGGCCATATTGCTTTTACATGTGGAGGTCATTGCCAGAGTCCCTAGAGCTGCTGCAGGTCATAGGCCCTGCCCCGGCTGTTAGCTCTTGTGGTGCAGGACAGCAGTCGGCCCGCAGCTGTCCACCTCCCGCCGAATCCTCCTCCAGCAGAGCCCAGCTTTCCCGCGTGAGCCCTAAGTCAGTGAAGTTGGAGAACGGCTGCGAAGGGAACGGTCTCCCTGAGATGTGTGTGGAAGCCCTAACTCCCGGCGTGCCAAGGTCCACCAAGGAGATCCAAGGGTGGGATCTTCATCTGACAGGATTGGTGTCCTTACAGGAAGAGCCACCAGAGACCTCTCCCTCTCTCCTGGGAAGGCACAGAAGACAGCCATCTGCAAGCCAGAACAAGAGCCCTCACCAGAAACCACACCTTGCCAGACTCCAATCCTGGGCCTCCCAGCCTCCGGACCTGTGGGAAAACAAATCTGCATTGCCTCATCCTTGCAGCCCACAGCATGTGTGTGCCAGCCGGAGCTGACTAACACGCCACAGACACCGCCCAGGCTCCTGCCTGTCCTCGCGGGTTCCGCCTCACATCCGTGGGCTCAGCTGGCTCCCAGGGATCGGTGCAGTGAGAATGCAGAATGTAATCAGGTCACTCATTCACCTCCAAGTGCCCTGGAAAAAGAGAAAGAAAAAAAAATGAGCCCAGGCCCCTAGTCCCAGGTAAAGCTGCAAAAGGATGATGTAAAGTTGAGTGATGACCCAAAAGAGCCTAATCAGGGCCAAGTGTTCTGAAAACCAAACCCAATCCTGGAAGTGACAATTACAACACAAATTTAATTCCCAGTCTCTTGAGGTCTCTTACGTTAAAGTTATGGTGCTGAGAAAGAAGTGTGACTCTGAAAATCGGGCTGGAGCCCTTGGGCCCACATCTGATCCGTCTTCTGTGGCAGCAGAAACCACCTTCCCTGAATGGCCCGTAAGGCCATGGGAGACTGACGCCTACCAGGACCCATGCCCACACCATTCCTCACTTCTGGACCCACAACCAGACTCAGGTTTGCAGAAACCAACAACAAAAGACATAAATGAAGTTTGTATTTTATATGTCTTTTTCATTTTATTCTTTGAGTAATTCATTTTCCTTACATTTCAAAGGGAACCATCTGTTGCAGATTAAAACTTCAGGAAAAACCCGGTCGGGGCGCCAGATTCTGTCCCGGTTGCCCCGCTTCCAGGCCAGCTCTCTGCTATGGCCAGGGAGTGCAGTGGGGGATGGCCCAAGTGCTTGGGTCCTGCACCCCATGGGAGACCAGGATAAGTACCTGGTTCCTGCCATCGGATCAGCACAGCGCGCCTGCCACGGCGGCCATTGGAGGGTGAACGAACGGCAAAGGAAGACCTTTCTCTCTGTCTCTCTCTCTCACTGTCCACTCTGCCTGTCGAATATTAAAGAAAACAAACTAAAAAGACCTTCAGGAAAAAAAATCACAGGTGATTTGAAAACACTGTGCAATGCCATGAGCTAGAACTTGAAAGCCACTGTTGTGCAGAGGAGGAAGTCCACACACGAAGAGATGAACAACTGGCCACAGGTTGTCCGCAGGCTGGAGACTGGATAGCTGGTAGTGTGGCCCAGGCCAAGTCCACGGGCCTCAGAGCCAGGGAGGCTGAAGGTGTGGTTCTCAGCCTGAGGATCCAGGGGCCGCAGCGTAGATCTTGGACCCCAGAGGCCAGCAGACAACATCCAAGGCAGGAGAGGAGCATGTCCCGGCTCCCGGAGTGAGGGGTGCATTCGGCTCCTGGATTCCTTCTCTGGGTCCCCAGCCAGTAGATGCTGCCACCCACGTTGAGGCTGCCACCGACGTATTCCTACCTGGTCTGTTCTCTCACTGTTCTGCCCCAGGCTGCTAGGTAGTCCTTAATCCAGTCAGGGTGACGCCTGATAGAGACCGTTATGAGGACTCTGGGGACTG